TCCGAATGCGCAGCACACTCGAGCAGAAATCGTCTACGAGGACAAGCGCCGGGTGATACGAAGCGAAGAGATTGGCTTGATTGGGTTCTGAAGAGCAATTGGCACATTGCCTCCGACTGCGCAGCACACTCAAGTAGAAACGTGGCGTGGCCCTCTTACACCACCTCTGCAGGTCAGTCCATTATCACGTTGTCCAGACTGGCCCGTCACATTCTCGACCACTGTCGAATCTTGTCTGCAGCCCCCTCGGGCGCGTGGCGTGACCGGGGGTCATTGCCGCGTTCGCCTGAAAAGCAGTCTTCAACGGCATCCTTGGCCTTTGCGAAGAGATAAGCTAGTACTACATGATGATTTAGGGTTTCCGGCCTCAATCTGTCGATACGCGGTCCATGGAAGGCACTGCCTCCCCCTCACGGCTAGCGATAGGCGGGTGGGCGAAGCTCTTCCATGCAGATCGGGGCCCCGTTCGGAGCGCAACCTCCGATTTGCTTCCTCCAAGAAACTTGGATGGCCGCGTTTGTTGACATGTCAGCTTCTTCGTATTCTTTGGGTTTCTATTTTGACGTGCCGAGCACCCCCAATGCCAGCCAAGGAAGCTGCGCATACGAAGCGCCTCTACGGAGTAGAGTCGTTGATGATACTATTTCGTATGTGTGTGTGCGGGGATCCTTCGGCTGGTCAGGTTGTGGTGCATTGCATTGCATTGGCACCTTGCCTGATGTACGCAGATGCGATGTTACTGCATCATGTACTCCGTACCGGTGCATTGTTGGGCTATCAAGGTTGTCTGTCTGTTTTGTTTTGCCTCTCCAACTTCTTCTTCATTCCGTGTGCCGGTGGTTGGTTTTCCAGCGGCTTCTTCCTGGCGTTGTTGACTCTCACGCGCGTCAACTCCTCCCGCCCGCATCAAAACACCAAAATATCCGGCGGCAGCCACAACTCACATCATTGGACAAGTTACACGGCACCATACCTGAACTGCATTCATTGTCTACTCGGGGAATTACAAGAGGCGTCTAAAAGGACAGAGCTCGCTATAAACCAATCATCCCGAAGGCCCGAAAGCCACAGATCCGAATGCAAGCACAGCCAGCTTCGAATTACTTTTCGTGATCAGGGAAGGCAAGTTCTCGCGGCGCTTCTTTGATACAACGAAAAAACGGTATTCTTCTTCTTTGACCTCTTTTCTTCCTCCCTTCAATACCTTAAACGCCGGGGTATGGGAACCCACCCGGGCCGAAAACCTCGTAGCATATCGTACTGTTTACATGTCGAATTACTTCGTACCAGCATCCTCATTAACGAAACAAAAGAAAAGGAAAAAGCTCAAGTCAGAAGAGCGAGCAAGAGCTCTGAGGCGTGGTACGGCTAGCTAGATCGTAGATGGTCTTGCATGCTTGCCGCTTTTCAATCGCGCTCAGGCGCAGGGATGATCAACTCCAATAATGAAGCGATATATGGGCTCTGTAACACGCGCGTTAGTCCCAATTCTTCACAAAACACGGGGTAAGCACAAGGCAAAAGCGTAACATGACATACCATGGCAAGATTCTCCGCCAAAATCCCATGCAGCTGCGACAAGTGCGGCCGGAACAGCCTCTCGTTCCAACCCCCCTTCTCAGCTGTCCTAGATTGCTCCTTGACAAGCTCCTCCTCTGCCTCCGTCTTGACCACGTTGCGCGCAATGTTGCGAAGCACCAGCACGGCGCTCAGGGGGATGCCGCCTGCCTGGGGAGGTGCCTCGGGCATGCGCTCGTCACGGAACGTCGGGGTCTCCTCCAGCACAATGCTCATAGTCTTGGCCGGGATCACCCACGGCTGCCGCGGCCGCCTGTTGTGCGACCCGGGGCCGGGGATCATGGTCGAGATGTGCGTGGAGATGTGTCGCGCGAATGTGTGCAGACGCATCTTGGTTGGCTTCTCGTACTTTGTGCATTCGCCCCAGGTACACCGGTACTCCCTCTCGACGTTGGGGAACTTGCCGTCCTCGCCCCTCTGCTCGTTCAGGTGCATTGTCAGGATGTGGTTCCACATTTCCTCCTGCTTCAGGTAAAAGTGGCCGCACTTTTCGTTCTTCTTGTCCGGGTTCATGGCCCACAGACAGCGGCCGTACTCGGTGCCGTCGAAGGCGAGGGGCCGCGGCCGGGCCCGGATGCCGTGGATGATGAACTTTTGCTGCGGGTCGCCCGGCTCTCTAAGCACTTGGGCGTTGGAGTCCTTGTAGACAGACGTACTACTTCTAATGAAGTCTGCCGGCGTGATCATCGGTTGATTGAGCGTTTTCAGGGGGGTAGCAAACGCCGACTGGTAGGCCTGCCAAGCAGCAAGCTGCGTGATGAAGGATCGGTTATCTTCCTCGAAGAAGCATCTGACCCACTGATGGACTCGATCGGGTTCCTCTAGCTTCAGCATCTCCTGGAGAAGGTCATTGGGCATTGGTGCGATTTCGTCCTTTGCCGGCAGCCTCTGTTCCGGAATGAGTGTGTAGTCCCTGGTGTATTTGCGAGCGCCATGTGCTAGTAGGCGGACAAGCTGCTGGACCAGGTTGTCGGGAACGATGGATCGCACTAGGTTGTCCACATTAGGTACAACGGCCGTGTACTGGTAGAGGAAGTCGAGGCAGGCATCGATGAGTTCGTCATCGTTAAGCAGCAGCCAATTCACGATACGCTGGAGGGTTGAGCCTGGAACCTCGCCCAGTTTATTCGTGGCTTCCAGGTTCACAGAAATGCGTCCAAGGGCGCGGAGTGCGGTAAGAATGGTCCCTCGGTCTTCCGATGCCAGTTGAGCCAGGAGCGTTTTGTAAAGAGGGTCGTCCGATTCCAAGGTCATCCAAGGCGTCAGCTGCTCTGCAATATCGAGAGCAAGGTGTTTGACCTCGATAAGCGAGTCCCTTGCCGGTAGATGCAAAAGAATGATTATCAAGTCCTTTACGGGAAAGAAATCAGACATGTTCTGCGCATTTTCAGGCAGCGTCACCATGTTTCGAATGGTGAGAATAGCTTCAGTCGTCAATACCATCTCATCGGCAAACTTTTCCGTCTGAATCACATCGGGTATATCTCGCTCCACCAGGTTTTCGATTCGTTCCAGTATGTCCTGCGTGCCGTAGTTGCCATCCAGGCAGCCAATATCGTTGGACTCGGTGAAAGAGTCCCAGGAGACCGTCCAGTTGACGTGATAGAAGAGGCTGCCTATCTGCAAGGCCTTCTCCACGAGACCCTCGGCCAACCCCGGGAAAGAATCGAATTTGTACTTGTCACCTCGCTCAAAGGAGATCTTGACCAGGTGGTTGAGCGCAAAGGCCTGCTCTGCGGGGACACAAGAACGAAGCGCGTTCAGACAGCGGGTATAAATGTTTGGGCCGTCGAAGCCAGCTAGAAATCATACCATTGTTAGCATCACACCCCTAAGAAAAAAAAACATGACGTTGTCTCAGCTTACTGCCGGGCTGCATGGGCTGTCTATTCGAATGATCGAGGGCGTAGCGATGTGGCAGTCTAGCTTTGAAGAACTCGCCCGGCGCATTGCTTGGAGTTGCCACAGGGCGTAGCTGAAGGGGCTTCATAGGCTTTGGCTGGTACGAAGTGACCAAATGCGACGTGTTCTCGGAGTTGGGCGGGTGGTGGAGGATAGAAGGCCCCCGTGAATTGTTGTGAATTGCCATGAGGGGCATCTGATGGGCGGACGGATGGTGGTGTCCGGATTGCTGCGCGTGGTTCACCGATGGCGAGGCTGAGTTGCCTGTCTGATGGTTGGAGGCCTGCCTTGTGACTCGTGATGGGCCTGTGTCGGGCTGGAAGATGACTCGCTGGGGAGGAGCCTCGCGAAGGCCGCGGGACGCGCGAGCGCTTGCGGCGGCGTCAGGTAGCGGCCGTTCCTGGGCGGGAGTGCCGTCATCGCCAGACGCAGCGCTATCTGTGGCTCCGACATTGCTCTCTCGCTTGCCGCGAAAGTTTTCCCTTGTGCGCGTCAACAAGCCGGCGCCCTTGGCCGTGACGTCCTCCAGAATGTCCTTGGGCGGCGGCTCCTTGCCGTGGATCGTGCTGATTTCGTAGGCGGCGAGGTTCTTGTAGAACTTTTCCTTGAGAGCAAAGGCTGTCGATGCCTCGTTATTTGAATGAAGGCCAAGCTCAGCTGCCATGCGCCGCCACGCCAGTTTTTCCTCCGACACCTTGTCATATCCACCGTTTGCGACGATGTGGTTGAAGACCTTGTACAGATCGAGGTGAATCATGCCCACCTTGGGCTCCGGGTCCAGCGTCGTGCCTCGCTTCAGATGGTACTCCCTCAGCTTATTCATGAAGTCTTCATACTCGGGCGTCCTATCGATGGTGTGCAGAGGCACCTCCTGAGGGGATGAAGTCATCTTGACGAATAGCGGCCACGGCGCCTGTTACGCGCCGAGCTGAGCCTAGGCGATGCCGAAGATATCTGTCGAATTGGTCGATGGCAGGCCCTGGGCTGCTGGCCGAGGCGATGCAACGGCGTTTGGCTCGCGCGTCTGTCAATGCCGGCGGACTGCGATCGTGTCTCGCTATGCCTCGTGTCGTGGGTGAGCGGGAGACGCGCCGTGTCACCGTCGAGTATCAGGCATCAGCCTTCTGTTCCGCAGCTCTGAATCGGCGTCAGCAATTCGTCGCTTCGCGCGATCAAGCTCAATCAAGATCAAGGTCAAGGGCAAGGTCCAGGTCCAGGTCAAGGTCAAACAAGGCTGGGCTATTTCGAGTTGGCGCGGCGCGACGAAAATCGACTGGCGCAGATGCAATCTTATCTGCACGTGAGCCGCATCCACCGCTTTTTGGCCAATCGGAATTCTGCCATGGCAGCTCCCTCCATGGTGCCTGCATCTCAGATCCAAGCAATCAACTTGCCTGCAACTCTGCCCTCGTCCGGGATGAAGCGATGACGATGTTTTCTTCTACTTCTCTTTTCTGGTCCATTTCCCGTCTGCATCAGCTTCCATCCCTCTCTTACACTTATCAAGACCATTTCTCGCTATGCCGCTTGCTCCAACGCCTTTATCGGGATGTCCTCTTCACCGTTTAGAGATCCGTGATGGGTCCACAGGCACCGTTTACGACGCTACTCAGCTGGAAAGCTCTCTGACTGCTACCCTGGAAGCTCGACGATCGCTGTCTGGAGGCACCAATAAGAGCGACCTCATGCTTCAATCTCATCTGGGGCTCAGTCGTGTGGTTCGTATTTCATCCAGAAGAGGGAAATCAACGCCGCTGTGTCTATTTCTTGCTGAGAGGCTGACGGCGTCGACAGCTGTCAATCCAGCTTGCAGATCTCCTCACTTCATCGGGCGACACCACAGAGGTTGTGACTGTCGACAAACCTTCTCAGCAGATGTGCATTCGGATTCACGAAAAAAAGCAGACCATTCTGTTTACCTTCAAAGAGAGCCGGGATTTCAATGTTGCCATCTATACACTGAAGAGGTTCGGGTTTCGAGTCAGAGACAGCGTATTTTCTTTCAATCACACTACCGCCGGCCTGGCTCGTTCCCAGTCTTCGGCGCCTTCAAGCAACGACCTCGGACCCCGATTGAGCTCCATCACGCCTTTACAAGGATATGGAAGCTCTCAGGCTCCGTCGCCGTTCTCGTTCACGGCTCTATTGAACTCTGATGTTCCACTTTCCCAGATACAGTCAATGGGCACACAGCATGAGCCCTATGAATCTCCATCACCAGACTCGTCGCAACAGCTGATTCGACACATTGTACCAGCCACGTACGCTCATCAAAACCCATATCAGTTATATCTCGGCCAACACGGCAATTTGTATCAGCCCCGGGTGAGTTCACCACTGCGAAACGCTGTCGAGGTTGACAGCAGAGACCTATCGCCTATGTCCCCTGTATCTCCCATGCCACAGAGCCAGCCTAGCCTTTCAGTCCATCCTACAACAGTAAGATCATTACTGGCCCAGCGCTCTACTTCTGCACCCATTACAACACCACCATCTTGGCAGCAGCCGAGGTACATGAATACAGATGGTTGCGGTTCGCCATACTACCAACAGAGTCCGCCAGGAAGTCAAGAAACTACCATTACCTCTACTGAGAGTGATTCACAATCCACAGACGGAACGAACGTCACATTGCCGTTGCAAATCGCAGAAGATTTTCGCAAACTCATGCCTCAACCTCGCAATTTACCTTTTCTGAAAGAAGGCAAAACCAAGACGGCCGTGCTCAAACCTGTGAAAAGAAGAGCAAAGACGGAGCTTGGTCCATCCAGTGCTAAGCGGAAGAACAGCTTCTTTGCAGGACATGGCAACAGCAATACCTCGAACGATGGTGCAGTTTCGTGCGTGCAAGAGAACGGCGCAAACTCGGATATAGATGACGCCAGTGCCGCCCCGATAACATTGCATCCGACATCATTCCAGACACGAGTTTCACAAAACGGAGCAACTTCGCCGGATCATTCGTCACTTGAGATATGTGACCTGCCACCAATGCTGATAGCAGACAGCTCCCTACTAGAGAAGGTTAACAATTCAACATCAAGGTTGCTTGACCAGTACACAGCGGATGTCAATCGAGGGTGTGATGGCGGCGCTTGTGCTCAGTTCTACCTGGACCAGATTGATATGGTACGAAGAGATTTCTGGCTCAGTCAATTAGAGCAAGGCAACTGCATTGGAGGACATGGGTGATTCACCCGAGCATCATGGAGAGCGGCAACCGGAGGGCGGTCGCTGCTGTTCATGTTAAATCGAGAAGAAGCCCATGGGGACATATTTGGACCAACGATGCATTCACACGGGGCCTGTTCATCACTTTTTCTGGATCTTCATTCACTTTGTTTCAAAGCTGGCTCAGCTGCTCTGAACAACTGCGTTTCTGTATACTTTGTTCACGGCGCTTACTGCTACAATTGGTCCATGATCTTTATAAAATGGCATCAACCCACCGCCCAGAGCGGCTATACTTGATGACCATATCCCATATCTCAACACTTTCTTGCCAAACAAGCGGAGCAATCCCCTCATCACGAAACAACAGAGCCTTAGCAAACATGTCTTCCGTATTTGCCCAGGTTGAGTCCCTCCTGGCAATGAGGGACCTCAATAGCACCGAACCGCAGTTTGTCCTACCTGACGCGCTTTTTTTCAGGCTCATCGTTGACGAGGTTGCCGGCCCCTTCATTATCGTTAATGAAGTTGCATGGTGTCACGGATATTACATGGCGTGGAAATTGATGATTCCAAAGAACCAGGAACCAGACTGGCCCCATGAGGTTCCTTCAGATTTGCTGGTTGAGGCAGCTGATGTGCTTGATCTTGCGGCGTGCGAGCTGTACGCGTACCAGAGCGGTTACAGGAGCAACCAGCGTGTCACTGTCTACACGGATACACTTGAACGAGTAGCCTGGTGCGTGAGGGAGTGTGTGGGCATGCGATGGATCTATAGATGGTGATGGAAGCGAGGAGAATCATGGTCTCTAATTGTCTGTTGGGGCTGTGGTTTGGAGTCTCTTCGAGTATCAGCATTCCTCACACCCTTCTGACCCATAATGCGTCCCCCTATATAGGTATAGATTCAGGGAATAGGAATTCTATTTGCTGGATATTTTGTTTGTTGTACCTATGCTGTGATGAAAAACGACAGCCTCCTATCTGTGATTGTTTGCTTGTTTTTCTTAAGCAGTCTGTGCCAACCTTGATAACATAACTTGTACCCTCATTGGTAGATAGTATACTTATCTCTTATTTAGTACTCCAGTTGAACAGTCAAGATGCAGTTGGCTCTCATCCGACGCCGGATGTTGTTATTAATTGCTTGATAATGAGTATATAAAAGTTGGGGGGCCGGAGGAGGAGGGGGGAGGGGGGTTAAGGGCAACCTCCGTCGAAACATTATAAAACATCATTCATCCACCCTCCTATGTTCCCAAAATTCCATCTACATTACCAAGACGAATAACACACAAAGGCATCACTCAGATCCCCTTATCCAAAACTAGCTTTCTATTTTTCACATATTACCCACCTCTCTATAAAGCAATGGATCAAACTTATCCGTTCTACCCCTGTGGACAATCTCCTTTCCTTGCTCAACCCAGAAGGCTATCTCAACAACTACGACTTCAGCAACGCAGAGTTTGAGCGGCTCGTCTTCGAAGATCAAGGCGGCTCTACAATCCGTATCCATGAAGAGGCAGTCTGTCCTTACGGCACCTTTACCTGGATCGCCGATGTCACGGATACGTATGCAGGACGCCCTGTGAGGGCTCCTGACGGAAGCATTGCCTTGTCCGGGAAAGTGTATAGTGGCCTGAACTTGACACCTTTGAGTCTCCCTGCGGATGTGAAGCTTGCGGAGGGATTTGTTGTTTTTGAGGACAGACCGGGGCTGACGGTTTGGTTTCAACGCGCATCGGGCTTTTTGATGGTGATTGGACGATAGAATGTTGGTTGGCAGGAGACAGAGAGAGGGTAAACGCAAGGGAAGGGCGCTATTGGCTGGAGGAAGGCTATTAGGAAGTTATCAACGAGGAAGACTAGGGCTGTTTCTGCAAGTTATACAGATAGATAGGTAGGTAGGTAGGTAGGTAGATAGAGCTATCAATTAGAGAAGATAAGTTCTCATAAAGCAGCAGGATAGCTGAAGTGCTGAGGCATGTTAGGCTAAATAACTGCTCCTTGATAACTGGAGTAGCAGATTGGACACCCCCCCGCTGCTTTTACACCGCTATAAACCCCTGTAGTCTCTCATTCATGAAATAAGTGATTCTATCCTTATATAATACCATGTTCTTTCGTCAAAGGGGCAATAAGGCATTCATGCCATCGCCATATACCCCAGTCAACCTTGTGGCGGCGTCTGTTTCATATCACAGTGAAGCTTACCATGCTTGTAAAGAGTGATAGATAAAAGCAATTGTTGGTAAACTGCTTATCAAATATACCCTATCTTCGCTAATTTCTACATCTGCCGTGTATGAACCAACTACCTACCTTGCGCCCCCTGATCGTCAAACCTAAACCCCCTTACCAACATCGCAAAAATGCGACAACTCCAGCCCCTGCACATTCTCGAGCTGTAGCCCACGAAGAACATGACTAACCTCCGCAGGAAGAAAGCACAGCGAGCCATGGAGCTGGCACGACCACAGCAAGCTCGCCACGTTGGGCCGCTCGAAGCGCCGCAGAGCCTCTTCCAGGGCCACGATGCTGTATCCTGAAAATTGCGCGTTTGGCACCGACTCGAGGCCGACGTCCCTCAGGCCGTCGACGAGCGCATCGGGGAGGATTGTGCAGCAGGACGGCGCGCTGTGGGCTGGGTAGATGGAAGAGCAGGTTGGCGAGGGCTTGCCGAGGCCTTTCTTGAGTTCGTTGAGGCTAAAGAAGAGTTTGTCGATGATGCGTCGTCTCTTTTTGTCAATGGCTTCTAGAATTCATGCATCAGTTCTCCTGTTAGTGACGAGTTGTGTTGATCGGGGACTTACTGATGATGCGCGCTGGTAGAGGCAGACCAAGAGAGTGCATAGGACCTCTGCTCTCGCGGACAACTATCCTAGTTAGCTCCTTGAAGTCGAACTCATCTGTAAAAACCCAAGATATGAAGAGCCTAAGCACAAGATTCCGGCTGTACGATGTCGGGAAGGGCTCATCTAGTTTCGAGATCCACTTATCAGCGTACGGCTTCAACGCTTCGGAGCACTCATAGTGGGCGACAATGACGGCAATCTTGGCAAGCATGTCAAGGCTGATCTGTTCGGGAACACCAGCAGTACGGCCATGGATGATGTTCATCACCAGCTCGAGAGCCTTTTCGTCCCAGCCCTCGGCGAGCAGGATGTACTTGTACGCGATGCTGGATCGGGTCTCTGGCAGGTTGCTGGGCGTAAGTTGTCTGCATTTCGGCGATGCGAGCGCGAGCTTGGACGACGAGAGCTGCATCCAGACTTCTCTGTGGTTAGCATGGTGTCTTTTCGCACGAGCTGTTACCTCGGATCCGTTGCGGCGCGCTTCCTCGGTCAGGTACTGTGGTAGGGCGTCGTCCCAGGGAGTGTCGGAGTCTCGTGCTGCAATTGGTTGATTGGCTTTTTGGAGGATGAGGATCGTGTCCCCGTCTCCGTCGATTTTGTACATGAAGGGCTCCATGGTGATGATGGAGGTAGCAAACAAGATGAGAGTGTTGGGTGAGCACGGGAGGTTGATCCAGGGGTTGGCTCTCAATTTTATGCTTCGAAAGGAGCTCTAGGCCAATGAACGCCATCTGTCATAGACTCAGGATGCTCAAAGGGAAAGAGAGGCCATGAGAAAGCCATTGGAAAGTGAACGTGAGCTTGTGTGAACGGTTAATACATAGACAAGCTCCAGTCAGAAGAGTCGTTCAGATGATATACTGGAAATAGCTGGCTACCTTGATGGCTTCAAGAGATCAGACAAAGACGACGGCATATGAGTTGAAGTCAGGCGGACGAGAGAGAGCGCTTCGAGCTCTCATATGTGTGTTCAGACAGCTTTGAGGACAAAGGGGAAGAGCCAGAAACAAGTGAACAGTCGCGAGACTCAAATGCTCGATATGGAAGGCACGCGAGTATAAATCGCATCTGTTCACCCGGATTGCATTCATAAGGGTCTTTCAGAGATCATTGTGTTCGACTTTAATCAACAACTTGCCAAAGGGACTCCAAGTGCGTTCAGTCCAGTTGAAGCTTGAAGATGGCATCTCAGAACAACTCCAACAACTCGGAGTTCGCCCTCCTTGACAGGAAGGGAGATGGCACTTGGACCGCCATCAAGAGAGCCAATCCTGACGAAAAGGACCTGTACATTGCTCTGCCTTGGGGCAATTTTGATGTACCTATACCGAACGACCCCTACAAGGATCAGCCCGAGGAGGGCGTTGTAACCAGGCCTGAAGTTCCGTCATGGGTCCATGTCAATAGCCTCGTCTTGAAAGACACAGACGTCGTTTATCGAATCTTCAATCACAAAAACATCGTCTCCATTGCCGGCAGCATCGAGGCTGATTCCCACGAGGCTGCAGCTTCGGCAAATACTGGCCCACTTGACTACCTGGTATGGGATCACTGCGCCCACTCCGATCTCACTGCTCGCATGAAAGCTCTACGCGAGTCTCCTGATGAGCCCATCAAAGAGTCGTTCTGCTGGCACGTGCTCACGTCGCTTCTCGAAGCCATCACGTACCTCCACGATGGAAAGCGTCTTGTTGAGGAGGGAGGACAGCGTCTATGGAAGGCGGAGAGTTCAACGTGGACCCCGATTCTGCATGGCAAGATTGAGCCGCACAACGTGTTGTTTCAGAAGACAGGGCAAGATGAGGCGCATGATCGGTGCAAGCTCGCCGATTTGCGATGGGCAGTCGCTCTGAATCATAAGATTTCCTACTATGAAGGTGAAAGGGATGAGTTGGACGAAGACGGAGGCAGTGCTGCTTCGCGGCTGGAGCGCCTTGAAGAGACTCTGTCGTTGGATGCATGTGTACCGGTATGTATCGTTGGCTCATGTATTTTTGATCTCTTATCTTTTTATGTTTGTGCTGACTTGATGGGACACAGAAATGGCAGAACCCCCATGGGCACAGCATTGATTCAGAACTCTACGCCCTCGGCCGCCTCATCCATTCTATGATGACGGACGATAGACACGAGACAAATACGGGGTATTGCATGCACGAGCTGGAAGGCAAGTATTCGGAGCAGTTGGCAGCTGTGGTCAAGTTTCTGCTCGACCGACGGCTCTATCTGACGCGATTTGCTGAGCAAAGGGTTGAGAGGGTGCTGCCCATGACCAAGGTGGTGATGGAGTATTACCGGGAGTGGAAGATGGTGAATGACGGTTGATGCTAACCGAAGAAAATGGTCGATTGGGAGGTGATTTGCAAGAGGAGATGATTCGTTACGCGTGTTGTTCGAGAGTGGGAGTGAGCTGTTGCAGATGAAGATGTGCGAGTGTGGTTATGTGTGGTGTGCGTGTTTGTGTACATGAGGCTGAGAGCACGAGAATGATGTAAGAACTGAGAGTTGAGACAGAGAATTGACAGAGCTTGAGTTGTGTATAGATTGGGAAGAACATCAGTGATGAGACACTTGTGAGGGTATCTCCTGATGTAAATGATGAATTGATGCATCACGTACTGTGTGTTTACCAGTTGGTCGTTGGTGACAAGCTGCATCTGATACCAACCATCGAAGAACAGAATAATAAAAAGGCATTGTCCCAACAGGAATGGCTCGACTCACTACTCCCTATATCAACCAACAATACACACCCAACCAAGCATCTGCGGGACTTTGTTCCATCTCATGCATTGATCGCTTTCAACCCTCTTTTTCTCTCCGCGCAGCGCTAGAGCGAAACCAGCAACCCGCTAATTTCAGTTCCCCTACTAGCGCCCCCGATCGCTGCCCCAATTGCGCGCAACTCTCACCTCCGTCACACCTCAGCTCCGGCTTCTTCTTCTTCTCCTCCCGCCAGCCTTTGGTCTCTCTCTCTGTGTGTGTGTCTTGACTCCCACGACTCACACGGGGCGCAGGTGCTTTGGGTTACACAGCATCTTGTGCGATAGCGCAGAGAAACAGGCGCTTAGACGGTTGCTGCTTGCCAGTGTGATTCGTCGAGAGCAGAGGTCGAACCGGCAAAGGAGAGGCACGCCAGAAGCAAACAGGCTCGTGACGCGCCGGTCCGTCCGAGGTTTCTCGTCCGTTCGCTCCCCTCCGATTTCTCGGGCTTCGTTACCTTTTTGTCGACCTCTCTTGCCCTCTCTCTCTCTCCCTTCAAACGAATCCAGCTCTACCTACCGAGGGTACTCGCGACTAGGACACCGCAGAACAGAGAACATCTCCAACTACAAGCAGCAGCAATGTCCGTCCCCAGCGCCACGCCTCCCCTCCTCCTCACCAAGCGCCTCAACGCCTTCCTCCACGCCCACCAGACCGCCCACCTGCCGACCCTCCTCCTCACCACCTCCCAGGGCAAGCTCCTCGCCCACGCCTCCTCCCAGCCCGTCTCCGTCCTGCGCACCCACGCCACCGTCGCCGCCTCCCTGCTCGCCATCCACACGGCCTCGTCCGCCGCCATCCCCACCGCCCTGCCCGGCTCGCGCACCCCCGACCCTATCAGCAGCTCGCCCGCCAGTCCCCGCGACGACTACGGCGATGACGGCGACCGCCGCATGAGCGACGACGACGACGACGTGCAGCACGAGTCTGATGCCGAGGGCCGGCATGAGGCGGAGGCGAGTGATGGCACACGAGCAGCCAAGCAGAGGTCAAAACGCACCGTCAGACCGGGCGTCATCACCGTCCAGCTGAGCGAGGGCACAGTCATCATCCGGCGACTGAAATGCGGCCTGCTCTTTGTCTGCGTCGGGCCCCCGGCGGCCAGTTTGCAGGATCATCATCAGCACCATCAGCACCATCAGCATCACCACCATGAAAACGGGGACGGAGTAGGCAGTCCGAGCGAGGTCGAGAGTCTGATTAGCGCGGGCGGCATGACGACGTCGAGCTTGGAGAGCGCGAGCGCGGCGCCGGTTGTCGCGATGAGGAGGCAGGCTGCCGAGTTGGCGAGGTGGCTGGATGAGAAGCTTGGGACGCTCATGGTTCCTGAGGAGGGGATTGGTGTTGTTGAGTTTAGAGACTGAGGGGTGTTTGGGAAGGGTAGATGGGAAGTGTTAGGGATACTCTGAATGGCGTTGGGTAGTGCGGCTTTTTCTCTTTCTTTTCCATTCTGTTGTATTGCATTTGCTCAGGGCGGAAAGATGAGGCAAATCTTTCAGTATAGTTTTCAGGTTCTAAAGTCTTGTAATGCTCGGGGCGTTCGGCGAGGGGATCAAGGTAGATACCAAAACGAACAGCAACGAAAGGCAATCTTTTTCTCTCATCTGTCAGCCCTGTGTCTTCGCTGGTGGTGACCCTCATGTTTGGCTGTCGAAGTCAAATGACTTATTGACGCCTCAGATAGCGATACATATATACCGACCTGTTCTTCGTATGTACATGGTCTTGGAACACGAATACCCTGTTCCCTTTGTTTCGCCTCTACCAGTCCGTCCCGGCAGTATCCCTAACGCCGTGAAATGCAACAGAACCCCTCCCCTTTTATACACTCCCCACACTCCAGAAAGGACGCAAAAAAGAAATCCGCCCAGATACGCCAGCAAGCAGCTCACTCAATGCTCATCCGCATGATGCCATCATTCGTATCGACCATGCCCTGCATCCCGACCCTCCCCTTCCGGCCAACCTGCCCCGTCGAGCCAACCGGCGGATTCGCCGGCGTCCCTCCCATGCTGCCCGAGTCGCTCTGCCCGCTGCTACCCCGGTCGCCGCCGGTGCTACCTGGCCGCGAGCCCCAGGGCATCACGTCGCGCTGCATGGGGCTCTGCACGATGGGCGAGTTGTGCGCGCTGATGCTGGGGCTGACGGCGCGGCGCTTGAAGCTCGTGGGGTCGAAGTCGTCGTCGCGGCGGCGCTTGTTGTTGATCCGCCGCGTGATTTCGGCTGCGCTGGGCAGTTGGCCGTTCTAGGTCAGGGTTAGCAATGGGCTCAAATGACGTGGTATAAATGCTTGATACTCACATAAAAAGCAGCGGCGCTTTGCGATGGCGAGTCCATTGTTGCATCCTCGCTCATGCCAGATGACGAACCACGAGGAAGAAACGATGACGGCGGAGGAGGGGTTCTTGCACCGCTCGAGTCGGAAAATGTATCCCAAAACTGCTTGCCCTTGGAGTTCTTCATCGCGTGCTGTTTGAAGCTACTCGACAGTCCCGCGCCCAGTTCGGCCATTGCGTCGTCTGCCGGGATCTCGTCCATGGTCTCTTGGGTGGCGGTCAGGTTGGGTGATGAATGCGCCGTTGTCATGGCGCTTGCGTCTGCCGCCGACGGCTGATGACGAGTTTCGGGAACGTCGCTTTCACGGACTTGCTTCACGATTTCTGCTTCCTTCATAAACTCCGCTTCAGCTGGTGAGCCCTCTTCAGCAAGGGCTGCCCGGATGCGCGCAAACGCTTTTGCTTTGGGCTAGAGAGCAATTAGCAGCCGAATTCGTAGGGGCTAACTAGGGATCGACCCCCAAGCCATATCAAGATGGGCTCTTACCAAAAGATTCCCCCGCCGCGTTACGACTCGCCGAGTCATCACACCCTTCTGGTCTCCATTGCTGCCCTCTCCCGCGCCGCCTTCCTCGACGTCTCCCGACGAAATGTGCAGCTGGTTTGCTTGCCAGCTTATGCTCTCCCGTCTGGCCCGAGCAGCAGCTGAGTTCGACGGCGGCGATTTGGAGAGGACGGCAGAAGCGAGGTTGAATCCGAGACCCAAAGGGCCGCGTGGCTTCATCTTGGGCGGCTTGCGGTGCCGTTGCCGGTGCTGGAAGCTCGCGAAGTTGCCTATTGACGGCGAGCCAGGCACGATGGGCATCCCCGTCTTGGACACCTGCGGGGTGGTCACGTAGGCCTCGTCCATGTCCTCGTCCATGTCTTCGTCTTCCTCGGACGAGCTCGACGAGTCTGATGGTGGCGCATGGTTGCTCCCAAGAGAGGTGCTGATATTGAGGCGCTCCTGGTCGCCCATCATGGACCACAGAGACGTCGACGTCTGCTCTGCTCCCCCGTACTGCCCCAGCCTAGGCGGAATATTCATGGCCATGTCCGTGATGACGGGAGACGAGTCTGGTGAGGGGTGTTCGGCTAGGATCGAGTGGTGAAGGCTGGTGGCCGCGCGGGAGAAGTCGAGGCCGCGGGAGCGGCGGGGTAAGAGGTTGGTGGGAGAGGCGTATATCTGCGAGTGCTCCAGCTTGGGCGACAACGGGGCTGGCCTTGTGCTGGAGCCGGATGGGGTCCCCGGCGGCGGAGTGAATTGGCGAGGCGGCATCTGGATCGACAGGCCTCGCAGGTCGGAACGTCGCGGCGTCTCGGGCGGGGGCAGGTGGGCGATGCTGCTGTCGTCCTTGGAGGTCCGGCGCGATGCCTCCGTGATTCGCGGGCTGGGCGACAGCGGCGTGCCGGTGCTGTCCGACAGCGAGCGGGTCCTGGCCGTCATTGGCGATATCAGTTGGGCACCAGCGCTTGGCCTGTCCTCGTCCATGACGGCGTCGCCAAAGGTCATACCACTAAGCCCCCGCGGCCTCTCCATGGCGCTTGTCTCACTGCTCCGGCTGGTGCTGAGGCTCGTATTGCGGATGCGCCGGACCGTGACTGCGCCAAACTACCGCTTCTGTTCGCTTTAACGTCGGTGTTGGTGTTGAACGTTGAAATGTTGTCGATTTGAGCCAGTGTCGCAAATGGTGTCTCTTTTCGTTCGCCCGCCAGTGGACTCCGTCATCCGCGGAAATCTGCCTCTTTATGTTGCTATCCGACCAGCGCCTGTGAATCAATGCGACCGTCGTGATGCTGCTGCGCCAACAGCGACAGATGCTGTCAGCAGGTCACGGCATCGAGGCCAGTGACGCGTGTAGAGCCACGGGCAATGGAGGGGAGGCTGCGTGACGGCCAATACAGAGGCGAGCAGAGAGGAGAGAAGAATCTTATGGCCTGTAATTGCAGCGCATACAGCACATAGCAGGCAGGGAATAGCGATCAAATCAAGAAGAGCAGCAGATGAAAATGCAAGTGAGGCGTCAATCGCCAATCGCGAGATGCAGAAGAAACAAGCAGCGTTACGTTATGAGCCGAGGGTCTGGTGAAGCTGAAGCTGGGCGCGAATTGGCAGATTGGCGGGGCCCACTGCGCGTCTACTCAAACAAAACTAGGCCTATTCAGGCAGTAGTAGCTCGATGCCCCGCACCACGGATATTTATCAGTGCGGCTAGCGGCTTTATGGCTTAGTGCTGGATATAAACAGCGCTGATGACGTGGGTCACAATCGTGCTGAGTAAGGCGAGATTGGCGAGCTACCCTGGAAGCAGAATCCATGAAGATGGGAAATCGATCAATTCTGCACTTTCACGGTTATACTCCCGGAGAAAATGGCAAGATGAATGGAGACGAAGCAAGGAGAACATTGGAGTTTGGGACGGGAACAATGGTGCTCGCATTATCTTGTTACAGATATCTATGGCTCTTGGTTCGAATTACTTCCCTGTCCTTGCGCTATATGCATTGCGAAAAACTATGGCGAGGAAGGTTATCATCGCCAGGTACCTAGCGATACTAATACAATGATGGAGTAAACCGACAAAAACATGACATAGTAAACATTGACCATGAACACAGTCACCGACAGTCATCGATCGTACAGGATCATCGCGTGCCGGAGGTTTCATGCCGCTTCTCAGCTGTGGCCGTGTCGCCATGATATCCCCGCCATGGCCTCGATGGCAACCAACAACCCCCACCCGTATAAACCTGGTAGCGCTGCAACGTACATACAGTTGATAGAAAGGGGGCCTTGCTCTAAGATATCATGGTCGAATCTCGTTCCTCTACGGATAGTTTCGTGCTTCCATCTGTCCATTTTGACTTGGTCAATCAAATTGGCGTTCATATTTCGTTCATGATCTCGACGGAAGAGTTCATCTCTTTATACGTGGCATGGCAAGGTGTGACCATGGTATAAGCAAACGTTCAGTATCAGCATCAACAAGCAGCCCCCATTAGTGCGGCTCAATTCCCAGCTGTATGCTTATCTACTTCACACCCCCAGCGCAGATCACCGTGGATCAGCAGTAATGAGGCTCTCTTACCTCCAGATTCCATGCATCAGCTCTTTCACTCTTTCTTTGACCCTCATGACTCGTTGCCTACGTCTCTTTCCTCCCATCACACGATTCAGCCATCGGGCATTATTTCCCCGAGGCTTTCTCTTCATCTTGAGTTGACACCTAACCGCTGCAAAGCACGAGATTTCGCCGAAACCACGAGGCTGCGCTCTGCATCGCATCATGCAGGCTTCTCGTACGGTGACCAATGGGCGAATGTTCGCACAGTCGTTATCATAACGATCCTTGGAGAGCTGAGCCAACCCCAGCATCCCAGTTTTGGGCATCTCGGCGAGTAACAGAATGCTCCCGCACAGTGTAGTATTCTACGCGTGTGGTAAGATGATATGTCACCGAACATGAAATGACAAGCCGTGGAGAGAGAGGTAGGCGCTGCGGTAAGGCGTCCATTGTTTCTTTCAGCCGCAAAGGCGACTAAGACAACAGCGACGGAAGCAAGTGGTGCTATGCAATAGCTACTGTTTTTCAGTCTTGGAAAATGTCTTCTTTCGAGCTCATCTGCATGTGAACATGTGGGGGGCAGAAGGGATCAGAACATCAAATTCACGAGCCTCGGCCTTCTCGACCACAGTTGGCTACTCGACTTCTCATGAGGACGATATACTGTCTGATCTCTAGGGCCCACGGTGGCTCTGCTTTGATGTCCTCGACTTCGAGCCGACTGAGAGTCTGCATTGTGATCAGCCACAATAGAGGTTGACAGCTGGAGTAATAAATCCTTCGTGCGTGACTGGGTATTCGGGAATGATCGTTATGTTGTGTAACCAACATATTGCCAAAAAAATCCAATTTCGCCGCAATCTATCTTTCGGATGCAGCTCCTTCGGTGTAAGCTTGTCTGCAAAGGGCATAACGCGTCGGCATCTCCAGGCTCATTGATGTTCATGATATACTAAAGGATTTGAGCCTCACCGGAGCTGATCCTCCTCGGTTATGCCCCCGTCCTGTGTTTAAGCAGTTCAGGACGAATAGGTAGCTATCCAAGATAGTATACGCCGCGATGGTTGTTATTCAGCTCCATATGTGCATATGTACATGCAGCCTGCAAAACATGGTGGGATGGACTTTGGCCGACATGGTTGACTGATTCAGTTGGGCGCCTACTTGTACTTATCCTTGCCCGGGGTTCAATAATACGAGTACATGTATGTTTCCTTGCATATGCAGGTGAGTTGGCACTGTAAATAACAATGAGATGTCTCGGGGAAGCCACCAAAGTAACAGGGGATCAAGTCCTCGTAAGGGCTGTATGTAAATAGCTCTTGCCATGGTGAGATATATACTTGAGTCAATCCAGCCCTCGATGTCATGATGAAGAGCTCACTCTACAAACCGCATTCGAGAAATCGACTTCGTACTGATACCCTCATACGCATCTTCCCCATCTTCAAGAGACAACTGAACCCCGACACACATCCTACCACCGAATACGAACCTTCCTGCCAACAGGCAAGAAGTCGCTCACCATGCAGATTCGCGTTCCAAGAGGCTTGAACAGTGCCATCGACATCGTCGATAGGGCCACTTCAATGAGTCACATTGAAAGCCACACGCGTGGGGCTCTTGTTTCCATCGACTTGAACTGCCCTGCAGACCTATTCTATGGCCGCAAGCAGCTTATTGCCAAGTTCAGCCTAACATTCACAACGAAGATTGTGGATGGATTTCACAAATCAGTTGCTATCCAAGACGCAAAGGTCGGCTACTTTGAAGATGACCATAACATTGGAAAGATGGTCGATAGCCCCCAAAGACCTGTTCCGCAGATCGTAGGGCAACCGGAAACCACATTCAGGCAGGGAACAATTGAGATCGAAATGCAACAACCCGAAGATTCAAGCAACATCAGAATTGTGGTTCTTCTGGAAGCGTATCCATCGAACATGGAAGTGACTGCCTCTTTGTCTACCGCCGATGGAATCAGCCGACCTAGTCACGCATTCATGAGTGCTTCCAATCTTGATGTAGCACCATCTCCAGATGAACAACGACTCCAGAGGCTTTTATGCTGGACTGCCGCCCTCGGTCATGATACGTTATTTGAGGCATATCTCGACCAAGGACCTTCCATCCTGAATATCGAAGACGAGTTTGGCATGACGCCATTCTCGTGGGCCGCATTGACGGGCCAGGCTTCAGTGGTTCAACTCGCCCTGCAACAAGCTGGTAGCGATAGTGCCAGGAAAAGAACGAAAAAGGGCTTCTCACCCCTTGAGGCCGCTGCCAGAAGTAGAGATCCGAACATATTCGAGACGTTCCTGAGATCTCTCAAATGCATCAAGGGGGCAGATAGCGTGATTCCTGAACTCTTGCCTCTTCTTGAACTTGAGGAGATTGAAGAAGAGCTCACCGAAGCGGTCAGTGGTGAGCAGACAGCGACTATTCGAAAGTTGGTCGACAAACTCCTCAGTATTCAGCCTGATGAGGCCTCGAAACAAAACTGGCTGGCCCTCAGGATGGTGAAGGCAGCGGAGAGTGGAGTCCTCTGCCTTGTTCAGGTTTTGAAGGCATGCGGTGCAAAAGTCGACGGGACTCCCCACGGGGCGGCCAATACGCAGACTTTTCGTCGCAACAGACGGAGGAACACGCCACTTATGAGCGCAATCTTGAACAACAGGACAAAAGTTGCCAAATTTCTCATTCTGCATGGCGCTGGTAGCCAGGATGACTTACTAGCTGCCGTTGAGGAGAATCAGCACAGTACGATTCGAGCGCTATTACAGGCTGGAATACCAGTGACAGAAGAGTTCAGGAACAGATTGATCGAGATTGCAAACAACAATAAAGACTCAACAACTCTGATGCTGCTCAAATTGGAAAAGGGCACCGGAAAACTGGCGACTCACGAACATTTGCATCCAGAGGTCGATGTCCTATTCGAAGCTACAGTCGTTGATTTCTACGAAGACAAGGATCCGAGATTTCAAGAGCTTACAGTAGACGCGTTGATGCGAGAGGACGTTGACTTTTTTACACCAAGCGGAGAGACGATCTTCAAATGGTTTCATCTGCCAGCAAATAATGTACGTACTAGAACCTATCAAGCTGATATGTCTGCCCAATGCTGATAACTTCATTTCAGATGAAATGGGCTGAGGTGAGTTTTCATTGTTTTACCCTATTCGCGGGTGAGGAAGAAGCAAATCGGTTAACGAGTTGGACAAAAGGCCTTGATTGGCAAGATCTACCAGAAAACCCCTTCATCAGCATACAAGGTTTTGGATCCGAAGAGATGGGCAAAGAGACAGCATGAAGGAGAGCGTGGCTCTGCACATGCACGCTTCATGATCCCAGCGTGCCACGACTTCTCGGAGGCATTCAAGCACAAGAAGAGTACGAGTAAACCATGGGCTGAATCCTTCATCTTTCCAAGCTTGCTGACTTCGAAATAGAGTTCGGAAATGATAACAAGCACAAACACGTGCTCCTCTTCGTTAGTATTCATCTGTGTTTTAAGTCTCCTTCCAAAATCCAAGCTGACTTGGAACAACTCGAACTGCGGTAGATGCCTTATCTTCATTGGGACGAGGAGCGAGCAATGCGACATCGAACTAGCCTGATTACCCAGAATTCGCCATTCAAGCAGTGGCCTGAAATACCACCGGATCAGCAGAAATTCAAAAGAGAGGAATTACTTTTGAGGAGGTATCTATTCGACGAAAGACGAGCTGATCCGAATTCGAGCCACGTTCTGCATATCCGAAGGACCTTGGATCAGTCCCTATACCACAACTTGAAAGACACCAAAATCCGGGATTCAGATCAGACTGTTCGCCGATACCAAGAAGAACTGAAAAGGAATAGTCCGGCACAAGAGAAAACTCCATTCGCAGCCATCATGGTAGACCAACTCTGGCTATGGATTCTGGTTGGTTCGTCGGGAAAGGCCGAAGCCGTCGTTACATGTTTTCCCTCCAGAGATTGGCACGACGTTGGGATGGAAACGACAGGATCGTCCCAGAACGAACGGATACTGGACCGAAGACGTACCACCGATATCTTGCAAATCACCAAGTCGTACATCCAGCAGAGGCCCAGTGCGGTACAAACACCATATGACCTTGCGGGGGTGATTGCTAGCAGGTGTTCAAGAGCGCTTCTTGACCACTCGTCGGATATGCTTAATTTTGCAGAAGTCTACGAGAATTCTATCAGCTCTATCGTAAGTTGGGATTCTGGTTGCTCGCACATCTCTCCCACCTCTGCACGAATTATATGGAATCTATCGCCTTGCTAACCGATGCTTGATCGGATAGATGGATGAAGAGGCTGTGCTCTTCAACACGTTCAATAGCTTGATGCAGACTCGCACCAAGGTGGACGAACCTAAGATTATGCCTACATGTAAAAAGGAACCCGAGGATGAGCCTGAAGACGGACCAGGTATCGGGCCCAAAGACGAACCAAAAGATGAGAACGACTCAAAGAGTACTCCCGCGTTAGGAAGGGCTAATTCCTACAGAGATTTCTCGAAGACTATCAAGGATGATTTGGTCAGGCTTGAAGCGCTGCGGAAGCACATGCGCGAAAAGCAAGAGAAAAATAACAATGATGGTGGCGGCACAAGTCACAATGAACCTCTACATCGCCTAGCAGAACACATCTCTGATGAAAGACAGCGATCCATTCTTCACGATACGGAACAGCATTGCAAAGAGTATCGCATGTACACTCTCGACAGGGACATTCCCGACGAATATGACATGAAGCTGCTGCGAAGGTCGACTGGCGAAGCCAAAATAGAGCGCCTTGTGGCCTTGCTTGAGAAGTTCCGACGATTCTATGTGCTCGATATAACACGAGAAATAACCCTCCTTCGGCAAATCAAGGATATTCAAGACGAGCTGGAAATGATGGAAAAGATTTTTGCAGAACAACAAGAGGCTCTCGAATCTATGGGCCGCATCATCCGTACTATGACCCAGCATCATCTGGGATCTAATGGCGAAACGCAGGCCAGAAGTTCGGACAGAACGTTCAGCCATCATAAGGTCTCAAGTGGCAGTGGCACTGAAAGACACCGGACGGAAGGTCGTCAGGATCTGCTCTCAGACCTTATGCACGATGATTCTGACAGCGACGTTGATGACATACTTGGGGATGATTATCTACCGGGGACAAACGTCCGAGAGTCTTCCGGTACAGGAGCCCAGAGCCGAAAAAGTAGCTCGATAAACGAAGTCCCGAGCATGATTTGGGGGGATTTACGAGAGAGACAGAGCCTCCCGCTGCGAACTATAGCCCGGCACTCCAAACAGATCAAGAAAATGAACGAGCGCGCGAGGAATACCAATACAGCGGTTTGTTATTCTCCATTACCCCAGACTATTAAGAGATGATAACATGGCAGACGATATCATGCCACAACGGCTTGACGACGTTGTGGAAGAGATCAAGGCTGACACGAAACCTTATACAGCTGAGCACACTGGTTGATTTGAAGCAAAAACAAAACAACATGATCGACACTCGAACTGCCCGTCTCCAGGCCGAGCAATCGCACCTGATGACGCTTCAAGCCGAGAAATCGGGTAGAACGCTGATGGTTTTCACCATCGTTACCATTGTCTTTGTAAGTCCTCTCGGATAACGAGCATGGTGGTTTGGCAGTCACGGCACATACATGACCATGTACTTACACCGAATCCACGGCAGCTACCCTTGTCTTTCATTGCCGCGTTCTTCGCCATTCCAGCCAAGGAATTCGACAAGAACAACTTGACGCTGGGCTATGTGTCGAAAATTACATGTGAGCTACATTGATCTTATACTCAGGTTGGCGAATAAAGCCTTGATTTACTCCCTCTCTACTGTTCTTTCTGATCGATGTATCCGTATCGTTTGACACAAAGTACTGATTCGTGGCTCTCTTCCAAACAGTCCCGTTGTCTGCCGCTATATCGCTGGTGTTCATTGCCATTGGGTTCCTTGCATCTAAATGGCGGCCGGGAAAGGAGAAGAATAAATGGGCTAGCGCTGTGTAGGGAACGGTTGATTATAAGAAGATCAGGGGGTAATGCTCGAGGGGGATTTTCTAGGCTATCTTGTTTGTGTAGGCATTCAATATGATGCATGGTTCTTCTCTGCTTAACGTATCCTCGATGTATCAAAGAGATTATAAGTAGACCCCATGAGCTAACCGATGTTCCAAACCTCAACCAGCCTCCCAATGCCGGACTGGCCATCGAGCGCTTCGCCCACTTCCTCACATCTCCCCGAGCTAAGGTAAAGTTTGCGAGCAAAATTCTTCAACCTACTCGAGGATATGGAAAGCTGGCTTTGCAAACCCCCTCTAAGGAACTTTTCTTGTTGCATTACCATACTGATATCAGGGGATGTAAAGTAATAATAGCGAATCCTCTTGCTAGATGCTGACTCCAGCGTGTGGACGTCACTGTTTATTTCTAGTAACCCCATTACATGGGGACGAGGCGGGAAGAGATTTGTTGGAAAACTTTTAGTTGAGAACATAGTAGTCCATGAACACCCGTGACTTGATGTGTCCTGCAGCTTCTCTTGATATAAACGTCGTTTTAGGGGGGGCTTTGTTAATGTTATAGCAGAGTAGCTCTTCAAGCATCTACGCATCCCTAAGGTATGGAACGATATTAGTCAAAACTTACAAATTCAGCAAAACAACGCCTATTTATATCCCCTCTTATAGATGGTATGCAGCTCAGCGTTTATTTTAAGGAAGTCTAATTGTTGCCTTTACTTGACCTGGCAAGAAAGGACATGCTGGCATATGAACCAACTGAGCTGATGAGTCTGGAATCTGGGGTAAAGACAAATTAACTCGGGGGCAGGTTACAATTGCAACGTACGAGCATCGGTCCGATTTATATAGGTGAAAGCAGAAAAGACAAATATGAAAGACTTGAGTTGCTCACGTCCACATATCCAGCCTAAGTTAGTCCGACTGGCTTACACGGATATATATCCGGCCTCATGACTACTTCATACTCCAATCCTTCTATTCATATATCTACAAGCATAAAGTGAACTAATTGTACTTATTTAAACATGGATACTGGCTCTCTGAAAGCTCGGCGACGGTACGGTCTGCCCCGAGCAATATTGGCCGGGGCCCGCCCCATCATCCGTTTCCGCCCCCTCTACCCCGTAAACAGCCAACGTCTCTCATCTTTAAGCATAATATGTAGCATATTAGGCAAATATCACTGGTATCGGGAACAATTGCCCTCTGGGCGGAATACCGCGGCGGAGGGATTCCCGCGCTGGGGTTTCGCATTACCATATACCGTCCGATCTTAGCGCCAGTACCGCGAGGAACTGAACCATCTACCGAGGCTGTATATGGCATTACCGTCTAGGTAAAGGGCAGTTCAGTTGAAAGGGTAAGAAGATGCAGTTATGGTGAAGGTGCTTGCATGGACTGAGCGGTAACTGACCGCATGTCATCGAGATGGACGCTTCATAAGGTATCTCGGTTGTCCGCTTCCACCACTTGGATATATCCGCCGCTGGTAAAGGTTTACAGTAAGCATGGATTACCATTTCAATAAGCAGGTGGTATTAAGTTGCACAAGGTTACATTTCACGGATCTTCTGGACCTCGTCCGCCGCCTCAGGATTGACTTCACACGGCAAGACTTCGAGAATCGGCGCAACTTATCCCCCGAATACATCCCTTCTCATGAGATACGCAATGTTCCATAGCAGAGGAATTGTATATAAAACATCTATGTCGACGATACCATCTAGTTCATCATCACTCGACTTTCTCTCTTCGCACCGAACAACATCAAACATCACACCACCCCCATCATGCAATTCTCAACCGCAGCTTTTGCCTTTCTGGGCCTCGCCCTCACTGCCTCTGCAGCCGACGAGAAGACCTGCTTCCCTTTCCAGACCAACAACGTTCCCAAGTCCATCACCGATCTCGATGTCCAAGTCAAGGTCGACTGGGCCACCAAGCTGTGCGCCCAGGTCAACTACTCGAGTGTGGATGCTCAGTCTCTCACCACTGACGTTGCGGATGGTGTTGTTGCAACGGAGGACGGAAAGACTTATGGATTGAACTTGGTATAGATCTCATGGCATTGGCAGTTGTGTTGAGCTCAAGCTAATGGATCGTAGATTTCTGTGGCGGTTCCGAATGAGCAAAAGTGCATTGTAAGTTGATACGGTCTGTTGTATGAGTTCTTTTGCTGATGGAGTATGACTTCTAGGATAATGCTGCGGCTACGCTTGGGCCTGATGTCTGCCCTAGCGGTGGAGCTTTCATTAATTTGGACAGTGATGAGGAGGAGTGGTTCACTATTGTTGCTCTTAATTAGAGATGAGGACGGGGAAAGAATAATAAACGAAGTATAGGAAGGGTTCAAGCTGCTATCATCATGATTTACGAACGTATGATTGCTGTGTGTCTCCCAATATACAATCTCTGCTATGTCATTCTCTGTTCATAAAGTACCCCCCAAGTGAAGAAGCGCTTGACAAATGAATTTGTATTATAAGAAGCCTTAGCTTTTGATAAGCCAATTGGCAAAGCACTATTACTTTTCTATGTAAGAATGTCCTCAACGGACCGAGACTCTCAAAACTCGACTCGCCTCTATCCGTCCCATTAACCCCAACCTGAGGTCCGAAACCTGGTCTATCCAAAAGTCTATGTTTCTGAAATCAACTTCACCAACTCCTCCTTCTCACCACTCTGCGAAACCATTTCCCTAAACAACCCATTCTCAATCTCAAGCAACTCCTTCGGCGTCCCAAACTCCGCCGTCTTACCCTCCTTGATGACCAAGATCCTATCAAAATCCACCACGGTGCTCAACCGGTGCGCTATAACCAACAGCGTCGAATCCGAAAATTCCTGACGAATCGACTGCTGTATCAATCTGTCTGTTGCCATATCCACAGCTGAAGTCGCCTCATCTAGCAACAGAATCTTTGGACGGGACAATATTGCGCGCGCAAGGCAGAGAAGCTGCTTCTGGCCCTGAGAAAGGTTGGAGCCTCCGGAAGCGACCGGGGATGAGAGCGTCAAGGAAGAGTTTGTGTCTGAGCCGTTCTCGGTGATGGTTGTAGAAGATGCTTCATCGAGGATTGCTTCGGGAACAGGTGTGCCGGGGGTTGAGGGGACGAGATGGACCCGGATCAGCGCTTTCTGAAGCTCGTAGTCGCTGAACTGGTTGAAGGGGTCGAGGTTTGTGCGGATGGTTCCGGAAAAGAGGAATGGATCTTGCGGGATAATGGCGAGGCGGGTGCGCAGGTCGTGGAGCTTGATCTTGGAGATGTCGACGCCGTCAATCGTGATGCTGCCTGAGCGAGTCTGAAGGAAGCGGAAGAGGGCCAGCGAAAAGGTCGATTTGCCTGGTTTTCGCGAGTTAGTTGCGCTCACCCTTTGAAGTTGGGATTCCCTATAGATCAAAAAACTTACCTCCACCTGTTCGACCGACGATGCCAATCCTCTGATTGCGCTCAGCAGTAAAGCTCAGTCCTTTCAAGATCGAAGGCAAGCCCTCGGCATACCCAACCTCGAGATCCTCAACTTCAATCCTGCCCTCCTCAGGCCAGCTCGCACGCACATCTTCACCATCCTGCTTCTCAATCTCCAGATCCTGATACTCAAAGATTCTTTCCGTCGCATTCATATCCAACTCCGTCTGCGTAGACGCGGAAATGCCCCAATTGATAGCATGTCCAAAGTTGAGCGCAAACGACAAAACGAAGCCAGCCAGACTAGCATCAATCCTAGGCGTAGTGACAACGAAAATGCCAACAACAGCAGCAAACATGGACGCCGTAACGCCTATGCGGAGCATCAACCACATTCTGAAGGCGGTGATGTACCAGCTACAAGCTGCCCAGTCGTCGATGAGGAGGAACATTCTGCGTGTAAACTCGGGGGCCTTGGCGAATGCTCGGATGGTGGAAAGACCGGCGAGGGAGGAGGCAAAATGCGATATGACGGGGGATTTGTTGGTCGACTCGAGGCGCTTGATGGTTCGGGCTGCGACCATGTATCGTCGAGCGTAGTGGCCACATGCCACGAGGAGGATGATGGCGATGAAGATCATGAACGGCGAGACCCAAAGAGCTGCCACCATAATACCAAACATTTCCCACGTCACGGTAGCAAAGTAGTAAAAGTTTGTAGCCAGCGAAGAGTCCATGCTGGTAAAGTCTCCCGTGAAACGATTCAAGATTCTGCCCGTCGGCACAGTGTCGAGCCATCGGAGCGGCGCGCGAAGCACGCTGCGCAATATCCCCTGGAAGATGCGTCGCGAGGCTCGGAGTGAGCCGGCGTAAACGCAGTAGAGACGACTGACGGATATCAGGACTGATACTGTCGATATCAGACAGTATACTCCGAGGTAGAACCAGAGGTTTCCGGCTTGGTCTTCTGACTGAAGGCCAATGGAAACATTCTTCGAGCTGGCATAGGTCGTTGGCCGGCCCAAGAGCTGCGCCTGCAACGACTGCCTGTATTGGTACTGCCTGTACTGGTACACCGGAGCGGAAAAGCTGCCGTCGACGTGTTCGCTTGAACTGGACCAGACCTTGATCCAGTATGTGCGACCGAGAGTGAGACCTTGGGCGATGGCAAAAAGGAGGATGAGGAAGACCCAGAAAGGCAACCCGCTGAAAGCCTTGAGGTACCCTACGTAGACGGACGTCTTGACCCTTCCAACCTCCCTCTTCTCGTCTTCCACCAGCTTCTTTGGTGTTTTCGCAGCTTCTGGTACGCCATTCTGAGACGGGCTGGTGATCAAACCATTGGGTCGTTTTGGGTCCGCATCGGCATCTCTCTGCACTTCCTCGACATCATCCGCTTCGATGATATGTTCCAAGACTCCGGTGCGTCGCAGCTCCTCCACTGAGCCTGCATGTTCCACAAGCCCGGTGGCTGAAAGATGCACCGCGTAATCCGCACGCGGAAGACATAGCGAAGTGTGGTGGGTGACCAGGATCCGAGTTCTACCCTTGCCAAGCTCCCCGAGAAGCGCATTTGCAAAGACATGCTTACCGACGTGAGCGTCAAGAGCACTAAAGACATCATCGATGACCATGATGCCTGCTCTGGAGTATAAGGCTCGGGCGAGAGTCAGCCTCCATTTCTGTCCGCCGCTGAGGGTGACTCCTTGCGCTCCGACCTCGGTTTCGTCGCCGTCCTCGAAGAGAGAGAGATCCTGTGATAGAGCACAGGCTTGGAGGACTTTGTCGTATCGGACGGGGTCGAAGGGGAGGCCAAAGAGGACATTGTTCTTGATTGTAGCGTTCTCGATCCATGGGATCTGGGAGACGAAGCAGACGGCAGTGGGAAGGATCCAGTTCGCGGCGGTGGCTTTGCTGTCGTATCGTTCTTCCGGCGGAGGAGCTTTGGGGACTTGAATGTAGCCGGCTAGCACTTCTGCTTCGCCGAGGATGGATGCAAGGAGAAGTGATTTTCCCGATCCCGTTGGCCCAGAAATAACACTGAGGGCGTTGTTGGGAAACTCGAGGTTGAGCTTTCGCAAGGCAAACCGGTCCTCCGCCGAATCTTCGGAGCCATTCGGGAAAGTGATGGTCGCATCGTGAAAGGATACGGCAGTGCCGGGGTGAATATTGTCCTTTTTGTCAGGGTTGCGGAAAAACCTGTCGATTCTGTCACAGCTGACTTTGGCATTGATGGCCGTAACCAGCAGCAGCGGGATATGTTCCACGATTCCCTCGAGGATCATGAACAAGGTAATCGCCGTAAAAGCAACCGAAGGCAAAAGCGTCCCGTTGATGTACGAGTACGTGGCGAGGGATAGTGCCGTCAGCACAATGGGTGTAAACTCGGAAGCGATGGCCATGTAGAAGTTGTTGATTCTAGTCTTCCAGAGCATGGCCAGCTCCCGCTCACGGACCTGCTCAATCTTGTCCGTCCACTGCGACTCGATTGCGGAAAACTTGATCTGTCTGATGCCGTGCAGAGCTTCCGTGATGATGGCGGATCGTTTGTCGCGAAGCTTCATCAAGATCTTCTGGTTGGCGCCGTATCGCGCCGCGAGAGCTCTGTTGATGGGAAAGAGGACGAGGATTCCTAGCATTCCAGCGCAGAGGCTTTGCCAGCCGACGAGATGCAGCAGGAAGATGACGATGATGGCAAATTGGCCTGCGCAGTTGATGTATTGTCCGCTTTGGGAGCCGAACCTGGCGATTGCGTCGCAGTCGACGGAGAACATGTTGACGATGTCCTGTTGAGACCTCATATTCGGCTGCTTATCCTGCTCGTCGCCATCCTCAGAGCCTGCAGCATCTGCATCTGACGTCTTTTCATCCTTCTCATCCTTGGGGATATGAAGCGAATCTTCCATCCTCATCAGCTTTTCGTACATGAGCCCGGTCAAAGTCGATCGCAAAGGAATGACAATGTCAGCCATCTCGGACCACATGACTCTGGAGTCGACCATACGCGAGCTGATGGTGGCAATGACAATGGCAGCAACGTATATCCAAGCAACGGGATCAATGACGTCCAAGTTATCGCGGGTCTCGAGGTACCGAAGCAGCTGCAGGTTAGCAAACGCGGGCGCAACATCGAAGAAGTTTGTGAAGAGAGTAGCGCTCCATTGGAAGAGGAACTGCCAGCGGTACTTCCAGGTAATGTGTGCCCATAGCGGGAGCCTGTCGGGCTTGAAGATGATGTCCTTGAAGCTTGCCGTTGCGTTTTCCGCCCTGACAATGTGGTCCATTGCTGGCATGTCCGAGTTTTCAAACTTTTCGGTGCCTGCTGCCCGGAGCATGCCAAGGCCCCATTCGAAGCTGTATCTTGCCCAGAGACTGAGTGTCTTTTGGGAGTCGACGACTCTTCCGTCGGGGCGGAAGACGTCTGGACGTCTCTGGATGGTCCAGATGGTTGCCATGAGTGCTATTGCCGCACCAATTTGAGATGCCGTCAAGATGGAGGTGGTGAGGAGTCCTCCATTGTTGCGAGAGCTGAGGCCATTGAGGGCATGAAGGTCCAACGAAGCTATACACACGATCCAGATGCCTGTCCATTGGGTTGATGTTACGCTGTTGAATCTTTCGACTGGTGCCAATTCTCGAGACGCAACCAAAAGTTGCAAAAGCAGGAGTATCTAGATTCTTCAGTCACGGCTCCCAGAGTTGAAGTCGTAGAGACTCACCCATGCTGGGACCAGCAGAGATATGCCCAGGAGAGGCACGTCCGAGCCAGAAAATGTAAATCCATGCTGGACAGCAGTGAAAATGGCATCTGCGCCTGCGAGTATGATTGCCGATACGTTGATCACGAATATGGCGATGAACTGGACCTTGTTGGAGAAGCGGGCTATTGAGTCTTCACTTGCCACTCCGTCTTCATCCTCGTATATGCGCCCATCTTGTCGTCGCTGTTGGGGATGGACACGACTTTTTACAAGTTTCTGAAGAGACGGAAAGGAGAGCACGGCGATTAACAGAGTCAGGCCTGCAGCCGCATAATCCGGCGTATAGACTAGTCCCATGGTGAGGATTCCAATTGTTCACATGTCCATCTCCTCAGACACAAAGCAGAAAGGGTCAATCAATCCATCAAGAGAAGGCTATTAAAAGGAAAAAGACTTGTTATATAAAGTAGACGGTGACGAATTGAAGCTCCTTTTCGGCTTCGTGCTGCCGGAAGGATTCTTTGTTCACCGCGTGAGTCAACGGGTCTGATCTAGACTCGATAGGGGAGGTACTTTTGTAGGCCTTGCCTCTCTATTCGTCAGCTTTTGTAGAGCCTCGTGTGAACAGCTCGAATGCTAATACCTATATATTCACGCTGTATGGACAAATTCTGCTGAACTTGATCCTTTGTCTGTCTTTTCTGTGAATCATCAAGTATGTGACTCTTCATCCATGTTCCTTCCAATCTATGCCGCGCGCTGTTAGTCACGCTGCAGCAGTATCGTGGCATAGATAAGGTAGCTAGCTAGCTGGTGAAGCATCAAAGGCGATTATTCCCAGCTTCACTAGCTATTAGCTTGATATCAATTGATACCAATTGACATAGCGTTTATAATGGCTTGTATTCGTGTACGATACGAGAGGCAGAGGAGGGGTATCGACCAACTGTAACAATATTGATGAGTGATGATAACGGTGCTGGTGGAGAAGAGGACGGGAAGCTATACACGGGTCTGTAGCCGCTATATCCGCGAGCTTCTCATCCGCTGCCAACTTGCGGTGAGCCGTGATGATGGTGTTCCAATGCTGGAGAGCATAATCATGAAAGTGATGCTCTTTGAGTATTACTATCAATCATGTACCTTATGTACGGCTCCTGCAAGCCTTACATCGCCGTGTTGACGACGCTGAATCCTTTGCCTGCCCATCTGACCTCTGTTGCATGCTTCGGGATGGACACAACGGCTCTAGCGCGAGATGCGTGAATAGATTAACGGCCACTCTATTTGCGTCATCTCCTCTCCCCGCGTCATCAAAGATAAAGCTGTGCATAAGTCGGTACTTGAGTACTTTGCATGTCCTGATTCGTCTCGTCAACAACTTGTTGTTTCTTCTAAACTCACTTTAAGCATACGAGTACAGTAATACCATGACAACCCTATAAACAGAACCCCAGGCGCTGTTCGCGCGCCGCTGCATGCAACCGCATCTCGCCCAGCATCAACGGCGACAAGCGACGGCCAACCGAATGGACGGCACGGCGCTCGTCCGGGTCGACAAGCGCGGAAAATGCGAAACGACTGGCGGCCACAAGCCCGAGATTCGCTGCAGGGGTCTGGAAGGGCAGTTCGCGAGAGCGCAGCCAATCACGAGCCAGAGGTGCCTGGGCGGCCGCTGATATGCCGAAGCGATCGGGCTGGGCTGGGCCAGTCAGCGGCGTTTCAAGTGGGTTGGAGAGCTGGACCCCGGTTTGATGTGATGTGACGCGATGGGAGAGAGAGAGCGAGGGAGAGGGAGAGTGAGTTGGGATGATGTTGGTGATTCTTGGTGGTGGTGGTGATGATGAGAGACAGAGGATGACAGCTACTTACAGAACAGAGGTGCACTGTAGTACCTTATGCAGCTACAGCCCTACCGCACGGCCGCGTTCATTCCAGAGGGCATACAGGAGAGGCCTCGCTTGGACTTCATCTGAGACAGCCGCCATACAGACAGTTCATGTAAAATCACCACTAGCTGATATTAGAGGGACTTTCTGCTGCATTGTTCAGTCCACGAAGTCATTTCCCAGCGAAACTACCACATCGAGAGAACAGTACCTCGCCTACCTGCCTTCCCAGTATGAAGCACCTCGGCCACCGCCTTCATACAACAACGGCAGAATATCCTCATCCATCTCTCCCCTCCATCTCCATCTCCTCTCCATCCACGTTCCCTCACCAGTCCAATGCCAACAGCCACTCGCTCCCTTGCCGCCGTCCCCATTTTCCCGGATTAGGCCCCCCCCAGCCATGCCGACACTCGCTCCAGGGGCTTCCATCTGAGACGCCAAGCCGGGTCCTGCAAACCAACTCCCGCCCGCCTTGCATGGCTCCTCCGGCGCCTCACCTTCTCTGCAGCTTGTCAACCAGCGCTAGCCCTGTCGCATTCCAACATGTTTCATCGCACGCTTCGCTGGCCGATCGCAATTCGCCGCTTCTGTCGACTTGGTCCGATTCCAACGGCGGCCTGCATGGTGCGGCGCGTGCGCCAGCGATTGAGCTTTGGGCTGAGCCGCTTGTGAAGCGCTCCCTCCACTCTATTGTCTACACTAGTCTGGTGTGATTGTGCCCACTCACATGCCAGTCCTCACTTCTTCTTCTTCCTTTTCCTTTTCTTCTTGAAGGCGCCGGTCGTTTTCTCTCTTTTCAGATTCTGGCGAGCATTTATCGCTGGTTTCGTCGTTCTTTTTCGTGAGGGAGCGCCGTCGGAACTTCGCAGGCGAGGAACGACGAGTGCAGTCGGCAGGGCCGTACAAACCATCGCTCTCTACTACCACGACATCTTTTTGTCTTCCATGCCGAGCAACTTGCGACTCATTCTCTTTGTTTGTTCTCTTTTCAAAACCGCCTCTTCTTGTTGACTCTCGTTCACTCTTTTTGCTCCTTCGAAATATCGTCCAATCGCAGACCTCGAGAGTCCTTGTTTGCCTCGACTCGACGACAAGACATCACCCCGCCGTTTGCTCGCATCGCCACACCAGTCGCCAACATGGGCTGCCTCAGCCACCGCAAAAAGGAAACTCGGCAATATACCGACCAAAAATGGGACTACATCAACCTCTCCGACTTCAAGGCCAAGGGCTGCGGCGCTATTTTCGCCTACATCACCCTCTGGATGGGCCTCATCATCTCCCTGGCTGTCTACGGAGTCGATACCTTTACTGCCGTCCAGCTGCTTGTCTTCAACCGATGGTCGTCCGAAATCGAGCCCGCCATTCCGCTGTCCGTTTCCAGGTGGATCTTCTCCGGCTGTATCATCCTGTCCTTTATCAATTTGGGCTTTGAATGGGTTCGCGCTGCTCGCAAGATCAAGCGCGGCAATGTTGCAGAGGTCTATCTCGACAGCCTGGCTGTCCGCTGGGAGTCGATCCGTCTCGGCTCTGGCCAGGGGTTTAAGCGATTCCTCGTTTTTGGCGAGCTCACCAAGAGTAAGAAGGGTGTTGAATATATCGCCCTCTTCACTTATTTCAGCTTTCAGTGTATGTGCCGCTACTGGATGAGTTCTCATTCACTCTACCCCCTCAACTCGCCCTTACTGACCGTTCTACAGCCTGGATCCGTGTCCTATTCTGCACCAGCCCGCGACAGGTCGTCAATGCCCTGACGCTCAGGTCCGTCTACATGGCACGGCTCGCCGTCAGCTCAGACTCTGTCGAGGGCTCCATTTCTGCATTCTTCGACAAGATCAAGACGCTCGCGCAGTCAGACTTCCGCCAGGCTGCCATTCTCGGCGGCATGTGCTTCACGCTCGTCGTGTGGGTCTTTTCCGCCCTCTACCTGATCTCCGCGGCCCTCTTCTACGTCTTCTTCCTCTTTCACTGGATCCCTCGTTCCGATGGAGGCCTCACGGGCTACTGCGAGCGAAAGGTCAACAGCGCTCTTCTCAAGATTGTCACCAAGACGGTCAACCAGGCGCTCGCCAAGGGCCAGGTAGACAGGATGAAGAGAGCCATGACTGAAAAGGGGGAAGCCCACCCGGACGCATCTATTCCGACTCTGCCCAACATCAACCGCCTGTTCACGTCGCAGCAAGTCGGCGTGACTCCACCGTTGCCCGCCTACACTTCGAATCCAGGAACTCCAGCCGGCGACTTCAAGCGACAGATGCCCCCGCGCAGCATGACGGGAGCATCGACCATGAGCTACTCCTCGCGGGCTCCGCTCGTCAACTCTGCAGCCGACATGGGATATACGCACACGCGCTCAGCCTCGCCCGAAAACATGGCCCCAACCTTGCCATATCTGCAGAGGACTGGGACTGGGGAGTCGATGAGAAGCAATGGCTCTCCCCCAGACATGAGCCATATGCGCAATGGCTCCAATTCTTCGTACTATCAGCCGCGCTCTCAAAGCCCTCCCAACAATGGGCCTCCGCAGGACGTGAGCCATGTACGAGCTGGCTCAATATCCTCATATTATCAGCAGTCCTATTCCCAGAGCCCGGCGAGCATGGGCCCCGTGGGCCCCGCGACCGCGTCGCCAATGTATACACCGGCGGCACGGCCAATCCCGCCGCGTGCCGACTACAACAGCTATGGCCAAAATATGCAAGACGACAGCCAATCTTGGCGAGGTCCGCCGCCGAGGTCGTACACTTTCAACAACGAGGGTCGATCCAGCCCAGCGCCATCTGCGGCGGGATCGTCATACTCGAGAGCGCCCCAGCCACTCACGAGAAGTGCGACAAACCAGGTCCCTATCCGCGGGCTGCGGTTCGCTCCTCAAAGGCAGATGACTGAGCCAATGTCTGGTCGTGAGCCGACAGACAGCTACTACAGCGGAACTGGACCACGAATGCCGCCCACCAGACCGCCATTGCGTCAAAACTCGCAGAACATCTATAATTCGCAAGCCCAAGATGCATCTGGAGCGACCTATGGGTACGATGTCGAGGCGCAGAACAATGGTAGATATTAGAGATAGACTGCCAGTTAATCTTTCCGACCGGATCGGAACCAAACTCTCTCTTCTCCACCGCGATTTTCATCACGATCTACGATACATGTAAGGCGCAAGGGTAGGGCTGAGACGCAGAGATTTGAGGATAATATACCCCAATGACAGGTTGGGTTTGGGTACTGGGATATGGAGCAGGCGAAACGGAGCGAATTGGCTGTACCATCACCCACAAAGAGGATATTATAAGAACAAAGATCAAAATACTGGGCGTTCTTCCACACTATCTTCGTGGACTCCGAGACTTTGCATAATTGTGATGGAAGCTGCTCACCTGATTGATATTAGAGAACTGAATGCGGGGATCACGTCTTCCCGATGTTCGCCTCTCTCTGGCCGCATTCTTTGTTGTCAGCGCTAGCATCGCCGACGAATCGAGCAAAAATGCGGCGCTTTTGCCGTTGCTTGATTTGTCACCCCATGCAGCGTCACCGATCTAGTTCTCGTAGCTGTTATGGAATCGGGCGTAGTAGAGTTGGAGGAGGGAGGCGATTCCATCCAGTCAAAAGGCCGTCTCTCGTGCGAGTAATCTCCGGTCTGCTACTCCGTATAAGACAAAACTACCACCTCACACTCATCTTTTATTTCAACCTCCACCCATTCTTTCGCGGGCATGTCATGAACAGGACATGCTCCTCAGCCAAATCTCATACAACCTCTCCCAGCTATTCACCCTCCCCAACGCCCCTCCCAGCATCTTCACCACCAACGCCTCCATCGCCATCGACGCCACCATGCCGGCCCTCATGTCGTCGTCCTGGCACCCCGGCGAACTCGCCATGCACCGCGAGCTGCGGACGGGCCGCTTCGAGAATCCCACGTCGGCTGGCTGTCCCACGCCGTATGCCATCAGGGTGATGCATTCGCAGCTCGTTGCGCTCGGGACATTAGACGAGGAAGGGAGGCCGTGGACGACGGTCTGGGGCGGGGAGAGGGGCTTTGCGAGGCCTGTTGCTGAGGGGGTTCTCGGGCTGAAGAGTGCGGTCGACAAGGAGTTTGATCCTGTCTATAAGGCTTTCTGGGCATCATCGTCTTCTTCCCCGGATAAGAGCCGCGGTGGCGGTCCCGATGAGGAGGAGGAGGAGGGCATAGTCCGGCCCGAGGGCGGCAAAATGATGAGCGCCCTCTCCATCGACCTCGAGACGCGCGACCGCGTCAAGCTCGCGGGGAGACTCATCGCCGGCGCCGACATCCGCGGGCCGGAGAGCGAAGTGCAGCTTGCGTTCCACGTGGAGGAGAGCCTTGGCAACTGTCCCAAGTACATCAACACGAAGGCTCTCGAGGCGGTCGTTCCCCGGCCGGAGCTGGTTCCTGGGCGTCCGGGAGGGATGTTGCCTCCTGAGGCGGTTGCTCTGATTGAGAAGGCGGACATGTTTTTTCTTTCGAGCACGAATGGGGTGAGTATGGATACGAATCATAGGGGCGGGCCGAGGGGGTTTATAAGGGTTTTCAGGAATGATGAGGATGGGGTGGAGTTGGTGTATCCAGAGTGTAGGTCTCCCCCTTCTTTTTCTCTGACTCCTTGTATGCCATCAGGGACTGACACAAGCATGAAAACAGACTCAGGAAACAGACTATATCAATCGCTTGGAAACCTCAAAGTCAACCCCCTCATCGGCATCGTCATCCCCGACTACACCACCTCGGACGCCCTCTACCTCACCGGCCGCTCCACCATCCTCCTCGGCAAGCAAGCCTCCGACATCCTCCCCCGCTCCAACATCGCCGTCAAAATCACCCTCGCCGCATCCCGTCTCGTAAAAGCCAGCCTTCCCTTCCGCGGCACTCCCAACGAACCCTCTCCTTACAATCCCCCCATCCGATATCTCCTCTCCGAGAGAGCGCCCGCCCTGGCCCCTACAGATCGCCCGGATATCAATGCCACGCTCATAGCGAGGGACATTCTCACGCCTACCATTGCCGTCTTCACCTTCAAGCTCGAGACTCCCAATTCGCGGACTGTTCTCCCGCAGTGGCGGGCAGGACATCACGTAACCATGAACTTCGAAACAGAAGTCAGCTCGGGTTATGCACACATGAACGACGACGACCCGCAAAGCCTCAACGACGACTACGTACGCACATTCACCGTCTCCAGTCCGCCCGGATCTTTGCCCGCAAAAGATATGTTCCAGATCACGGCGAGACTGCATGGGCCGGTTACGAGGTTCCTTTGGAGTCATAACACGCGGGTGCCGCTGGACGTGCAGGTCATGGGTTTCGGTGGGAAAGATGCCTTTGCGTTGCCTGTTGCGTTGCCTGTTGCGTTGAGTGGTAAGGAGCCGGTGTATGTGGCGGGAGGAGTGGGCATCACGCCGCTGCTTGCGCAGGGGAAGGGGGTGCTTGATGCGGGTGTTGCGTTGAAGTTGCTCTGGACGCTGAGGGGTGAGGATCTGGCGTTGGCGGTTCATGTTTTTGATCGGATTCCTGGTTTGGCAGAACGGACTACGCTGTTTGCTACGGGGTCGCTTTCGGGGGAGGATGCGCAGAGGTTACTGGAGAAGATTCGGGAGCGGGGGGCGGAAGTTGTGGAGAGGCGGGTTGGTGGTGATGATTTGGGGGGGTTGAGGGGGGAGGGGAAGAAGAAGAAGTTTTATTTGTGTACGGGGGCGGCGCTTTTGAAGACGTTGAGGGGGTGGTTGGAGGGTGAGGATGTTGTTTGGGAGGATTTCGGGTATTGAGGGGGTGTGTGATGGTGGGATATGTGAAAAGGTTATGGTAGCGCTGCTTGAATGGGATTTCGATGTGATTGTTGTTATCGTGTTGTTGCTTGTTCGTATATTGCCGTGTCAAATCCCGCGCCTGGTGTTGATTAAACTCCAAAGTTCGTGTGGCTGGATTTGTGTAGCAGTCTCGCCGATGGTTCGCTCCATATTCCGTCGATATAATGCTTAGGCAATCGCGTCAAAGTATTTTGTATGGAGAGTTCTCTTCATGGGCTGTATTCTCTTCGCAATCTGTATTCTCTTCGTAACAATCAAAGCCGAAAAAGCTAACGATAGCCTAACATGAGACCAGAGTCAGCATTTATCCTCAAGTGACCAAGCGCCCAAGAGTCAACTCACCTCGTGTGAATTGTCTGGTCGAAGCAGGTCCTTCGTTTGCTGGGTAGAGGTATGGAGGCATAGGCTAAGAGAGAGGCAACAGAGAAGATGAAAGGCTCAAGAATGAGATATCTTCGGCTGGATCACGCGTGTTCCAAAGACATTAAGCGAAGAAATCAGGTCGTCTGGGGACGGGGCAGAAAGGCAAAGGGTGGCTGATGGTAAACTTGGAGAGAACCCCCTTTCTGCCCGGAGACGAGCCTCCGTGTGCTGGCTGTTGTGGAGAAGCTCAGAGAATCCTTCAGTGAATCCTGTTGAAGGATCAGGGCATATGGCTTGGGATTCTTCCCGTTGGTGGTGTGCAACGACTAAGGGTTATCTATCGTGGGACAAGGATCTCAACAGCAGTCCGGGTGAGCCATTTCCTCCTCACAGTTTCTCTCATGGGCCATCAATTGTTACAGCTCTCCATTAGTATAGCCGAGGTGCAAGGCTAATGTGGCCAAGCCTCAGGCTTCTTCTGCCATATCCAGATCCTTTGGAGGTCTATCCGCTTATACACGTATCCCGTATATCCACACCGGAAGTAATGTGATAAGATGACCCTTTCCATGACTACCGTATCCTTCATGCGGAAATATTCCAAGCAAGCTGAAACAACCCCGTGGAGGATTGTTGATAATTCTCCTATTATTGCAGCGTCTTCTCCATATCCCTTGCTTCGAGATCCAGGCTGATAGGCCCTGACCGCCAAAGAAGCATCATCACGACTGCATATACGCGTATTCCTTCTGCGTCCGCTAGGAACACGACCCGCCTCCATTAGTAGAAAGTCATGAATCTCCATCAAATCTCACAATATCGAAGCAATTGATTGGATGGCAGCCGAGCTCATGTTGTTACAGGGAGCGGGTTGTCGACGATACGCGTATTTGCGGGTGTCGCATTCGTATTCGGGAGAGCGCTTGCGCTTGGTACGAGGCGGCTTGGTAATGTCTAGCCAGCCGCGTATACGGAGATGGCTATTACACGTATCGTCTAAGCAGATCTATGAAAGATGTAAATCGATATCGAAAAGTATAAAGAAAGAGACTGAATCTCTTGTTATTCTGCTCTCTTTTCCATACTAGGACCAACCTCTATCATTCTAGTCATCTCCTTCTCGTCCTTTTCCTCTTTTCCCCTGAGGACAATACCGCTCGTTATAATGGTCGATGCAGCTAGCCAAGCACTTCTCCCGGCGAATCAGGCCCGGAATGTAGCCTTTGACAGAGTCCTGCACAAGAACTCATCGAATGCTCAGGGCGGGCTTCGTGCCATGATCAACAAGGACAACGAGGCACACAAGGCGGCTGTGGTTGAATACTTTCAGCACTGGGATGATAAGAAGGCTGAAGACGAGACTGAAGCCGTTCGACAAGCTCGTGTTGATGATTATGCAAGCTTGACTAGACAGTATGGGAATCTTCTTCCTCTTCTTCCTCTTCTTCCTCTTCTTCCTCTTCTTCCTTCTTCCTCTTGAGATTTGCTGCTAACTTGTTTACACTAACAGATACTACAATTTGGCGACGGATCTCTACGAATACGGCTGGGGAGAAGCATTCCACTTCTGCAGATTTGCCTACGGAGAAACCTTTCGTCAGGCCGTTAACCGACACGAACACTTTCTGGCAAGCAGCGTCGGTATCAAGCCTGGCATGCGCGTTTTAGACGTCGGATGCGGCGTTGGCGGACCGGCCCGCGAAATAGTCAAGTTTACCGGATGCCATGTCACAGGCTTGAACATCAACTCGTATCAGATCAGCCGAGCCAGGCAATATGCAGTCAAAGAAGGACTTACACATAAGCTTGATTTCGTCCAGGGGGATTTCATGGTCGGTCAACTCCATCGTTACTGTTGGCAGTACAGATCTAACTTATATATCACAGAGCTTGCCCTTCCCCGACAACTCGTTCGATGCCGTCTACGTAATCGAAGCTACCGTCCACGCACCCTCCCTGGAAGATGTCTACAGGGAAATATTCCGCGTCCTGAAGCCAGGAGGCGTCTTTGGCGTCTACGAATGGTTCATGACCGACGCCTACGATAACAATGACTTGACCCATCGTCAAATCCGCCTCGACATTGAGGAAGGCGACGGCATTGCTCAAATGCTCAAAGTCGAAGACGGTCTCGCTGCCATTCAAGCCGCCGGCTTCACGCTCGAAACCCACTACGACCTTGCCGAGGATGACAGCAACGATACCAGTGTCGCTCCTTGGTATTGGCCCCTGGGAACTGATCTTCGATACGCGCAAACTCTGACGGATGTGCTTACGGTACTGAGAATGAACCGTTTCGGAAGAGTGGTGTCTCACGCTTTCATTTCGACTCTGGAATTACTGCGCATTGCTCCGGCCGGCACGATGAAGACGGCTCAGAGCCTGGCAAAGGCGGCGGACGCGTTGGTTGAGGGAGGGAAGAGGAAGCTATTCACACCCATGTATTTGATGGTGGGCCGCAAGCCGGAGGTTTGAGAAGTCTATCGCTTTTGACTGTGTTATCTTGTGTCTTTACTCCGTATTAGCATCCAATTAACTCGCAGCACGTGGCTGCATTATTATACCTATCTAGATCCATAAACGGTGACCAATTAGAGGCCGTTCCTCACTTACGTCTGTAAGGCTCTCCGCGAGGCTTTGATGGATATGCCTTGATGCCTGATATGCCCAACCCCAACTTTGACTATACTTGTCCCTATAATCTCCATACTATACTTCTTACTTGAAAATCTGTATACTTCATATCACTTGAGAATCTGGTCCAAATCCTTTCCCATATTTACTGTTATCGGTGTCAACATCATGCGTCTGTTGAACACTTCCACCCTCGAGCCCCAAGAATTCGACTATGGCAACATCCCGCCGTATGCCATTCTCTCGCACAGATGGGGGAAAGAAGAAATCACTCTCCAAGAACTGGAACAGGGCGTCACCACTAAAGAAGGATTCAAAAAGGTTCGCAAATGTTGTAAGCGAGCCAAACGTGACGGGTTCGACTATGCCTGGATCGACACGTGCTGCATAAACAAGACAAGCAGCGCCGAGTTATCGGAGGCAATCAACTCCATGTATCTTTGGTACTATCAAGCCGATCGATGCTATGCCTATCTTGTGGATGTCCCTTCGAAATGCATGATTGAGGACAGCGAATGGTTTACCCGAGGATGGACTCTCCAAGAGCTGCTCGCGCCATCAGAGGTTCACTTTGTTGATGAGCACTGGAACGACCTCGGGACAAGGACGGAGCTTCAAGGAACCATATCTAAATGCACTGGCATACCGATCAACATCCTCTCTGGTGACGACGAGCTCGAATCGGCGAGCATCGCCCAAAGAATGTCATGGGCTGCAAAAAGAAAGACTCAAAGGCTTGAAGATCGTGCCTATTGCCTGATGGGAATATTCGGCATCAACATGCCATTGCTCTATGGAGAGGGCGAACGAGCTTTCATCAGACTCCAGCAAGAAATCATGAGAGTCTCGGACGACCAGAGTCTTTTTGCATGGAAATCCTCCGATACCCGCGGCGGACTGCTGGCAACTTCGCCAGAGGCCTTCGAAGGCTCCAAAGACATCGTTCCATTCAATCACTTCAACGATCCCGGTGATCCTTCGACTGTAAGCAGCCGAGGGATACATCTTGCGGTACGCTTCATCGGAATGGGGGCCAGGGGAATCGGCCTCGCAATTCTTCAGTGTACAATCCGGGATGGCGATAAAAGGCCGATTGCAATTTATGTCAAAGACCAATCGTGGACAATGGAAGATTTCGAGAGAGTCCGAAGCGATGAGTGGGAGCTGCTCGATCTGAGAAATTTCATTTCCACTCAATATCCATTGAGACGGCTATGCATTCGCGTCGGGCGGATGACGCCTATCCGAAGGCGCGATAGCATTATTAGCCAAAGCGACATCGTCATACGATACCATGATTGCTACGGCTATAAAGAGCTAGACGTCCTTGTGAATTCTGCGGATCCAGGGGCGTTGTGGCGTGCAGCCGAAAGGGGGTCCCCAGACGAAGTATGGTTGCTATTGACGCGATCCGACATCGAGATTTTTATGCAAGGTGAATATGCACAGACAGCTTTGAAATTCGCGGTGGACGGCGGCAATGAGACTATCGCGAAGATATTGCTTGTTCGGGGCGCTCAGGTCAACTCGCCTCATCGCATGTCTGACACGCTGTTGACGAGCGCCATGAAGCAGGGACACAAGGGCATTATTAAACTGCTGCTTGATCACGGGGCGACAGTGAATCCCCCGCCGGGATTTGGTAATGGAGGCGCACCGCTACTATTTGCTGTCAACGAAGGACGCGAGGATATCGTTGAGCTGCTGCTGCATAGGGGCGCCGAGATTGACCTTCCCCCCAACGAGTACAGCGTAACACCGCTATGGGCGGCCCTTGAGAACCGGCATCACGGAATCGCCAGAGTACTGCTCGAGAACGGCGCTGAAGTTGATGAAAAGTCTACAATAGACAACAAAACGCCGCTTATATATGCTCTGGAACATGGATATGACAGTTCTTTCATTGAGCTATTGCTGGACAAAGGGGCTGGTGTCGAATCGACAAACAACCGCAACGAGACACCGCTTCATCTGGCCTCTGGAAATGGAGACGTGGATGCCGTCAAGCTATTACTCGATAAAGGTGCCGATATTGAGGCCAAAAGCGACACCAACCTCACGCCACTTTCGCAGGCTGTTTTAGGGGAGCGGCACGATGTGGTTAAGCTATTACTCGATCACGGCGCCGATATCGAAACGGAACCGACACCACTTGCACTCGCCGCATCGCAAGGGTATGCAAAACTTGTCAAACTGCTACTTCGCAGAGGCGCAGACATTGAATCCAGGGACTCGGATGGTAGAACGCCGCTCGCAGTGGCTGCAATGAGCGGGGAAAAGAGTGTGGCAAAGCTGTTGCTTTCTGAAGGCGCTGAGATCGATTGCAGAGATTCCCAAGGCCGGACGCCACTCGCGCTGGCCGCAGCGCGTGCAAAGGAATCTGTAGTGAAGCTGTTGCTTTCTCAGGGCGCGGATCCCCATGTGAGGGATTTTGAAGGCCAGACACCACTCAAGATAGCCCGTAAGGGGGTCAACGTTACCGTTGCTAAGCTCCTGGAAACGGCGGCAAGCCGTGTATAACAAGCTGGCGCCTCCACGCGTGCCAAAAGGTAACTGAAATGGAGACATGAGCGGAATTATAGGTTCAGAAGGAAAGGGACGAGCAAGTAGTCTGTTTAGTGAAAGAATGTCAAACGCCTTGATTTGAACGTTTCATTCCGATTTTACCTCTGATGCTCCACGGCCTTTTGTTGGAGACTCTATGAAACTCTTCTTTAGAATACAAAGTGCATACAAGAGCTTATCCAAATTAGCTAAACGGCGGCACATATGGAGCCGCTCGAATAGCAATACGCAACTTCATGTGATAATCCAACGGCTCATCATCATGCAAGTCGTCCTGATTCCAGCAAGCCTCCACAAGCTGCCGTATCAGCCTCATGTTAAACGACCGCGGCTCCTCCCCAGCTCTATTCAATATCTCCAGCGCCGTCATCCGTTGAGCATCATCCCTAGCTTCACAGGCAACCATGAACACGGGCCACGGAGGAATAGAAGTCAGCTTTCCGCACAAGATGTCCAGTCCTCTGCTCACGAGATTTCTGTGGCGTAGCTCCTCGCCAGAATAACCCAGTGCTGCGCGATTGAGGTAGATCAAAGCGGCGAGGCGGTACAGTTCTGTTATCCTGTCGCGTTCTTTGGGTGCTTCGTTGGAGGATGGGTGGAATGGGTGAAAGTCCAGCAGACCTCCCCGTAGTTTTGCTTCCAGGGCGTAAAGCTCCTGCGTCTCCAAGTGGGAAGGACGGCTGCTATCCTTGATCCGCGGCGTGAGGCTTGCGAATATCGATGATGTGTAGCCAAGGACATCCCGGTCGCAGACGAAGTCGTTCTATGGCAACTCAGTCACTCATACAATTCCAAGTGAGTTCTGAAACCTACTCGTGGTACAAAGACCCCTGCAGTATCAGGATCCATGGCGCAGAATCTCAGTCCCTTCAAAGCCACTGCCGGCTTCCAGTATACCAGGCCGAACCGAGCAAAGGTCTCGTGGTAGGAAACCCAATCAAAGAGAAGAGAAACATCTATGTGGACCTCTCGGGCCAATACACCGGACGAAACGATCTGCTTGGCGCCGCATAGATATTCGGCCCAGTCTTTCGTCGTATTGGAGATATGAAAGGTCTTTTGACGTAATCCATTAGCCCGTCAATCTTCAAATCGACCTATCTTACTGTCAGTATGCCTTGCCTACCTCACAAAGGTATAATAGCATGCTAGCCAGGAGGTGTTGAGCGGTCCGATGGCCAATGTTCCCAAGTTGAAGTGATTGTTGAAGGTATGATAGCGCCATGATCTTGTACATCATCGCCACGCTATCTCGTCCGAGATGTAGGGACGATAAAGCCAGTAGGCTATGCAATATCGAATTTGACGCCGGTGTAGCATCATAAAATGCCAGCCTTAGAATGCAGTCCGTCAAGTCTCCTGAGCTATCTATCACTAACAGCTGAGAGCCCATGTCCATGACTGAAACAAGTTGTCAGAAATGAGTGACAAACGATGCAGGTTCCTTAACTTACAGTACTGCAACAATCCAGATTGGCTGTCGTGCACTCTCATCGAGGGAATAGATGGCGGCGCCGCTGGAATCGACATTTTCGGAAACGTCACTTAATTTCAGGAAGAAAGAAAAAGGGGGTCAGTCGACGCTTGAGGACAAAAAAAGAGAACACTTACTGTTCGATTCAGCTTTCGACACTTTATAAAACGTATCGACATCCCAGCTAGTCATGTTTATGAATAGACTATGCTGATACAACGCGGCTAACATGTGCTTTTTCTGCTTCGGGGTCGATTTAAGCTCAACGGCTCTTCGTTTGTCTCCCGGCCGGGGCCAGGAAAGCCTGATGCTGTACCCCTGACACGGCACGTTTCGCTGCCGGCAGTTGGTACACGCCGGCAGCGCACGATCGCATTTGATCTTGCGATCTGCCACATCTGTTAGCCAGAAAGGATCATAGGGGAGGAGCCGATTAGCTGTGTACCTCGACAAGTCCAGCAGCCTTTGAGAGTCATTTGGAGATTGGTGGGGGTCAGAATCACGGGGACTCGGATATAATAGGACAACCGCTTTCCAAGGAAACTCTTGTACCATCAAGGAGTTCTAGCGTCCTTAGTTTTCGAACAAGTCGTCTTGAAGGACTATCTTCCACCTAATGAGCGACGGGGAAAAGTTGCCTCGACTATCGTCAAGGCGAATGATGGTTAGGATTCGTGCCAGTTATAAAGTACTCAGCGGAGCAAGCGGAGCAAGCGTGAGCCCGCACGATATGCAGATGAAGCTTAGAATTAGAGTATAAATATTATCAAGATATTAACATGCTTCTAACAAGGAGTTGAGCTGAAATGGAGCGTTACAGGTTAACCGTTGTTAAGTCTAGAGTTGCCCACCTGGTTTCGTATAACCTCTGGACCCTCGGTTTTGAACAATTTAGGGTTAGTTTCGGAAATTCTTGCCTTTCGTGTTTGTGCTACCAATCATGTCGAGCAGTGAAAGCTTGTCAAGGGAATTGGCTCACATTAGTAAGCGATTGACGAGGAGTATTACGAACTATCTCGCATCTCTTTGGCTTCGACAACTCGACATGGCGTGTTTTGTCAATGCCGTATTAGGAATATACCAGGCCTCCTTGTGGATGATACGGAATATGACAGTTGACATGTTATGAATTTGTCTACGTGCGATTCTCGATGTAGCATTGCCTACATCACCGTTGCGAAGTGATAGACACTAGTATCGGAAAACTAGCCTCATTTTGACATTCTCGATTGATATAAGAGACCATCTTACAAGAACAAGTACGGTTGAACATGAGTAGTGGCTGTCTGAGGATCTCACTCAGCTCCCTTCTCGTCTTTGATAACTTCATTTTGGCTGAAGTAATTACATCAAGCGGCGGCTAAACGAGAGAGTGACAACTCGGAGCAATTCACGGCCGGTATAGAAGGAAGAATACGAGGACTAAACATCGTGTGAATAGACTAACAGAATGTCAGATCGCTAAAGAAAAAATTTGCGGGTATGTCATGAGTTATTTGCCTCGGTCCATGTATCCAAGATGGGAATGAAGCGTGGGAGCAAAACGTTACATTGCCCGGGAAAGTAATTTGTAAAGGAAAACTTTCTTAGGTCCTTAAAGGAAGCTATAGACATCCTATAAAGTATACCGTGCTCTCTTCTTACCAATCTCACACCTTGCGTTCCCCAGCCCCTTTATGTAGGTACGCACTGCGAGTACCAGTCATTGCTATATCTGCAATTTCCCTGCGCGCAGCACGTAGCACCCGTCCACCCATTACCTCCGCACTGGCCATATAAGGGCGAGCAGTTGCCCGAAGGCGGTGGAGGCGTCGACGAGGTCCTAGCCGACGTCGTCGTCGTCGTAGATGCAGGAGGAGGAGGGGTTGTACCGCCATTGATAGCGTCAACGTGATTCTTGACCAAGCATTGCCAGTTTGATGAGTTGTACCAGACGGTGTACGGGTCACTGTTCGATTGGGCACCGTTGGCAAAGGTGTCTCCCCACTGCCAAAACATGTCGCCGCCCATGCCACGAGTCGTAAGAGACGTGGTCTGCCAGGTTCCCTCGTTGGTGCAGGGGTCCTGCAGTGCGCCATCTATTTGTCATGAGTTAGTTTGGCCCAATTCCTAGAGCGAGCATACATGACTGTGCTCACATTCTTCAAACACGCAAGGCTTGCTTGCTGCCAAACAAGCCGCGGCATGGGTTTGGATCCAGCCATTGCCCCAAGTGTAGTTTGTGCCCCCTATACAGTACGACGTTAACACTTGACTTTTGCAAACGGACAGCTGCCGAAACTCGGTCTTTAAGGACACTTACAAGAGTCCGGGTAGAGATGAAAAGTGCCAAAGTCAAGCGACTTGATTTGCACATTCTTTGCAAAATCAGTCCCTTCCCCGTAAGTATACGGATAAGAACCGTCCCCAGTACTGAGACCAAGCCCCTCATCTCCCAGCGTCACAAGATGATTCGCATCAAGTGATTTGACGTATTGGGACACACTCGTGGCCCACTGAACGATAACATCAGTACTGCACCCGTTGCAGCGAGGCTCGTTGCCCAACTCCCACGCGAAAATCGCCGTCGAGTTCGCGTAGCGGCTGACGACAGCCTGGATGTACTTGCGATACTGAGCTTGCGCCGCCGTGTTAGTGTACCAGGTGGTCGCGTTGCCGCCAAAGGCGTTCACGTAGGCGTTGATGCCGCCGTAGTCGCTCCAGTTGTTGACGAACGGGATGATGAGCTTGAGGTTATGCTGCTCCGCTGACTTGACTACGTAGTCGAGGGTCTGCAGCCCGTCGGCTCCCGTGTTGATCGTGGATCCCTGCGCGGAAAGCAGCTGGAACCAGACCTGGCCGGGAGAGGGCTGCGTGTTGACGTCGTTGAAGCCCCATACGCGGACTACCTTGAGGCCGGAGGAAGCGATGTGGCTCAGTGTCGAGTCAACGTCGGCCTGGTTGGTGAGAAACGAGCACCAGTAGCAGTTGGTGCCTGCAAAGTAGCCTACTTTGCCATCAATGTTGAATTGGCTTCCCGATACTGTCACAAAGCTTGAGGCGCGCGGAACCGGTTGTAGTACCGCGGCCAGCGCTGAGGCTGCAGTTGCAGCGGCAAGGAGACTCCTTGAGAGCATCATTTCGCACCGATGTATACCATATGATGACTTGAGGTTCGGCGTAGCTGAGGCTACTTACATCAAGAGAACTCGTCGGGACACCGGCTTTATATACCAAATACTCTACATGACTTCAACGTGTAGTTGACATAGAGATCCCGATTTCCTGTTCGAGACACGGCAGGCCTTCTTCCGCAATTACCGTTCACGGCGGCTTCTCCAGCATTAACCATTGTGCCTCGACCGGATATTCAATGCAATGTCACGCTGCGAATGCAACCCCCACAACCACCAGCCGCAGTCCCGAATGCATATTCTTTACGTCTTGAACATTCGACTACCCATACTTATATGCCCGTGCAGACTCTGCTGTAGTGGTATTCATTACTTGGACTTTAGGCAGAAGTTGTTCTCTCTTCTATATTTATAGAGTCACTTACGCAAGAATTACCGAATGTATGCAAGTTAATGGCAGCAAAGGCTCAGACGGGCCGTAGCTGGGGATTTTGGTTTGACATGGTCCAGATCAGGACAGCAATCAGATGCTTCGACGATCGGCCATGGCAATGCACGTTGCACCCCGCTGCTTGGTTGCTTTACCCGGAGCTGCCTCTATTATAACCCCGTTCAAGGCCTAATAACTCGATATGTGTCTTGAGACAGAGATATAGCCGACAGCAGTCGGAAGCGCTCCAATTGTGTACTTCTCAAATACTTAGGCAATGGAATGCTAGCTGAATAACCGGCAACGCCTCTGATCGCAAATGATTGGATGCCAACACTGATCAATGTCTCATTGCAGATACGGCCAAGACTGTCAAGCTCTTTCTTGTACTGAATACCATCTATTTGTACAGCTAAGGACTCTAACGCAACAGTTACTGCGAGACCCATTGATCAAACTGCTTTGCAAGTTTTATGCATCGCTCGTCCACGAATCTCGTCCACAAATTGGCCGCATACAGGTTGATCACTGTGACGATGATGTAGCCCCCTATCCAACGGAATGCGGATGCAACCTCATAATAACCAGTGCCTTCCTCCGGCTCCGATCCCCCTGTGGCTATGTACCACAAGGCACGTCTGACAGGGTCGCTGAATAAGTGATAAATGGACTGATGGACGAGGTACAGCGAAAAGGAGATCCTCCCCAGATACTGTACAAACTTCGAGTTGAGGGGGGACTGAAGTTGCTTGGTGGTGCTGATGGCAGACACAACCAGCACGGAGCCAACCGTTTTCCACGTCTTGTCAATAATCCCCCAGTTTCCATCCCATCGTGAGGATTCAGCAATCTGCAAGAACTGATATCCCGGTGGGAGGGCACCGTCGTCGCTCAAGCAGAGAAGCCAGATGCCGACGACGAACATGGCATACGTTCGGATGGTGCTGAAGTTGACGGACCGCGCCTGGACCGGGATATACGGTTTGAGCCACAATGGATACTCCGTCTCAGTGCTGACAGTTTGAGACTCCGACAAGAGTTGCAGCTCGGCCAGCCAGTAGCCTGCCAAGAATCCCATGACATCCCAGAAGCCAAAGTAGAACCAGTAGGCCATCGAAGCCCAAAGAGCCCAAAGTCGGGGCCTCGGCTTCCAGAACGCCAGACCCAGGACGAGGAGATACACCACGCAAGACCCGCGGAACTCGAGGGCCATGGTCCAAAGCTGGCCGTTAAGACCCCCATTGTACTGGATGGCGAGGATGTTGATGTTGTCCAGCATGTACCGAACGACAAAGGTAACATGGAACCACGGTGCAGTCCAAGGCTTTCTTCCCCAGACAACCTCATCACCGGGCTCCCATGAGTAGAGGTTGAGAAAGAAGAGCATCTGCGAAATGACCGTGATGCAGAAGACCGGGAGATATATGCGCAAGCCGCGGCGCGTGACCGCCGAAGCGAGTCGGCGAAGGAGCCCTTCGCTGTTATTGCTGGCTCTCACCCGGATGAGATTGATCGAGATGGCGTAGCCCGAGATGACAAAGAACAAGGGCACCATGGCGTGGGCAGCAAAGAACAGACGGAAGGGAGGCAGCTGATACAGCAGGCGGTTCTCCTCGGGGGGGTCCGCCCAGAAGGACCTGAAGCCGGCGTGCAGAACGGCGCCCATGAAGTAGTGGTCTGTCGCAACAATGGCCGCCGCGATGCCCCGCAGGCCATCGAGCCAGAGAGCGCGCGTCATGCTGCACGTCTTTGCCGGATCATCGATGGGGATGGATGGAGATGTAGAAAAATAGGCGGCAATGCGTGGTGGATGGAAAATGGGAAAAGGGGGGCTTGCTGTTTCTAGTAAGGCTGCTAGCCAGGGGTTGATGCCGGACATGGACCACTTTCGCCCGTTAGCCTTGCGCATACGACCATACCGAGGCAGGGAAAGTTCGGGGTCCCGTCGAGTTTTCTTTGAGTTCTATGTCTTCCAATGACAAGAGGATAACGATCTGGGAGAGCTATCCTAGTCTGGGGTTCTTCAACCTGGATATCATGTACCATTCTTTGGAGATAATCGGCCCATGGCACCCGAATTCAGCAGTTATTAATACTGCTCTATATCTAAGTCTTGGTCTGAGGCAGAGTTGCAACATGTCCGAGTTCATCGCCATCTCAATGCCAAAGGAACCAAGCGCTCAACTTTGGGAGAACTATTAGCCTACGATTAGACGCATCTATGAAAGCTTCACGGTGTCGATCTATACAATACCAGAACTCAATCTGTTATGCCAAGCTTGACATCCTCTTCCAAGCTACCTCTCCCTTCCTTATTCTCCCAATGTAGTCCCAATACCACCTTGCGTCCATCATGTGGGCCCAACCATGACGGCTCAGCCAGGCCCAGAGAGCATGATTCGAATTCAGCCCGCGACGAAACGATGATGCTCACACACAGGATGCATCATAACCCACGGCAAGTGCATGTAAGTTGTGTAGCTATCAAAGTAGCTATCAGACAAGTTATGAATTGCCGTCTTGAGTTACGGTCTACCAGTGGGAATCACAGTCTGTGCTCCAAATGCGCACACCCTTCTCCGGGTTACCGAATGGCCTCGACGGCCAACACTTGTTCAGGACATTGAAGGTCCTTCGTCTGCTCCTTTTGTCCGATTGTTATGCACACAATACTCTAGATCAAAGAGCGTCTCTGTATGTCATTCAGGCATCATGATTCGGATATGGAGCATCTGCTTACCCAACACTCACACCCACCTTGTCCCATCTCATCTCACAGGATGATCCGTGCTGCCGCTTTGCCGAAGCTTCAATCTTCAGTGAGGTAATGGAAGCTTCAAGTTCGCTGGGGAAGCAGATGGATGACTAATGCGGGGCTGGTGAGGGGACGAGCAATTGACGTCGGATAAGCACCTGCCGAGTCCTCACAAAACAAAAAGTGCAGCCAATTCATTCTTGCCTCTTCTCTTGCCTTCTGCCTCCTGTTCTCAAGGGAAACCTCATCAAGATTCTCACTGAACCTTTTCATTGTCAAGTATCAGCATCTCCTGATCAAGGAGAGCCTCATTACCTTCACCATTCTGCACAAATCTCTCTTCCTTCTACCCCGCCATCTTCAGCTCGGGGCATCGCGAGGGGCAAAAATCGTGCATCATTCGTTCCGTGTAAGACAGCAGTTCAGCTTCGCGACAATGGCGGCCACCACGGATCTTAGCAAGTACAAGTTCAACCACTCGATGTATGACTCAACCAGACGACACTTTGCTTTTTGATCCACGTCGCTCACGAGTGCTGCAGGATTCGAGTCAAGGACCCCAAGGAGTCTGGTAAGCTCACACACCGCGATGCATCATGATGACATGACTGCTTATGCCCGCTCAGTCAAATTCTACGAATTCCTTGGAATGAGCGTCGTCCGCAAGCTCGAGTTCCCCGACGCCAAGTTTGACCTCTACTTCATGGGATACAACAACAAGGGCGCCGTTTCCTTCGGCAACTCGGCCGTTGACCGCGAGGGCGTCATTGAGCTCACCCACAACTACGGCACCGAGAATGACCCCAACTACACCGTCAACAACGGAAACAAGGACCCTCACCGCGGATTCGGCCATACCTGCATTTCCGTCGACAACATCCAGGCCGCCTGCCAGCGCATCGAAGATGCCGGCTACAAGTTCCAGAAGAAACTGACCGATGGGCGCATGAACCACATCGCCTTTGTATTGGACCCTGACGGGTACTGGGTCGAGATCATTGGCCAGAAGCCCATCGAAGAGACCGCCGAGATCAAGGAAACGGATGTCTCTACCTACCGGATGGCAAGATAACCTACACTGCACCTGAATCTTGAAGTAAACGCACTAACTCTCGCCAGAACCACACCATGATTCGCGTCAAGGATCCCCAAAAGTCTCTCAAGTTCTACCAAGAGGTCCTGGGCATGTCCCTGTTCAGAACTCACGAGGCTGCCAGTGCAGGATTCAACCTCTACTTCCTCGGCTACCCTGGAGACCAGGGTGTTCCTAAAGACGGCAAGACCAGCGACCGTGAAGGTCTCCTCGAACTGACCTGGAACTATGGCACCGAGAAGGATGAGAACTTTTCCTACCACAATGGCAACGACGAGCCTCAAGGTTTCGGCCACATCTGTAAGCGCCTTCTTCCCAACATGTATCACGGGCGCTAGTCCATACTGACCTTGATGTTATAGGCGTCTCTGTCGATGACTTGGACGCTGCCTGCCAGCGGTTCGAGGACCTCAAGTGCAACTGGAAGAAGAGGCTCACGGATGGCCGGATGCGCAACGTGGCTTTCTTGCTGGACCCCGACGGATACTGGGTTGAGATTGTCCAGAATGACAGGTACAGCGACAAGAATACTGTTTAGTCGGACGACTGGAATGGAACGATAGCTAGCCCGCGAATGCGACGAATTTTCCGAAAATGATGGTGCAACTTGCCATGATATGCGACGCATGTCGGTCTGCCTTGTGGGTGACCAGACACTGACAAAGCCTCTCAAACAGTGCATGAGGATCAACCTGCATATGCATGACCCACTGAGGCTGAATCTTGGGCTGCGTTGGAATAACAAGGATAACAACACGGCGCCTACACAAGCAATTATGTCTCCCGCCATAACAACATCGCGAAGTCGAAGCTACCATCTTCCGACCTCTTTCCGTCATACTGTGCCTTTTGTATCGCCTGCTGCTGGATATTGACCAAATGAGACTCCTAAATACAAGGACACTCGAGCTCGAGAACTTCGCCACGCCTGAGGAAGCACGCTATGCCATACTCTCGCACACATGGGGAGAGGGGGGAGTGATATTTGCAGATGTTCATTTGCCACAGAAAGAAACCAGAGGGTGGGAAAAGATCCGGCGGAGCAGCGAAATCGCCACCAATCTGGGATTCGCGTACATATGGATTGACACGTGTTGCATCGACAAGACCAGCAGCGCAGAGCTGTCCGAGGCCATTAATTCCATGTATCAGTGGTATGAGAAAGCCGAGGTCTGCATCGCCTTTCTCGAGGACTTGGTCACAAGTGATGATCCGTCGACGCCATATTTTGCTCAGTGCCGTTGGTTCTCCAGAGGATGGACGCTGCAGGAACTGATTGCCCCTCCGGAGCTCCTCTTCTACTCTCAAGACTGGGAGCTCATCGGCACACGAACCTCCCTCAAGAGCATCATCGCAGAGGTTTCCAGCATACCCGAAGAAATACTCGAAGTAAATACCCGCAGCCAGCGAGAGCGGCTCGACGAGTGTTCAGTCGCGGAAAAGATGAGCTGGGCGGCTAACCGCACGACTACGAGGCCGGAAGACCTGGCGTACTGCCTTTTAGGTATATTCGACATCAACATGCCGCTGCTTTACGGAGAGGGCCAGGTCAAGGCCTTCAAGAGGTTGCAAGAGGAGATCATCAGGTCAACAGATGATGACTCCATATATGTCTGGAGATACCCCGAAGCAAAAGCCAAGAAGCAGCACTTTTGGGGACTTTTGGCGGACGATCCCTCAGCATTCGCCCGGCGGCACGGTGATGCGCGTGCCATCAAACGAGCGCGGTACCTCACATGCCGTTCCAACAACGATACAGCAATCTCCAACCGCGGCCTCACCGTCGAACTCGCCCTGACACCCCTCCCCGAGGACGAATCAGGCACCGTCTTCGTCGCGTTGTTAGACTGCGACATACAACGCAACGGATCCTCCGAGACGATGACGCCCGGCATCATCTTACAAAGGACGACTTGGCACAACGACGCCGAATTCTTGCGCATCCGTCCCAGCTCTCTGCTCATAGTTGCCCTGAACTGCATCGTCATGGCCGAAGACAGCAGCGGAAACGGAGTTGCTCCTCCCCCGAAGCATGTTCGCCTTGCGGAAGCGAGGCCACGACAGGTGTTCGTCCCGCACAAGCTGTCTCCGCCGCGCTCCCCTCGTGGAATCCTGTTTCGTCCAAAGGTCACTTTACCACTCAAATCACGAGGTTATAGGCGCGAGCTTGACGTCAATGTGCTCTCGAAACCTTCAGACTGGCTACTTTACAGAGAGCTGTGCACAAGTGACACGACGAAGGAATTGGCGATTATTTTGCGACCGCAGCGTTCTGTTGGGATGGAGTTGTACGTACTCCATTCTGATGAGTCGTCGGACCTAGGCGTCACGGAGCCCAAGCAGGCGATGATGCTGGGGTCCTTGGAGCTTGCGATCTGGGGACGCGCTGGAAACCTCTGGCTTGTATGCCTCGTTGCCGGGCTCGAGCCGTCTCCCCCTAATCCCTTTGGCACCCCATCGCTATACACGGTGCCATGGTATGCATTCGTGGACAAGGACGAGGTTTTAGCGGGTAAGCTGGACGATGTGTTGGACAAGAAGAACGGGATAGAGGCGGTGCCACGTGGAGTGTTGAACGCTCATTTCGAGTTGGAGGCGCGGAACTCGAAACTATTCTATAAACTTGTGTTGGGAGCGTTCTCTGATAGGGAGCAATATGAAGAAAGTGAGGATGATTTTTGATGCGCGTACTTGTCAACATGAATATGATAATACACAAGTATGAAACACTTGAATGCAACTATAGCTCTTCAACCCCCAAGACAGTCATCTCCAACCTCGTCAAGATATCATCCGGCACATCCACCGGCGTCTCCTCAGGTACAAGCCCCCTCATCACCAACTCATCCTCCCCAACGTCCGGCTCCTCCTCCAGCACCTTCTTCAGCGCCCTCGCCCTCTCCGTAACGTCCTCAATTCCAACAATCCACTCGTCCGCCCAGTTCGTGCTCAAACTCGGGGGTATGCCAATCTGAATGCTCCGATACGGCAAAGCCTCCAACCTCGCATTCCGCTCCGGATCCCACTGGATCCTCACGTCCGAGGGCCTTTCATGCGCCGTCTTGTTGGTGCTCTCTTTGTCGACGCGCGCATGTTCCGACGGATGCGTTGACAAGACGCCTTGTCTCAGCAGATCCAGGAAGTGCTCCTTTTTCATCTTCAAGGCGAGGATGTGGCTTTGGTTGTCATCCTTGTAAGAGTAGCCGCTGCGGTACATCATCCAGCACCAGCTGGGCTTGATCCAGGTCATGCGGCTGGGGTTGAAGTCTTTGGAGGCATTGAGCTTTTGGTGTTTTACTGCGGCGGAGGCGATGGAGGGTTTGTAGGCTTGGTAGACGGTGATGTGGTCCTTGTCTTGGAGGGCGCGGATTTGGCGGTGGGGGATGTCGGAGGGACGAGACATGGTGACGCTTTTCTGATTTGAGGTTGAAGATTGTTTATGCGGTAGATGCTTGGAAGTTATACATTGGTTGGAAGAGGTATTTGATGAATGAGACATACGATATGTGGAATATATAGACTGTGTTTACATCTGTTGTACAGTGCTGGAGCGGAGAGTTGGGGTGATGTCTTCATGACGACGGCGTGAGTCTTTTGCCGATGGCTGGATTCACTCTAGCCTAGCCGCATTCTGGTCGTGTTCCAGGCCGGAAAGTCGAACGATGATCATCTCACTTGGCTAGATTCTTTTCTTGATGTTTATACCACAAGAATGATTTGGACGTTGAGGACAATTAATCATCCAATTTCATGGGCAGTGTGAAGCCTCCACCGATGTTTGAGGTAGAGTTCTGAGTCCCACTAAGTTTCGAGACGCCAAGGAGTGACGCATGCGGCTCCAACAGACACTGTAGATTCTCGTCCTTTTCAGCTTTCCCTCCATTTGTTTGTCTTGACCTATCTGATACGGGGAGGATACATATAGCTTGTTTATTCTCCCACTTTCATGCTGCTTAATGTTCCCCAGATAGTAGTAGTTCGTACGCACCGCACCCCGGAACTGGTACCTGGGCACTGATCGGCACTTGACCTGCAATCCTATAGGACGGGCCAACTATAGCGCGTAGCCCGCCGATTTACAGCAGGTGACCATAGCACAAGAGCTCTCTCCTCTGTCAATCACCAACTTCCTCCTCCTTAACCTCTATGCTTCTCTTCTCTCTCCTGTTTTCCACACAACTCCCACCTCTCCTCTCCTCCTTTCGCTTGCTTCCATCACTCCGGACTCACGTGCATGTCGCTGCCCGGCCCTGGATCCAGCCCGAGAGGCGCGGATGCCCCCGAGGTGACATGCATCCAAGACCCCTCGGTGGGGTTGGAGCCTGTTGCTGAGCCCAACAAGATCGAGAACTTCAACAACAGCACGACGACGACGACGAGCCACGCCCCCGAGGGCTCCGACACCCTGAATACGAATGCGAGCGCGACTGCAGGTCACAGCGAGGACGGAAAAGGCGGCGACAGCTCTCCCGCCATGACGGACAACCCAGCGACGGCAGCTCACGGCGATTCCCTCGACAAGGCAGAGGCCGAGGCCAACACCCTTCTCCATACAAGCACCCCTACCGCTCCCGACTCCAACAGATCACCCGAACCGTCTCCAGCTTCACCGCTGGCAGCATCGACCACCAACATGCCCGGCGACGAGGCCAGCGGCATGCGGACAAGTGCGGAGCTCGAGCAGGCCGCTGGTGCTGCTTCGGGCAATGCCGAGGCCGGGTCCAAAGCCCAGGCAGATGCAGCTCTAGGAGCAGAAGCTCTCGACTCCAAAGCTCTCGCGCACGACGTTCACGAGACGACACACGAAGCAACACACGAGACAATGTCCGACTCCACGGACTCTGCCAAAGCAACCAAACCCGCCGCCCTGACCATCAAGGCCACGAATGCCAGCCCATCATCATCCTCGCCCATGCAGACCGACTACCCAACCTCACAGCTTCTCGCGCCCGAGCATCCCAGCTATGTCGACCCGACGCCGCCCACGCCCATGGCTTCTCGCCCTCCCTCTCGAGCCCTGTCCACCACCCCCCGAAGCGACGACGCATCTCCCACAAGGTCCGGTCCCGAGTCGGACGATAAACCCTACACCAGCGAAGATGATCAGGAGGGTTCACGGTCCGAGATCCAGAGCATCATGGAGCAGTTTAGCGAGAACGGCGGCGGCCCTGATGCCAACGAAGTCATGAGCCCACGGCTAGAGATTGCGTCGCCCATGCTAGGCACCTCCCTGCAGCATCCGCCCAGAAAATCCAGCCTCGAACCTCTATCACCCTCGCTCGCCGGCCAGGCCCAGGGACTCAACGCTCTTCACATTTCTACGCCTAATGACGACGATCACGGGCCGCCCGTGCCTCCCAAGGACGGATCCATGGGCACGCCTCCGAGATCGAAAGATGCACGGCCTCCTGCCAACGTCACATCGCCAACGTCACCCACCATACCCATGCACAGACCGCCGCCCCCGGAGCCCGAACCCGAACCGGCGCTGCCTTTTGACTTTCACAGATTCCTGGAACAGCTGCGGAACAAAAAGGCAGACCCTGTTGCAAGGTATCTCAAGTCGTTTCTCTTTGAGTTTGGGAAGCGCCAGTGGATGGTCCACGAGCAGGTCAAGATCATCAGCGACTTCTTGGCCTTTATTGCCAACAAGATGATGCAGTGCGAGGTGTGGCGCGATGTTTCCGATGCAGAGTTTGACAATGCCAGAGAGGGCATGGAGAAGCTCGTCATGAATCGGCTGTACACACAGACTTTCTCGCCAGCGATTCCGCCGCCTAAGCCAATACCTGGGGCAAAGCCGAAGAGAAGAGGAGGCGATCCGCCGCTGGGGCCTGGCCGGAGAGGGCAGCATCAGGAGGACGTGGAACGAGACGACATTGTCACGCAGAAGATCAACATTTACGGCTGGGTCAGGGAGGAGCATCTGGATATACCCCCGGTTGGGGACAGCGGCCGCCGCTTTCTAAAGCTGGCGCAGCAAGGTGGGATTCACACGTCTTGTTTCTACTCTTGCGTGATAACTGACCGTATCACCATCAACAGAATTGTTAAAGATCAAGTCGTACAGAGCACCCAGAGACAAGATCATTTGCGTCTTAAACTGCTGTAAAGTCATATTTGGTGGGTTCCCTTCATTGGTTTATTCTGCATTTCTCACTGACCATTCAGGCCTCTTGAAACACAACAAATCCGACTCATCAGCCGACTCGTTCATGCCGCTGCTCATTTACGTCGTGCTCCAGTCCAATCCGGAGCACCTGGTATCCAATGTGCAGTACATTCTGCGGTTCCGAAACCAGGAGAAGCTTGGCGGCGAGGCAGGCTACTACCTCTCTTCTCTCGTAAGTCGACCCTTAGCCATCACAAGACAATGAATGCTTACACCAGGATAGATGGGGGCTGTTCAGTTTATTGAAAACATGGACCGCACGTCTCTCACCATTACTGATGATGAATTCGAGAAGAATGTCGAGGCGGCCGTCTCAGCAATTGCAGAAAAGCACCAAGCTTTGTCTCCCAAGGGACCTCCACCACAGCAGCAGACATTCAACGAAAAGTCCTCGTATCCCGACGCCCGTTCTTCACTCGATGGCGCAGGCCCGTCTACTTCACGTCGATCAACAGAACAAAGTGACGTCGACGCCCTCACTGCACCCATCACTGGACTCCTCCGAACCATTCAGAATCCCCTCACCACCATCGGCCGCATGTTCTCAGACGACGGCGCCTCCTCATCAGCACGGCCACCCCCGCCACCGCCCATTGGACGCCCCCTAGGCTTCCCCGAGAATGTCCCCCTTCGGCGCAGCGGAGAGGAGCAGAGAGACGGATGGCGCTCAGATTCGAGATACGCTCTACCGGCGGAGGAGGCAGCGGCTCGGCAGGCGAGCGCCGAAGTGGCGGAAGCACAGCGGCTGCACCGTGCCGAGCATGCCAATATCGTAGAGACGCTGGCCGGCATGTTCCCTGACTTGGACAAGGATATCATCAGCGATGTGGTGTACCAGAAGGAGGGAAGGTATGTTTATTCACTCATCCTCGTCTCTCTTTGTCCTTCACCCGGCTAACTGGAGTATTTGTTCACAGGGTTGGATTGGCCGTCGATGCGTGCCTTGCTTTATCCGCGTAGCATGTCCCGGAGGCGCGAGGCTTGTCATTCTAATGAACTAGATAGGGTTTGGTGCAATATTTGTACAATGGTACTTTTACTCTATACGATATACTTGTTACCCTGTAATAACCCCTTTTCACAATGGAAGTTTTATCGTTGGAAGTCAACTGATCCACTCCTATCCCTTGAGACGCACTCTCCGATGTTTCTCCCGGCAAGCCATGGTGCTCATAGAGAATTGGACTTCTTCTCCTATTAGCGCTCTAAGCTTTTCATAGCAAAGCCAAGACTAGATGAAGTCGTGTGAAAGGACTGAATCTAGCGGAGCGTATGGCACGAAGGAGTGTATTGAGCGGCACGTAAATAGTAGCATACATTTACAAGAAGGATAATAAAGAACCCATTGTGTGCGAAGTGGTCTGTGGAAATTTATATATTGCAAGTCAACCTAAGTCTCTGCTAATTCTGCATTCTACTAGCAATATCCCGTGCCACATATATCTGGCCAAACAAATCCGTCACGTCAATGAAAGCCTTCAGTTTCCCTTTCACATCCCGATCAAGGCTCGACGAGAGCGCCTCCCAGCAAACCTGCATCATGGCCCTCTCCAAGCCAGCCACCTTCATCAAGCACCCCTTTGCCTTTTCCAGAGCAGCCTGTCTTCTTCTTCCCCCGTCATCTTCAACCGTCGGCTGAAAACCCAGTCCATCCGCAAACTCAGGAAAATGAAGACTATTGAGATTCCCCTCCGCATCGTCCCTCATCACAGAGCCATAGTCGTTATACTGGCGACACAGGGTGGCAAGGTGCAGACACATCTCCCGCGCGAGGTACCTCTGTTCCATGGAGGCGAGGCAGTGCGAGCCGCTGGGGCTGATGAGGCAGCAGAAGAAGGCGAATGAATACGGACAGCTCGTGTCGTTGGCGCCGGTCGTGCGGACCCAGTCGTAGTAGGGGAGTTGTTGATGGCCGTGCCAGCCGACTTGTCGTCCTCGTCCGCGATGCCCTTCTCGCCGTTGGGCGTTGTCCGCGTTGTGCGCCATGTGTGCGAGGAGGAACTTTTCGAGCTCTTGCAGGACGCGCAGTTGGGCTGTTTCTGGGCTTTGCAGGAGGATTGGGGACGTCTTTACGTGTCTGATGTACTTTGATAATGTTTCGGCAACGTCCGTCAATTCGGGCGGCGAGCTCCTAGGCGAGGAGGCGCAGTAGTCGGATGATGGAGGGCTGGGAACCGACGACGTCGGCTGGAACGATGACGCTGAGTGAAGAGATGAGTGGACGACGGGCTCGCTGTGTCGAATTTCGGAGCCAATCATGATGGCCAAGGCCTGGGAAGTTGATTCATCCAGCTGAGCGACGACAGACTCCATGTATTCGTCCACTTGGTAGTTGAGCATCGAAATGACCATCATCTCCCACATCTCGTTCCCAGAGAGGGCAAAGCCATTGGCGGCATTGATGGTCGTCCACGCGACGGGGATGTATGCGAGGTACTTGTCTGCCGACATGGGCATGTCGTCGCGGAGGAAGATGTCGAGGCGGACTTGTTGGAGACGCCTCGCATACAGCTCTGCTTCCTGGATCGCCAACGCCATGCTTGCTCCCGAGAGGCCTTGGAGCAGTGGGAGGCGGCTGAAGAACTGGGCCATCTTCTTCGACTTGGTGGTGTTGTCTGTCTGGAAGATTTGCTCAACTTCAGACGTCCACGATTGCTCTTTGGGCGAGGCGTTGAGGGCGGCCAGATGGTACGCTTCGGCGAGTGTTGGCAGTTTGTAAGTGACCTTTTCGATCCAGAGATAGTCGCCCGTTGCCCGCTCGTCAGAGTGAGCCGCCAAGTACGCCTTTGCTTTGGACAAGGCTGCTTCGGCGTGCTGTCTGATGGCAGCTGGCCAAGGAAGTTTGAGGGCGTAGGAGATGAGCAGAGCCGCATACGACGTCCTCTCGACCGAGCCGCCCCACGACCCGTCGCCTTGCTGTCCGCAAAGGGCTCTACTGAGGAGCTGGACAAGGATGATGGGTACGTCCATCTTGACGACTTCCGCAGCGAGCTCTCCCAGTGAGCCATTGGCATAGACACTCAGCAGCCGGTACAGCGCAGAAGCCAGCAGCATATACGTGTACTCGGCGGCCAAGTTCCACTTGTCCTGCAGTTTGTTGGCGTTCCACGTGCTGCAGAGGAACTTGACTGCTTTTTCAATCTGCGGCACGTACTGGTCGACGTCCTGAGCCGTGAGAAGCGCAAGGAGAACGTTGCAGTTGGCACTGACGCTCGGGGTCCTCTCAAGCTGATACGTCTTGAAGCGAGTGCTGCTTTCAAAGTTCCATATCAGAGGGGCGCGGTCGACGTGCACTCCGAGAGCCGTCAAAGCAAGCAGAGACACGGCCGTGTCGTCGGCGTCGGGGAGGAGAGTGGGCGCGAAGCCCAGCACGCCGCCCTGCGCACCGATTGCCCTTCTCAGATACTCTGTGACAACACGGACGTCATCCTCGTGGAAGTCGTCAAGGCTGAAGCCGCTCCCAAGCAGCGTCGACACGGTCCACGAGATTTCAAACACGGGCGTAGGAAAGCCGCTCGGCACGCCGCCGCAGGATCCATAGCCGCGCACGACATTCTCCAGATACGACTGCGCCCGAACGTCCCAGCTCGGCGCGTGCATGAGATACGCCGCCGTCGAAGCCGGAGACCCCAGCATGCCTCCGTAGGCGCTGCAGTGATGCCTCGGGAGCCCAAAGTCGAACACGCCGGCCAGTGCTTCGAGCGAGTGTAGCAGCGTGGTCTGCTGGCTGGAGGCGAGCATGTCTGGGTGCAGCCTGGCGAGCTTCTTCTGGTACAGAGCCGTGAGCGCTGCTTGGCCGTCAAAGTCAAAGACGACGCCCTCCTCGGCGAGCTGTCTTAGGAGGCCCGGTACGAGCATCTCGAAGCCGACGTGCAGAGTCTGGTTCACGTCCCAAGCGTTGAGTGCTGACTGCAGGGCTCTGCGCGCCTTGTCGACTCTTTTGGGCACGTCGTCCCAGGTCTCAACTAGAGGACTTTCAATGCCGATTGTGTCTGACTTGCGGTGCTTGAGAAGAGCCAAAAGGCCTGCCAGAGTATTGAGAATGCCATCAATGGGCGAGGCATAGGTCGGCCACATTCCGTCCTCGGCTTGATGGAGCAAAAGGTATGAATACGATTCAGGGAAAAGCCATCGACCTGGATCATCAGGATCTCGAATCATGGCCAGCCATGCCGTGTCGTAGATAGATATGCTGAACGATCCAAAGTCGTTTGGCTGTAGACAACGCTCCGCCAGACATCTCACTGCTCTTCTTGCACCTTGAAGGACGTCTCGAGAGAATCCAGCTTTCTGTTGATCTGATGCTGTAGACATGCTGGTTGGTAATTGACAACTTTGGTAAATAGATGCAGAGCACTGAAGCTTAGTACTCGAGAAGTATATTTAACTTCATGAGGTTCTTATAGAGTGAAGTTGCAGGTCAACAAAGGTAGTGAGAGAGTAACCGGACACTGTTACGGACGAAAGACTTACATGGATGGTATCGCATGCCGGCCATATATGCCGGACCCAGTCACTTGCCATGGTATTTTTATACACTCACACCGGCGTTTGTGACAATGGAATCCTACCCGGCTGATGTTCCATCCAAATGGCTCAATTACTACATAGTCCGTGTTGTTATTGAGTTGCCAAAGTGGAAAGTTGATAACAAGGCCTTAACCTCGTTCGTACATGTAAGATCGGGGTGGGAAACCCCTGTTTTGGCAACATACCGGCAGTTCCTCCGCTCGACTTTCTGCCTCGGCCCTACATGCCCCAGAGTCCAGGCAACTCCGGGTCAATGGAAATTGCTGTAGACAGAGGCTCTTGTTGAATGCTAATGGTCTCGGTATCGGATTCGGCTGGGGGTGCATATGGGGGCAGGCGCACTCACGCCACCCAAGTCAGATACACGACCTCACTCTCCTATCAGGAAATCCTGATACGGTTGGCACAGAACAGTAAAGGTTTCTTCACGATGTCATGATTCTAGTAGACGGCCTACATTGGCTGATTATGTACCTACAGCCCTGGGCGTTTGCACTTATCTACAAAGAACATGTTCCCGAGCCCTCCGAGAATGAAAACACTCAGTACAGCGGCAGTCGTTCCGCAGCAGGCCGGCGACGCATCAATATCTCCGCATCAGGATTCGGAAAAATGAACTCATGGGCGCGTAGATTCGCCGGCCGCTCATTCCCATGCTTGAGCTTGAACTCGTAGTCCATCAGCAGCCGCACAAGAATAATCTTGATCTCAAGACTGGCAAAGAAGCGCCCCGGGCACGCGTTCGGGCCGTGCCCAAAGTTGAGGATGCGGTCCTGCGTCGTCGAGAACTGGTGCAGGTGGCCCTGGCCCTCGTTCTGGCGCAGGTTGTAGTACCGGAAGCCGTCGAACCTTTCCGGCTCGGGCGTCACCTCGGGGTCGTTCTGGATCGAGTTGACCGGCATGCTGATGTGGGCGCCCCTGGGCAGGACCGTGCCGTCCGAGAGCTTTGCGTCGTGCAGCATGACGCGGTGCATGGAGAGGAGGGTTGGCGGGTTGAAGCGCTGCGACTCGCGCATGAACGAGTCGAGCCGGCGGAGTCTCGAGAACTGCGGCTTGGACCAGGTCATCCAGGGGCCTGCTTCGGCCACCACGGCGCGGATCTCTTCTCGGATCGGCTCGAGGAACTCTGGGTGGGCCAAGAGGTCGTAGAGGCAGTGCACCGCGTTCATCTGCGACGTGTGTATCGACGCCAGCGACATGACGACCTCGAGGTGGGCGAGGGCCGACGCGTCGCTTTCGCTGGGCGTGGCAATCTCCATCATCCAGGACAGGAGGTTGTGCTTCTCCTCCTCTGCGAAGACGTGTCCCTGGGCCTCCAGGCTGCGGCGGCGGTTGATCTCGGGGACAAGCAGCTTCTTGGCCTTCCTGACGTAGGCGGTTCCCTTGTACGACGAGGGCATGAACCAGTTGAGGAAGCCATGCGTCCACATCGGGAAGAGCCGCAAGAAGACCAGAGACACAAACACGTTTTCGGTGAACTGCGTAGAAACCTCGAGCCACTCCGGATCGCGGCAGAGCGGCTTGCCAAGGAAGATCCGGGCGCTCACACGAGCGACAAAGTCGAGGATGGTGTGGTACGGCTTGATAGTCACCCATTCGTCTGGTTGCGCAAAAAGTGTCAGATACCAGAAGCGTCAAAAAGGCAGACAGTAGGGTTGGGAAATCACCTTCAGACTCGGTGAGTTCTTTCTCCACGGCAAAGTTCACCTCCTCTTGCATAGGCCTCGTGAGCGAGTTGAGGTTGGGCGTGAGCTTGAGCTGAAGAGTGCGGAAATGCAGGTTGCTGCGGAGGATAATGTGCATGTTCGTGGAGGAGCCCATGAGATTGTGGACGTGGGCGACGGTAGGGCTGGCTACCGAGTTGGGGAGCTTGCGGATGTCCTCGACATATTTGTACGGCAGCACGAGCATGTCCGTATCGGCTCTTCTGAACTGGAAGATCTTGCCCTTGCACTGTTTAAAAAGCGTCGGTCAGTTGGTCCCATTACATGTGTTGCCTGCTGTTATGAGACTCACTGCTTGGTAGCCCTCATTCAAAATGTCCTCGGCGCGGCGGAAGAATCGAAAGTTGGACACTACAATGGGCTCAAGCTGAGAGGATATACCAAAGATGGGATACTTGTAACCGAATATCTGCGCGAAGATGGAGGAGAGCATGTATAGTCCTCCTACCAGGGCTATAAGTGCCCATGGTGAAGTCAATTCCTCAAGGGAGGATAGAGGGAAAGCACTGTGGTTGGTGCTCAACGGAAGAGTTGTGTTTGCCATTTTGACGAAGACTCTGTAAGCATAGCCGTTCACGCGCAAGTTACAAAGTTCCGAGCCAAGATTGATATAATATAAGTTGTGGTGATTTGCAAGGCATCTTTCAACTATCGTGATATCTCGGAGCACAGACTCCAGAAGGGAAGCTCGGTACTTGTCTAGGAATAATATTCTCATTATGGTAATATATCTCTACTAGACTAGGTTATACATATTTCAATACCAGAATTACATTCATCCTAAATGCGTCTTCTGCTAATCATAAGCTTTGAATAACAGTAATATTGGGTAGTATTTTGGTATCCATGCTATATATTTAGTATTATTTTTTTATCTATTTAATATAGCATGAAGCACCCTAAAGAGAGAAGAATCAAGTATACTTACCTGTTATTATTTAACTACCGTCAAAGGGTAAAACAGACCTAGGCATGCAGGGTTGCCATTTACCCTCTCCGTAAGCACTCTATACAGTAGCCCAGTATAGATCTAGAGAGACAGCCGAGGTTGTAGAGACCCTCCATTAGAAGCTGCAGCCTCGTGCAAATGCATCGTATACCACATGTATTGCAACCTCACGTTGCGCTGTGATTATCACTGCGCGGAATTTGGGGCGCCATGTACGAAGGAAGCTGTCCCCTGTCTCGGCTACAGCACAACCAACATTATCAATCAGGAGATATCACCGTGCTGCGACTATGACATGTGCCGCCATGTCACTCCGTACGGGGGCATCTGTGATTCCGCGTTGCTGTGATACGACACAACAATCCTGCGGTTAGCTGCAAGTAAGCCAGTCCTTATAGAGTCGCAGACATCGGCAGAGCAAATCCGTAAACGTGCACGAAAATGTCCAAGGAGGGACGGATGAGCGACATTCCGATGGAACCACAACGCCCAGAGGGCATGTACTTGTACTTGACGCGCACGCCCTGACTTTGCGTTGGTTGCGGACGAGCGGCCAACACCTTTTGTAGATATTGCATCAACTCAGCCCCAACCCCTCAAGCCCTCTCTGGTGACAGGGTCTGAACTTGATGGTTCTACTAGGAGCCCCTCGGAGAGCTTTCGTCTGATCTCTAGTTTACATATACCATACAGGCAGGTGTTTGACTACCTAGTTCGCCAACGTCTTCATCCCCTCTTTCCGACTACTACCACTGTGCATTCTCGTGAGCTATTCAAAACCACGTGGGACAATGAGCCTCAAGCCGATCAAGCTATACTGGAGGAGTGAGTATGACATTTCTGTTCCAATCGGACGTGACTGACAGCGGAAAACCCCCAACAGACCATGTCCCCAACCCCTCCAAGGTCCTTATAATTCTCGAGGAGCTTAACCTCCCTTACGAGACATCATGGGTTGAGCTTGATGGCCTCAAGAAGGAACCCTACACTAATGTCAACCCGAACGGCCGCGTTCCGGCTATCGAGGATCCCAACAGCGGCATCACGCTCTGGGAGTCCGGCGCCATTGTCCAGGTGAGCTTCAGACTGACATCTCCCACGCCTTGCCGTTCCTTGTCAAACTTACCGTCTCAACCAACTATCTAGTATCTGATCGACACGTACGACAAGGACAACAAAATTTCGTACAGCACCTTCCCCGAAAAGTACCTTACGGTGCAGTGGGCGTACTTCCAAGCCTCTGGCCAAGGCCCTTACTTTGGTCAAGCCGCATGGTAAGCCCCTTTCCACGATATAGATCAACCGACTCATGCCCAGCGGCCTAGACAGCAACGTTAAATACTAATCCCGGCTGGTTTCTTTCGCAGGTTCAACCTCTTCCACGAAGGCGCGTACGGCGAGTCCCCCGAGTCAGCCAAGATCCGCTACGGCAACGAGGTCAAGCGCGTGGCCGGCGTCCTCGACAGCGTGCTGGCCAAGTCGGAGTGGCTCGTCGGCGACAAGTGCACCTACGCCGACCTGGCCTTTACCATGTGGAACATGCAGATTGGCTTCTTCATGAGCAGCCGCACCGGGGAGCACGCGTGGGACCCGGAGGCGTTCCCGCACTTTACCAGGTGGCAGAATGCCTGCTTGAGCCGGGACAGCGTCAAGAAGGTGGTGAGCGTCTTGAGCGAGCAGGAGGTTAAGAGCGGCTGAATTATGTGTATATACACTTGTGATTTGATAGTGTATAATCAATACGACGAGTCGAGCTTATCCTCTCCTCACAATAAGGGTTAAGCGAAACAAATCGGCCCAGGAGATTTGCTCAAAGTAATTGAGAGGGTTAAACATGGAGAAATTGATGATGAAGAGATTGAAGAAATATCTTTGTGCTCTCTATACACTCCAATGGTCCTTGTAGCTGGCATTCCGGGGGAAAGTGATACTATCATTATGCTCTCTCTACATTCTGCAGGTTCTGTTAGGTGACTTTCCAGGGGAAAGTGCAAAGATTGTTCTCTCAGCTATCTACATATAAAGCAGGGAGGGAAGCCCGGAGAGGTTATCAACAACATATTAGATGATGAGGGCTGCCGAGCTCGATTATTCTCATGCATCATAGTACCAGGTGCTGGTGATACCAATAGCTCGGATGATAGTCTCAAAGACGAGGAACTCTATTAATGGAAGACTCTGCGCACCTTGTTCCAAATCCATAGACTACTAGCGATACATTATATACATTGCCGACCCTTGTAACCCAACACCGCTTAAAAAGCCGGATCCCTCCTTTCCGTTGCCACAAAGTCCGTCGTGACCTTGATCCTCGACGGATAAGCATCCTTGAGCGGCTCCTGGTCGCTCTGGAAGCTACTCGCCCGCTCCACATCCACATTATACGACGGCAGAGACCCGTCATAACGCTCCCACGGCCCAGCATTCGCTTTCCGGAGCTGGTAACTATCCCCGGAAGCCAGCAGATCGCTTCCGTTCCTCGCCTTCGCCCTGCTACCGCGACTGCTCGAGAAGAGGCTCCCAAAGTTGGCCAGCAGCGTGGGCAGCCCGCCGACCTTGGCAAAGAGCGGCGCGTAGCACGGCAGGCACGCGGCCACGATGCTGGTGTTGGGCTCGATGGTGCCCCAGATGAAGGCGGCCGACATGTTGAGGTAGCGGTCCGAGCCCGTGGCGGCGATGGTGCGGCTGATCTCCTTGTAGAGGTAGTAGAAGCGCACGGCGGACGAGATGCAGCAGAAGATGCCGAGCCAGAAGATGCCGAGGACCTGCAGCTTGCGCGCGCGGTCCATCTGCAGCTTGCGGATGACGGGGATGGGGAACAGCAGCACGATGACGTCGAAGACGATGCTCATGCCCGCAAAGGCGAGCGAGAAGTCGTTGTAGTTGTACCGCAGGGGGTTGACGGCCAGCGGGTTCCAGGCAGCGTCAATGGGGTTGGCCGCAAGCAGTTGGCACTTACAACATGCAAGTCAGTATAATTGTCTGCGTTAGTCGGTATGGAACATGTGAGGGAGAGACATACCACGATCATGGCAATGCACCATGCCGACAGGATGCCGATGTAGATGCGTACGGCCAGCTTGAACATGCGGGTAGTGAAGATGCGCGAGTAGAAAAGGAGAATGGCAATCTTGACAAAGACCAGACTGAACACGAGAGGGAACCCCTCGATCCATAGAGCCTGAGATTCCACACTTGTTAGTCGCTTTTGCAAGAATGGCTCTTTCTCACGATGGGTGAAAAAACTTACACGAAGAAATATCACGGCTGCAGAGAGGGGATCCAGAGTCGAGTACGTGAAGTCGACCCCTGCCAGCCCCCCAGCCACGAAGATGTCAATGGAGATTCCCCACGCTGCCACCTGGGCCAGGACACACACCCAGTCATCGCTGGAGAGCCTCTGCTTCTTGATGATTCTCGTGTAGCAGCGCAGCCCGACGGCGATGGTGCCCAGGATGGGGAAGACAATGGCGACAACGAGGAGAGTGGTCGTGACCAAGGACGGTTGGGCAGCAGCAGCAGCAGCAGCAGCAGAAGCCGACGACTCCATCTTTCCCGGATCGTGTGCGAGGGATTGATTAGCACAGAGGAGGGGGAAACGATTGGTACAGAACGAATGATGAGCTTATGAAATGCCTTTTGAAAATGCAGGGCTTGGCTGCAGATATGTACCTCAACATGCCAGATGAAGAGCCATGCGATCTCTCAAAGTGGTTTCGCTGCTCGTTGGTTCAGTGTGTCAAGAGACACATTCGGACGAAGCTTTGAGGAGATGGGACAGATGGAGATACCTGAATTCCACATCCGCACGGACTCTGGGCGTTCTCCCTCGAACCACTGCTCGTTACATGTATGTGGTAAGCATGATTCGATACTCCGTAAAGAAGGCGACGACTGCAACTTTGCGCTCACATGCTGTCCTTTGGGCGCTTTGGTTCTTTCCCGGTAACAGCATACGGAGATGGGGTACCATTGCAACCGCACGAGAATGCATCACAGACTCGCCACCACACCACACCACACCATACCACAAGATATATAGAGGAGGGCAAGTACCGGTACAGTATACGAAGGGTCAGCGTCTCAGGTGCCATTCGGGCTATGTATGCCCCGTTGTGTGTCTTGCGGCACGGCTCCATGCCGGCACTTTTGGAAGGATTTACAGCGAACATCCGTGAATAGTACAACTCCCAGCCGGCCAGTGTAGCAGTAGGAGTCAGTATTGATGCAGACGGCTTGCAACTCTGCGGACAACAGCCCGCAGCCGCTTCACAGTATCCGTCTCGCTCTTAACTGAAGATGTTAGGTGATACTTCGTTATCAACGGTAGTAGACGTAAAGGTCCTATCTATCGTCTGTAGCCTCGTCTTACAGAATGCAGACTTCGTTCTACACGTCTTTGGGACAATATCCCCGCAAGTCTGTATGTTCAGTCTCAACTAGGTAGGTAGTTATAGCCTGTGCTTACATGTGGCTACCTAGGTGCACACCACCTCCCCCAAAAGGCCACACCCAACTGCAAGCGTATGCTAATAGCAGATCACATATGCCGTCAGCAAGAACATTGTCGACGCCATCAACAGGAATCATTCACGCCGGTTGACAGAATGACCACAAGCCATTGTCTCTAGTAGGACCATAGTCCCGGAGACAATTGCAGAGCTTATTGAGGGGGTACCTATCCTATTATTAAACAGTTGCGGACTTGTATTATAACGTCAGAAGCCAAATACGAAGATCAAAGGAAACCGAAGAAAGCCACGATAAATTGACTTTGAAACTAATGGTAAGGGCATCATCTATATAAGTAATCTAAACTGCCTCTTCGCCACGAGGGTTCAGCAATCATCACAGTCAGCGGAGTCTGTGTAATTGTCAAGGTAACCTCTCTTTTTCCCATGGCAAAGAGTTATCTAACTTCGTTTACATCTCTTTCGCTTTCACGTTCACTTATATTTTCCAACCGAATGCAATCCTGACATATAGGGCGAAGCACAATAAACGTGCTCGCAGACTCCGGTCAGAGTTCTGCAATCACCTCCGATAGCCCAAACACCCCTGACACAGAATACATTGATCCCTTCCTCGCACGCCAAAGGGTATCATTGATGTGCTTCGATACTACCCACCCATCTTGGCGTCGATATCAATTCTTCATTAGGTACTGAACACAGTATCGCCCATGAGAAATAGTAACGCCAACTTACATCGTAGGTGATGCAGATCATCTTCGGCCCCCTTCGCTGTCATGAACATGAGCACGAACCAGCTTGCGAACCTCTGTCTATGGACAATCTGCATTGGCTGTGGACTTGTTGTGATCCGATCCGTCCTCAGTCTCTGGCACAACGTCCGCCTTGCGCGAACCATTGGCCTGCCCTATATCGTCCTGCCCTTCTCGCTACTCGGAGGGCCCTGGCAGCTGGCCCAGTTCTTCGCGGTCCCCGTCCTCAAGGCCCTCCCCGAGCGACTGACCCAGACATGGCTGCCCCTGACCGTCTTCAGCGAGTTCTGGCACAATGGCTACGAGCCGTTTGAGCGACTCAAGGCCGACACCTTCCTGGTCGTCTCGCCAGGCGGGCTCATACTCTACACCTGCGACCCGGACGTCAACGTCCAGCTATTTCGCGACGCAAGTTTCGGCAAGCCAGCCGAGCTCCTCTCCCTGTTAAACATCTACGGGCCTACCATCACCGGCACAGACGGCCCCGAGTCGCGCCTATACCGCAAGGTCACCGCGCCCTTCTTCTCGGAGAAGACGCTGCGCCGCGTCTTTGTCCAGTCCGTCTCTGCCGCAAAGATACTTCTCGCCGCCCTACTACGTCCAGACGCTCATCGCTCGCTGCGAACACTGTCCGCGAGGGTGTCTCTCAACACGCTGAGCCAGGTTACCTTTGGCTTCCAGACCGACTCGGACCTGGTACAGGCGTTGGCCTTTCAAGACAATGTACCAGAAGGGAAGACGCTGAGCTTCAGCCAGGCTTTGCATGGGCTCCTGCAAAACTTTGGTGCCGTGTTCATCGTTCCTCACTGGCTGCTGCGCCTGTCACCGTTTCGGTCTCTCCAGCATGCGGCCGCATGCTACTCGGAGCTTGGATCATACATGGATCAGCTCAAGCGGGCAAGGGAGGCCACCATCTCTGAGAAGACTGCGTCAACAGCTTCTTCGGACGAGGACCTCCTCGATATGCTCGTACAAGCGGCTACATCTTCTGATGTCCAAGAAAAGCCCGTTTTATTGAGCAACGCCCAAGTCATTGGTCAAATCTTCCTCTTCATGTTCGCGGGACACGAAGCCAACGCCAACCTGCTCCTCTCCATCATCCTCCTCCTGGCATGCCATCCAGACGTCCAGACCGCCATGCAGCGCGACCTCGACCGTCTCCTCGGCCAGACAAGCCCAGACGCATGGTCATATGACGACAACTACGCTCCGCTCATGCACGGAGCCGTCGGCGCAGTGATCAACGAGACCCTCCGCCTCTTCACCGTCATACCCGTGCTCCCGAAATGCGTCCCGCCCGGCGGTCCCTGGCTTTCCATCACCGTCAAGGGCCAGCGCCATCCGCTGCCGCCCAACACAATCGCCTTTGTCAACACAAGCGCAACGCATCGCCATCCAAAGCACTGGCCCAAGAGGCCAGCGCACCCAGCAGCCCAGGAGAAGTGCTCCTCCTCCTGGAGGGAAATCAGAAACGACCCGCGCCAACGTCCCTATGCCGCGGCGGACTTTGACCCCTGGAGGTGGTTGGATGCGGGGGAGAGCGCTCAGGAAGCCACACAGGCAGGCTCGACGACCAACTTCTTGAAGCCTCGACCCGGGACGTTTATCCCCTTTTCAGATGGCGGTCGGGGATGCCTCGGAAAGCGATTCGCGCTGGTAGAGGTCTGTGCCATGGTCGCGACGCTGTTCAAGACGCACTCGGTCGAGCTGGTGACGGACCATGAGCAGGGATTCAATGAGGAGGAGGAAGCGTGGCTGGAGGCACGTCGACGTGCTACGCTGGCACTTTCAGAGGGGACCAAGTTTGACACAAGCCTGCGCGTTGCAAGGGCTGTACCTATACGGTTTGTACCGAGAAGCAACTGAGAAAATGCAAGAAAAGAGAGAGCAAGACAAGATTCTATTCGAGGGAAAAGACAGCAAACAATATATATATATCTATTCCAATTGTACTTCAATTCCGGTCGGGCTATTCCTGCGTGCTGCCTGGCATCTGCCCAACCATGATGAACCACTCCGCATCAACACTTGCACCCTGCGCAAACTCAGCCTCCAGGTCCTTGATCTGCTGCAACAGCGGCGATGGCTTGTCGTTCCCATTCGCTGTGATCCGGCTCATGCGTCGAGACAGTTCCTCCATGCCCATGATGTGGCAGTGGTTCCAGATGGGCCGCAGATAGTCGCAAAGCTGGAGGCGCTCGTAGGCGACGGGATCGAGGCCAGCGGCTTTCAATAGCTCCGAGTCGTGCAGGATCCACCTGTTGCCTCTTGATCAACATCTTCATTGCGCTCATTCAATGAACAAAGGATGAAAGATTGAATGAAAAAGGTCAAGATCGGAGGTGGAACGAGAAGGGCACTCACGAGTCAACGTCAGGCTGTGCCTTGCGCATGATGGACACGACACTTTCAGTACGCGGCATGTGCATGTCAGGGCGCGTGGCAATGGCCTTGGCCGAGCGCGGATCAAAGTCAAGCCATTGAAGGAAACCACCAGGTTCTAGCCGCAGCATTAATATTTCACAAGTTCCTCAAGGCAAGAGGAGAACATAATACAAGGGTAAACATACTGAGGAGAGTCTTCAGATTATCAAGAAGCGGCCGGATGTTCTCCCCATTGAGCAGCGTAATGAAGAAGCGCAAGTGCACCACGTCAAACGAGCCGAGCAGCTCCGGCGCAAACGGCGTAAACGCATCATGCTCATGCAAAGCCACGTTTCCGGGCAGCCATTCCCCGGGCGGATACTGGTCGGCCGAGACGTCGAAGCCCAGCAGCTGAGCATCCGCGGGCAACGCATCAGACAGCTCCGTCAGCCAGAGCCTGCACAGTTTTTTCCACATTTTCTCATCATCAGCAGTGTTGGCAGAATAAGTGCAATTGGTCATGCTTCTTTCTACCTACGCTGTGCCGGTAGCAATGTCGGCTACCCTGATGGATGATGAGCGCGAGGCTATGCTCTGACGCACGGCTGGGTGCAGGAGTTGGTCGTTGCAGAGCTTCTTGATCAGCATGTGCTGGTAATTTAGGCTATTTAAAAAGACAGTGACATTCTTTGAGTCAGCGCCCAACTTGCATTTCGACAAATCTTCAACACGCCCGCCCCCCCAACAGCACGTTGGACGTACCGTATACTTGACTTGTGGTCACGATGAAAGATGTACGGGGCCGGTTCTGATACGGCCTCGGCCATGGCGAGCAAGGGGTGGGCAATCTGAGCACTCAACTGTCCAAGGGCTAAAAAGAAAGGAAAAAAAGAAATATTGTCTGCTGCCGAAAAGCGGTAGGGTGAGATTCGGAGCAAAGTAGAAACGGGGGAACAGCCACAGACAACAGGCACAGAATCAAGATAGAAAAATCCAAAGATGGCGGGGAATCTGAGATATCCACGTGTCCTTTATTCCATGTCACCTACACCTCAAGTCCAATGCGCGGGACATGAGTGCTCACCCCAAGGGGTGCCGACAGCCAGCTTCTTGTTGTTGTTGATCCATCTTCAAGTTGAGACCCCTGCTGCGATTACAGCACATGGAATAGACAGCCTCGCATCCAACAACCCCAGAGTCGGAGGGTTGGGGGCCGGGCCAACATGAACGAATCCTACGACGAAAGTTGCTCGGGGTCTCGACCCGTATCCCATGCATTGTGGTTGCATCAGAGTCAGCGCGAATTGAACGAAGTACACCTGCAGTGCAACGACAATAAAAGGCAGCAAACCATGTAAGCAGACAGCAGAGGGTTGTATCTGGACCAAAAGATTTTGAGGAGTATTGGCGGAAGCAGAATGCAGAGCACTGACTTGTAATATTGCTTCCGTACTTGCACGGCCGGATCCCCGCCCGGGCCAATCCCGAGGGCTCCGGCGCCGGATCTAAGAATAGGGCGGGGAAGCTGCCGCAAGCCCGGGCCACCGTTGCCTGATTAGGAAAGCCTGGGCAAGGGTGGTCTGGACAAAGGGCTGTGTCCGTGCGCTGCTTGATGGAACTGTTGGACACACCACAGCCACGGCTGGCGGGACATCGGATGTGCAGTGCAGAGACTACAGAGGCTGTGGTGAGGAAATGAGTCAAGAGGTTGCTTTATCTTGCAGCCCTCGCTCGCAGCCCTCGGGCTGTACTGCTGTACTGCAAGGCATAGCCCAAAGACGCGAGTATACTTGTGACTTTATACAGACCAACGTGGATAGTTCTTCTGGTTGCAATCAGAAGAAGGCTTCTGCTTATAATAGCTAAGCTTGGCTTGATACTTTTATAGACTGAAGCTTGAGATCTGAGGAGTATTTAGTTCCCATAGCAAATACAATAATGATATAATTATTGATAGGAGACAACGGAATGAGACAATAGCTATTATACTATAAACCATTCATAAATGATAAGAAAATTGTAAGATAATGAAGAAGCAGTTATATTAATGCAGTCCCCTAAAGTGTGAGTACTACAAGTAGGAAGAGTGTGCTTATTAGCATAGCCCTTGTATATGCGCACACTCATCAATAGTTCACGCACGTACCTGTACGTTTGCTCTATCAGAGACAAGGCACTTTTGCAACCTCCTCACGCTCCAATCAAAACGCCCTGTATCACAACAACGAACAAACCCCCAGCAGGCCCGGATACCGGATAGCCCACGGTCCCTGTAGCAGAACATTCCAATTCTCTTCCAACAAAACTCGCCGAGCAGTAGTCGTACCGCACCACGTGTCAGACAAGGAACAAGAATCCCAGCCCGCGCCGACGACACGAGACAACCGTCCAATATCAACATCGTCAAAACCACCACCCAGACAAAAGAGAAAAAAAAAAAGGCCATCCTGAGTAGAATCGTGCTCCCCAAGGCCCAATTGCTCTCAATCTCCCCCCTTTCCTACCCATCACAATGAACTCCTCCGCCTTCCTCCGCATGGCCTGCCTCTTCAACCCCTTCTTCGGCATCACATCAGCCACCACCTGCGGCGACGGCAGCACCACAGTCGACACCTCCGGCTTCACCAACCCCGTCGTCGGCCCCTCCACCGGCGGCGCCACCTCGACCTGCATCTCCGGCACCGTCGCCCTCCCCATCAACGCCACCGGCCTCAAGATCCTCTACGACGCGCCCCAGGACCAGGCCGCCGTCACAGAGTCCCTCGTCGAGCTCTTCCAGGCAGACGCCGCCTGGATCGCAAACGTCACCGCCGGCGGACCGGCCGCCATCGCCGGCACCTACGACATCTTTGTCAAGCTCTGCCTCCCCAACAATCTCAACCCCGACGGAAAAAACAAGATCAAGACGGTGCAGCTCCTCACCCACGGCGCCACCCTCGACCACACCTACTGGGACATCGGCCCCGGCTACAGCTACGTCGACGTCGCCTCCGCCGCCGGCTACGCCACCCTCTCCTACGACCAGCTCGGCGTCGGCAAGTCCTCCCACCCAGACCCCATCCAGACGGTCCAGGCCTCCTCCCAAGTCGCCGTCACGCACCAGCTCGTCGCCCTCCTCCGCGCCGCCAAGCTCGGCGGCTACTCCTTCGACAAGGTCGTCGGCGTCGGCCACAGCGCCGGCAGCACCCTCACCCAGGGCATCACCACGCAGTTCCCCCACGACTTTGACGCCGTCGTCCTCTCCGGCACCAGCGCCAGCGCCGCCTCCGTCGCCATGACCATGGCGGCCTTCAACTTCGTCAACGCCAACGCGGATCCGGCGCCCCAGTTCAAGGGCCTGCCCGCGGGCTTCCTGACGCAGCAGTCCGCCGCCGGCATCCAGTTCGCCTTCTACCGCTTCCCCAACTACGACGACGACGCCTTCGAGCGGCAGGTCGCCAACAAGCAGACCAACACGCTCGGTGTCCTGCTCACCCTGGGCGGCATCGTCGCGCCGTCGACGCAGTTCACGGGGCCCGTCCAGATCATAAACGGCCAGCACGATCTTGTCTTTTGCGGCGGCAACTGCCTCTATCCGACGGATCAGGATGTCGTGGCCTTGGAGACGTTCTATCCGGCCGCGGCAAAGGGGAGCCAGACGTACATCGCCGCGGGCGCCGGGCATGCGATTGCCGCCCACAAGAGCGGCCCGGATAGCTTCAAGGAGATGATCCAGTTCTTGCAGGCAAACGGCCTGTGATTGCGCCCGTGGTAATGATTTTAGCGAAAGTATGGTTGTTTCTATATACATGTACTTACTATATAGTAATTACAATTGCATGTGACATGCTCCCAAAAGGCATGTACTCACCTAAGAAATCATCATCACACCGGATTTTCAAGAAGAGGTCAGATTTGTAATACTGAGAATTCTTCCACAATAAAAGAGAAAGGTTCTATAAGAAAGAAAGAAAGTTCTATTTGTCTCGTTTGATCCTCGTGCATACAATACCCCCCTTCTCCCCTATACTCCATTCCCAACCTTTAGTCCTGCTTCGAAAACCTCCAGTGCCATCCACCCTATACACAAAATAAACAAGCGTAAATTGTATCTTGCACAATACACGGCAGACCGCACTGGGTGTTGCAAAACGAAGGACCAAGGCGAATGAATTATAAATACATAAAAGATGCTGTGGCTTATATGACTGTAAAAGAAAGCAACAAAAGATAAGTAACCCTCACCACCCTCACACCTCCACCTGTTTTCCCAGGGGGCGATGATGTGTCCCATTCGACAACTCAGACAGGTGACCTGTAAAGCTATCGGTATTCCGAGTACTTCTTGTCGCTCACAAACTCGTGCGGATTCACCCCGTCTCCGCCAGCAGAGCTGTTGTAGTCTCCGTGCTGGCGGTTGGCCGTCAGGTCGCGGTACATGGGGTGCGGCGCAAAGCCGGCTTTTTCGTCCTGGCGGTCTGTCGACTCCGGGATGCTTGGCGCGTAGTACCGATCTCCGCCCTTGGAGTAGGGAGGCAGGTTCTCCTCGTGATCGGCGACATATGAGGCCTCAAGATCCCCCCTCTTGATGAGGAGCGAGTTGCGAGCATCGAGGGGGGTCAGATCGTCCATGTCTCCGCGGAGTTTCTCTGCAAAAACTTGTCAGCCAACGAAAGATTTAAGAGCAAAAGAAGCAAAAGAGGAAGAGAAACTTACCCATCTCCTTTCTGCGCTTGCGGTGGGGGTTCATCTTAATGCTGGCGTTGATCGCGTTCCATGCGACGAGCAGTGCAAGCGCAACAGTCAGCGTGGACTGGATGGCAATCATGACGACACCCATGACAGTCTGTGTAGTCTGTTGAACGTTGAACTCCTCAACAAAGACAAAGACGCAAACCACAGACAGCACTCGGACAATGGCAATGAAGATGTTGATAATGTTGCTGGAGCGGCGCTCAAACGGGCGGGTGGCAACAAGGAGGCCCAGCATGGCCAGCTCAAGAATCAAGCTGATGACGGTCTGGACCATGCCATGGCCGTCGCCCGCGGCGACAAGGCAGCCTTTGATAAAGGTGTAGAGGATGACGGGCATGAACAGCCACCAGTACGACTTCTGGTAGGCCTCGTAGAACATGGAGTACTTGAGCCAATTCTGCTTGTCCTCGTAGAGCTTGGCGGCGTCGCCGTTCTGAGCTTTAAGCCTGCGTGCCGTGCTCCAGATCTTGAAACCAAAGAACATGAGAACGCCGGTGAAGATACCCAGCGAAAGACCGGCCAGCAGCTTGGCTGCCCAAGAGTCTCCAAGCGTGAACTGAAACACACAGTACAACACCCAGATGCCGTAGAGGAGCAGGATGAGAGTGGTGAGCGTTCGAGCAATGGATCGCCAGTAATGCTTGCGGAAACCGGAAAGGGACTCTGGGAACTTGCCATACAGAGACCAAAACTCGAGAATGACCTTGACCAGCAAGAGAACCATGACGACCGAGGCGATGACAATGGCCACAATGAGGAATGCCGTCATAAACATGTCCGACTTGGGAACACTCAACGACTCGGCAAAGTTCTTGATGCCGGAGATCGTGTGGCTCAGCTTGTCTTCCTCGGTCTCCGTCAAGCTTACATCGTCTCGGCGAAGGAGCCTGGAAACACTGACCTCGGTCACGTTGGACGAGGCCTGCATCTGCTGGAGAGCAAGGGTCATGTTCCTCAAGTAGGCTACGCTGTCTTCGGTAAGATTGCCGCCCGTCTTGGCTCGGAAGTCGTCAATCGAGGTCAGCAGGCCGTTCCATGGGATGAGGCCGACGGAGAAGGCAAAGTTCTTTGCAAAGTTTTGATAGATGGGGGGATAGTTGACGGAGAGCATGCCGCTCATGGCCATGCCCTGGAACCAGCCAGCAACGTCGGTGAAGCTGGGACCAACCGTCGCCACTCCCACGCCGGAGCCCGCAGCACCTCCAGATAGAGCAGAACCCACTGCTGAAACACCGCTGGCAACGAGGGACACGCCAGCAATGCCCGCCGCCACATATGACACCGCAGGCACGTACGTCGTCTTCCCGTTGGTAATCTGAGCCTGGATACAGGCCACCATGCTGTTGTCGTTGACTGTGTTGAGCTTCATCACAGCGTTTGCAGCGATATCCGGAACGCTGAAAGCAATGGATGGAATCATGGACGCATACTGGGGCGGCACCTTTTGGCTACCCTTGGCAACGAAGTTGCCCTTGGGTAAAGGACACAGCTGCTCAACCAGCGTCTCGGGGTCGCAAGGGTTGAACGTGTTTGTGAAGGCGCTGATGCCGTAGGCGGTAACATCGAGGGTGGCGGTAACATTCTCGCTGTTGGTGCTGGTGCCCTCGATGTCGAACGTGATGAGTTGGGCGTCGTTGTCGTAGGTCATGCTCAGTTGATTAATCGTAATGGAAGGCATGCTTCCGCAGTCAATGAAGCCAGTCGTCGTCAGGACCTGGTCGCCCATGACTCCCGTCATCAACATTGCGCCGAGGCATAACGCCCTCCGGGTCGTCGCTCTCGATGCTGTCCGAGCCATGTTTCGTAATCCTTGTGGTGGAATTAATAATGCGAGTTGTCCCAATTCAAATTCGGAATCCCAACGATGTAATCCGCTTTATGAAATGCAAGTTCTCTTGCGAGAATCGCAGCAATGTGCCCAAGTCCAGTATCGAGTTTCCAGCTAGATCCGTTTTTTTGTCGCAAATCGTCTCCGTATATCGATGCTCAGTCTATATGCGAATCGGTGACTCGGTCTTCGAGAATACTTATAGAAGAAAAAGAAAAAACAAATGATCGGTCGAGTCGTTCGGTTTATCGAGAGGTGAGTGAAGAAGCGCTGAAAAGAATGCCAACTAGCTCGATGGTTTGGTTGATCGAGAGCGAAGTGACGACAACCTCACAAAACAGCAGAAGACAAAGAAAAGAAAAAGCGCCCACAGGGCGAGTATCCAAAAACAACCAGGATCAACCCGAGCAGAATCGAAGAACTGAAATCAATAAATGAGCGGCCAATAGTGTCTCCCTCTTGCAAAACTTCGAGGCGTTTCTTCCAAAATCACCGAACAGTCGTTCCTCTTTTCACGGCGGGATCTTTCATCAAGGAGTGGAAGCGGTATAGAGGTGTGTAAATCGGGATTCGCTCGTGCTCTTTTTTCTTTTCTCGCTCAGCAATGGATCGAAATTCTCAAAGTCAGACCTGTGGCGCTATGTGAAACAGGGAGCCCCCCAAAGCATCACAAGAGAAGCCGGTCGTTTGAGGAGTCGCTGGAAAGGAACGAAGAAGACCAAGACGAATAACGAATGACAGACGTCCAAAGTCGAGCAGCGGGCTGTTTGTTAACGGGACAGAAGAAGAAGAGAAGAACTAGAGAGAGAGAGAGAGTGAGAGAGAGCAGAAAAGACAGCAAAATGAGAGTAATGGCAAGACTGAAATTGCAGAAACGAGGAAGAAGGGAAAAAGAAGGGGAGCAAGAACAAGAACAAGCTCCTTCACTCAGTCCATGTCCGTCCGTGGGTTGAAACATCACGAAAGGGGAGCACCTTCCTCGCAGCAAGGGTCCAGCCCCACCTGCCTTGCCTGCAACCAGCAAAGCCCCCCAGGAACCGAGTCCCGCCTTCGCAGCTTGCTACCCAAGCGGTACCTTCGGCGCCTCCCTGGCCCAGCACCGCCTCAAGGTCACTGCCAGGTCTCCCGGCTCCTACCTTATGGGCCTGGCGCAAAGCTGCTCCAGGGGGGAGCTTTACAGCGGTCTTAGGGGCAGATCCAGTGGAAGGGGGTTGGAATGAGGGCGTTTGATTGGCTGGACGCGGGCCGAGGCTGCTGGAGGCGTTGAACCTGCACGCTGGAAGAGGTGCGCTGAAACTCGGGGCTCAAACGGCTGCGTGAGTTGAAATGGACATCAGATGCAATGCATGGATGATTACGGCTTGGCCTCAACAGATCAATCTCATTGAACCAACAGAAATATCATCACATTCACCCAGAAGAGAGCATTACTAGCTGCAAAGTCAATAAAAGACTCACTTGCAACCGGGGGCCCAAGAGATCCCCCAGTCCAGGGCCTCATGAAACTCAAGATTTCAGGGATCGTCCCAGCGAAATTACACCTCAAGCTTTCATTCTCCTCCCCCAAAGGCGAACGAGATTGAGATTTCGGCTCGCCCACTCGGCACAAATGAGAAGAAAAAATTATCACCAGATTGGAATATAAATAAATACGAAGAGGGTGGACGCAATAGAATTCACAGAGCATCCAGAGTCGTTTAAGCGAGAGGCAGCCGATTTTTGCCACGCATCGTCGAATGACTGACCGAGCTCGACCTGAAATGAGTAGGTGAGGAAACAAAGGCTCGGGCGTTGTCCAACGTCTCACCTTCATGATAGCTTCCGTCTATATGTAGGCACCAACAGCATAGGACAAAACCCTCATCAAACCACATCTCATCAAACCCTCTCTCACAACCACCAACCTTCGACCGTGTCCAAACCACAGGTCAATTGGATGCCTCCAAAGCTCTAATAATAGGGAACCACCATGGCCCATGCCCAATGAATAGCCTCACATCCCGTATCATCGTACTCGCGCCATGATCTGCACCGCACAGGCCCTCCTCGCCTCCTCACACAGCCGCCTCCCCAAAAAAGCAAGGCAAAGAGAAACGAAAGAAACGCCCAAGAAAAAACAAGAAAACAGAAAGCCAGCATCTCATGCACTTCATGATTCATGCTTCCTTCAATGCACAAGATGCATTAATTCCACCCACCGAAAAACATCCCGTACGCGTATGTGCTTCTTCTCTCCTGATTGTAGGGATCCAATCATTTGGTAGACTCCGCAGTGACCTTCAAGGGACAAGATCACAGCAATCAACCCCAGACTTCTCGAAATGCACCAGTCTCCACCGCGAGTGTAGCATCCCGTGGGCTTGCTCCTCGTAGGTCGTACGTACATAATCGCCTATGCATGTCTCATCTTGCACTCTTTATTATCCGCCGGCTACGCGGCAGGTAGATGTGCTGAGCCGGACGCAATTGGTTATATTACTCCTTCGCTCACATGTCAGAGTGGTGAAACGAAAGCAGCTGAATTGAGATATCGTAGCAAGTCTATCAACAGGAAATCGATTGCTCATGCAAAATGTAGCTCGGAGGAAGAAAATGAGATGCTCCAGTTCATAACAACGTGCTCTACCATGCACCAACTTATCCCAACACAGCAAGACTCTGACAAAGGCTCAATCCTCAATCGCAAAAGAAAAGAAAAAAGAAAACGCAGGGGAATCGTGTTCAAATACTACTGCCTGTTCCTAGACATCCATGTAACAAATTGTCGCCAAAACCCATCCTCAGACGAGGTACAGCTATAGAGAGAGCTCCCAAAAACCATGCCAAATAACTCACGGAAAGAGAATCAAATTGAAGAAAAGTGCAAGGTTAGAAAACCCGCTGGAAGAAAAAGAATAAGAAACCATCCCAGAAAAAGAAGGAGAAAGTGCCTAGACAGAAGAAAAGAAACATGAAATCGTAAAAGGAAAACCGTAACAGCCGCGAGTAAAACAAGGCTTTAGAAATATCCAGACACCTGTCTATCATCCCAGCTCTTGGTGTCTATCTGAATAGCGCCCTGGTGAGGAGAGTGAGAATACGTCGACAGAGTTTCGTGGCCGCTGAATGGGCTGCCATTGACGCTCGAGGGGTCAATCATGTTGTCGTACGCCATCTGCGCGCCCATAGGGGGGACGGCGGCGGCCACCTGTACGGGCACGTTCTGCAAGCCCAGCGCATTCAGGGGTGCGAATGGTGGCTCCACCTCATTTGCCATTGTCATGTTGGCATACGGATTCGACCCCTGCACATACGGAGCCGAAGTGACGGGCAGGTCCTGAACCCGCCGGCCGGGGTCGTAGCCTAGCGGGCTAGCGGCCATCGACGGGGGCTGATGCAGGCTGTGGCCTATGCTCTCGAATTGGGGAGAATAGAACGGTGGATAGGACGGTCCCGGGGGCATCACCGGATACATGAAGGTGCCTTGGGCCTGCGCATACGATACTGGTTGCTGGTGCGCCTGCTGTTGAGGAGCCATGGACGGTACGGAGGAAAGCTGGTGTTGCTGGAGCGGCGGCTGCTGCTGCTGCTGCTGGCTATTATCCACATACCGCATGGGGGCAGGCGACCTCTGCTCTGGCATGAGCGGTATCTCGTGCCGTGGGGGCGGATCCTGGACCGGGCTGATGATGGTATCCGCCGCCAGCTCTTTTGCCTTGGCCGCTACCAAGCGCAGCACGGGAAGCGAGATTTGCTCCATATGCTTGGCCAGATGAACAGTCAACTTCTTCCACGTCGGGAAGACCTTGCCGCAGAACCTGCACGGCTCCTCATGCGGCTGCTTGCTCGTTTCCACATGGCACTGCTCGACCTTGTGCCAAGTGGGATCGACCGTGCCGGCCTTCTTCATGGCCGCCTTAGTCTTCACCTTGGGCTCATGGAACTTGTGCTCGCGAACGAGGTGCTGCAAAAAATTGTCGCGGCGGTAGCACGTATGCCGGCAATCTTCGACATCGCACGTCCACCACTCCAGGTGTCGATGGCCCTCGTTTTCATGGCGGACCCAGTCGGCCTTGCGCTTGAAGATCTTGGGATCCCGGCACTTGTCCCACGTGCATGTAAAGGGCTGCACATCCTCGTGCACGTGCTTGGTCCAGTCGGATGGCTTAAGGAACTTCTTCTTCTGATAGCATAGCTGGCATTCGAACTCGGCCGGCAGGTGCTGAGTCGGCGGCATGGGGATGTCGGTCGGAAAGCTCTCTTGGTTGATGGCGCCCTCGGTCGGCGTGACATTGTCATCCTCGTCATAGGGAGTCGACAAGGCGTCCAACCCCTTGTTGGCGCCATTGCCATCTCCTGCCCTTGCGCTCAGCACATTCGCTGAGCCACCAAGCGCCAGGCAGAGAGGACCGCAGGGGCAATTGGCGCCGAGGCCGAGGTGCTTGACCTTGTTGTTCAGCAGCTGCTTGTATCGAATGATCTGCTGGTGGGCAATGCGATCTACGAGGTAGCTATGGACCGGTGGCAGTCCTGGGTTCAGGGTCTGGATATGTTGTTGAAAGCCGGCAAAATTCGGCGCAATGTCGTCAATAATGTTGGGGTTCATCTTCATGTCGTTATCTTCGTAGAAGTCGTCATCTTCGTCCTCATCGTCGTCTGCCTCGACGGGTAGAGCAGCTACTGGCGGACCCCCAACACTCTGCCACAAGTGGGCGAGACTGGAGCGAGTGCCTTCGGCGTTACTATTGCTGGAAGAGGAGGAAGCCGTTGGCTTGGGCAGGTCCGACTTGCTTCGCGGCCTCCTCAAAGAGTTCCTGACACTGAGACGGGGACCCTTGGAGGCCGACGGGGCGGGGATGGTGCTGATGGATCCAGCGCGCGAGTGCGTCGTGCCGATGGAGGCAATGTTTTGGCCCATGGACACCAAGGCGGTGTTGATGCTCGGGGCCTGGTTTTTCTTGCCCCAGCTCCCCGTGCGCGAGAGGGGAGAAAGGTGCGGCATGCTATCACGCTTATTATGGGTTGCCGGGGACTCTGCCTGCTCAACCACAGCGTCGCCTTCTCGCTGTCCGCTGCGAGAGCGCTTGCGCATGTGAGAGCCGCTGGGGCGGCGGACGAGGCCGCGAAGGTCTTTTAGGAGACTGCCAGACCTGTTGCTCTTATCGCCGCCTCGGATGGACAGCTTCTTCAGGAAGTTGCCGCTAGTGACACCCTCGATATCGAGGTCGACAACGCTGGGCAAGCTGCGTCGGCGAGTGCCCCAGGTTGCCGCTCTGGATATGATGGAGTCGTTGTCACGGCACATTCTCTCGAACCGATCAATGGCAGCCTGCGAGCTCTGGGGCTGATGGCGGCTTTGGCCGCCACTTCTGATGGAGTGAAGAAGGGGAGCATCGGCCCAGCCGCGATTGGCATATATAATGTCATAATCCTCGTCCGACAGCTGGCCGGCACCATTAGGGGAGTAGTATGTCTGGCCGGGGATGTACTTGTTCTCGGTCTGGTCGCCAAGAGGAATGCCGTCGTTGCTGTTGCGGCTTTGCTCTTCTGCTGCGTTGATGTCCTCCTGAGACGGCTTATCAGGAGGCACGGTGTCATGGACGTTGCCGGTGAGCCACTTGCCGACTTCCTGGTTCTTCTCCTCAATCTCTCTGCGGTTGATAATCTCATTGATGCTTGCAATCTCCTCGCCGGGCCGCCTTTTGGGATCCAGGCCGGAATGGCCGGTGACGGGGTCACGTCGCCATTGGCCCATGGAATCTCTTGAAGTAGTGGTGACAGGAGCCGCTTGGCCGTGTCCCTGGTTCACCGACGACGTGATCAAGTCTCCCGCGGACTCGAGCCCGCCGCGTACTGTCGAGGGACTGTCTTCAAAAGTCCGCTCAACGGTGTGAACGGGTCCGTTATTGTCCTTGTCCCATACGGAGATGGTGACTCGGGGGCTCTGACACCGCATATCGACAGGAGCAGGGGCCAAGCCGTCCTCGCTGGATCGTCCACTGTCGGTCTGGCTGGGGGTCAACTGAGGCGGCGGGATGATAAGGGGATTCGGCTTGAAAGCCTTCTGGAGCTGTTGCGGCGAGACGGAGACGGGCAGCTGATGCTGGTCGGGTCGCGTGAGGGTCGTCCTCTCTTCACTTCGCGGCGACAGCGTGTGGACAGAGGCAGTTTGGTCCGGCGTCAGAGGATAAGAGTCGTCGTTGGCATTGTGCTCCTGCTGGGGCTCAACTGGCGGGGTATTGTTTAGTGGGAGGTCCCATACGCTCTGGTCGTCCAGGAATGATGGCGTGCCGACCTCGGGATTGGTGAAGTTGGCACCGAAGAAGGGGTCGTCGTCGAAGTCACTGAAGTCGCTAGATTGGTAGATGCTCAGCGTCGAGGCGGATCCGGCAGGCGTCTCCGAGGGGTTCGCGGGCGAGAGGGAGTCGCTGTTGACGCGCGACAGGAAGGGCGACAGCAGGTTGGAGTCGATGGATGAGCGCTGCTGCTGTTGATGCTGCTGCTGCTGCTGCTGCTTGAGTTGGCGCTGTTGGGCTGCAGGCGAATTGCGGGGTTCAAGGTCGAAGGCGAAGTCGTGATGGTTGTCGGTGTCCAGAGGCAGGGAGAAGCCTTGGGCGGTGGCGGATGCGGAAGACATGATTGCTCCCGGCTGGGGCCAGGTGAAAGGGGATGCCCAAGGATAAGTAGTCGGTATAGTCGGTATATACCTGGGGATGGATGTGCGGACAAAGAGGGAGAGAGGTCAGGAACGGACGGGCAGCGCGGCGCAGAGGAGCGGTGGCTTTCGGGCGCGGTGCGAGCAGTTGACAGGCAGCCGGGCCCCAAACCTCAAACTGAAGCGGTGCGCGCTCTCTGGAGAAGGGCAGCGTCACGTCACTGGCCAGGGATCATGACCATGTTCCTGAGCGGACGGGAGAGCCACGGGGCGGCGTGGGTTGAGGTGAAAGCTTATTAGGCAGGACTTGAGCTCGGGAGGCGCAGTCGGCGAGCAATGAGGCTTGCGGCGTCTTGCTGTGAACTAATAAGTTAGGTTGTCGGACGAGAAAGAGAAAAAAAAAATAGGGCAGCGGGCGGCCAGCGAGCTGATGATGGGATGGGACATGGGCGGCGGGCTTGTGTGTGGGTGCGGCTGGCGGATCTAAGGCAAAGGCGCTTACCACTTGGATTAGGCTGGCGACAGCAAACCCCCTGCTAAGCGACCCTGCCCGTTTCTGGTGCTTGATGCCACTGCTTCTGTGCCCGCGATACGTGTATTCCTGTCGAGTACGACGTGCCAAGGTCCAGCTGGGCGAGTCCGGAGCGTCATGGTGGTGCTGCCGGGTGCTTGCTGGTGCTCCACGGTGTCAAGTCTCTTGCATGCCTTCTGGTGCTGTGCCGTTTTGGGCCTTCAAGCTGGATCAGAGCCCCAATCAAACCGGCCCATCAGCGAGTCTGGGGGTGTTGGGCCAAGGTGATGATGGTGATGGTGATGGTTTCGGTGGTGGTGGTGTGGTGGGGGGGCGAACTGCATTGCGGGAGGAGAGGAGGCGCCTCGACTTGGCACAGAAGAAGTGGAGGGATGATGAGGGAGAAGCTGCGATTCTTACCATTTCCGTGTGCAGTAGTGGGATAACAACAGCTGGGAAGAGAAGAGGAAGCTGATGATGACAACTGTGATACTGATGGGCGAGGCCGTGGACTGATGGCAGCTCGGAGTTTGGCGGGGGACAGACATCAGCAGGTACCAGCCTTAGGTAGGTACCCAGGTAGCGAAGGAGGGGGAGCCGGAGCTGAAGATGCAGCTGCTAGAACTACCTTCCTTACAGCGGATGGGCTGGCAGGGTAGCACCTGTACCTGCCTGTAACTGGCACCGGGTGCCTCCAACACACAGGTACCTCCCACCTCACAGACAGCTCCATCTCTTCAGTCTCATCGACCCCAGCAAACGTGGACCGCTTCTACTATCGCACAGGTACTCGGACAGGCGTCTATCTAGGTATCTGCCACCGCTGCTGACTGCGATAAGATCAAGCTGCTGGACGGCATCGGACTCGGACTCGGGCTCAAAGAGGCGCGCGGTTGCTGTCCATTTGCTGCCTCAGGTCACCTACCTTAGGCTTAGGCTCTATCCAGCCTAGCGATGGAGGCTTCTTCTCCCAAGCACCAGCTTCAGCTTCACACATGCCAGCTCTCCTCCTTCACACACACTCGCACGATCAACAACCAGCATCCTTACCCAAACGGAACGGAAAGCACAGCATGTTGAAAACGCAACCGCCAGGGCAGCGTCACCATGGCGCATCTTCGAGCCAACGGCCGTTTTGACAGAAGCTCGCCATGCCACCTGTCGCAGGTCGCTCGTCTCCATAGCCTCCACCACTCGACGGAAAAAGCCTAACTTGACAACAGCATCGCTAGCACAGGACAGGAGGATGTCGGTGGGGCTTGCTCGCGATCCCAAGTTTTGCGAGAAAACGCCAGCTCTGGGGTCGAAAAGCCTTACGGACAACTGGCCGCGCATGGTAGCGCGCTACAGGCCGTCCGCCCACAAACGTCGCGCTGGGCCAGGTACTCCGTCATCCAGAGCCGCCTGACCCCTGGCACAGAGGGGCCTGGGACGGTGGGCACGAGGCTTGCGGGCTCTAGTTCCGCGGCTCCCAAATGGGTCATGGCGCGCTCTAGGGCCTCGTGAGGCTATCTGGCACAGGCCCAAGTCGGGTGGCGCCAGCCCCCAAGGCTTTCTCGCAGATGGAACACTGCCTCATGAGCTCAGAGCATCTATCTAGTGCCTGTGCCTGTGCCTGTGCTTGTCGTCACCACTCTATAGCATTTGGTCTCTTGCAGGTCCCTTGATCGAGGCGACGCTGGCATGGCAGGGCAGGGGCAGGGCAGGGCAAGACAAGGCAGCACCAGGCAGGATGCGAACCGCAGCACGTCAAGATTGACTGAGACATCCAGCTTCCACAGCCAATGACATCAGACTGTGTCCAAGATTGGCCGTCGAGTATGTAGTAGCACAGAACCCAGGTTCCAAAACGTTGGAGTGTGGGATGACAGAGTACGAGGACTCTGTACCCCATGCATCCTACACGGAGCAAAACATGTGGGCAATGCGTATCCTCGCTACTTTGGTCGGCAGGATCAGGACGGTGGCCCTTTTTGGCCATGGCAGCCGGCTGGATATTCCAGGCATGGGGTGGTATTGGTAAGACGCTGCTTGTTTCTCGAGCGTCTCATGCCTTGTAGACTCTTCACGACCTGGACGAATGCAACCCTCTTGCATGCAGCAGGATCGAGCAACGGCAGGCTTGCTGAGCGCGGTGCTGCTTACGATACTCTTACTGCTCACCGGCGCTCTGCGCTAGCCACGGAGCAGATACTGGATATATTCCCATGATTCATGATTCTGTCCCTGGGTGAGCAGGCAGACCTCGGTATATTCCTCGGCTCGCTCGCGATTTGTCAGCACCCGATCAATTGTTCCTTGTCTGCGATGTGCGGTCTTGGACTGGAGATGTAGATGCCGCTACTCGTCCGTGCCCGCTGGCGGACGGAGATTGAAGCGATGAACAGACAACAGACAAAGGGAGCATGCAAGCAGATTCTTGGCATCGGCTTTGCATGTGGCTTCCAGGCACAGACGAGTTGGCTGGCGCCACGAGTTCACACAGCGAGTCTCGACAGCACAGTCCAGTTCGCTGGGGGAGCAGCAGCAAACACTGCCCCATGTCCTACCGGGCGGCTGAAGCTTCCAGCACCTGTCTCACAGACGCCGTTAGCCTCAAGGATATCAATATCGGCTCCGCCTCAGTCCAACCCCGATAACGATCGATGCTCTGTATGAGATACGCATGAGTGAGTCCTGGAACATGGGACAGAAGCCTCCACGATCCTACTCTGCCTGTGCCCACTGGCCCCCGAGACCTGCATGCCTGCTTGAATCCTACGGGTACGTGTATCCTGCCTGCATGAGCATATCTTCTCAGTACTCGACGTCTACGAGCATGTGTTCTCGCTTCGGTACCAGAATAAGCCCTCGGGAATCGACGGCGCGTGCCGAAAAGGGCCCATGAGGCAGACTCGGTTCATCCACGAGGCGTCTCGCAACCACGGAGGAGCAAAGGTCAAGCCTGGAACACAGCACAAGCTTTGCACATGTTGGCATCACACAAGGGGCCTCCCGCCTCATCCCACGTCTCGCCGGCTTGCAACTAGTCCTGCGCGCCACTGATCGGTCAGCTCGATTTGGACACCGCGAGTGCCGGCGCAGCAATCCTGGAGACTTGCAGGCAGATAGGCGCGCCGTCTGATCGATTACCGCCCATCCTCGGCGGCTGCAGGGCTGTCGTTGGGCGCCATGTGCGATGGCTTATTGCGCTGTGTACTGGACCATTTAGACTACTTGCTGATGATCAGAGGAAACAGTGCGACGTGTTCTGGGTATGCGACAACCTCACGTTTATCGTCGTCACCGGATTTGAATGCGTGTCGGTTTCGTTTATGAGAGAAGTGAAGTCGGGGTCAGAATCTTGACGGGAAGTGTTCATACCTACTCCTACGTGTGCCAATTTCTGTAGCGAGCAGAAACCGACGCCCGCGTCATTTCATCCCACCAAGACTGATGAGGCGCGGCCACGTGATGCTCTCAGACGACCAGCAACCAGCTCCGACTCTCTCATGATGCTCCTCACTTGGTCATTCGCTTCTCAATAGGCATTTCAGCCCTGCACGACTCGACTTTCCAACCAGACGCAGCGCTGTAAGCCAATACGGCAAAGAAGTGACAGGAAATCGAGGGTGAAGGGGGTGAAAACAGGGCATTTTGGGACTGCACACGGATCGTGCTCCTTTGCCCGTCATGTTCAGGGTTCGTCGACGCCAGGCTTCATCTCAGGTTGCGAGAGTCCTCCCAGCTAATGATGGTTGCTATCTTGACACGCAGCCGCATCCAGAAGAGACGATGCATCTCCGGCTCCATCGAGCCCGGTCCGTGGTCTTGACGTCTGAAGAGTGAGTTGTTGCATCACGAGTCTCAAGTCTCATGCACCAAAAACAACCGTCATATCTCCATGAAGCCCTCAAACCCCCGTCTCACGCATGCGTACACAAATACACGTTTGCTTCCAACTGAGTTCAGGACGCTCTCGCTCACCCATCCCCCAACCCCCCAAGACTCGTCGAGATCCGCGCTGCCCAGCGCACCTTCGAAGGCGCCTACATGCGCACCGCCCTCGGCCTCTTCTCCTTCTCCCTCGTCATCCTCAAGGTCTTCACCGAGGAGTTCTACGGCATCGGCGCCCTCTTCGCCGCCTTTGGCACCGCCATCCTGCTCGTCGCCATGTACCGCCGCTACCAGGGCAACCGCCAGTTCTTCGTCGACAACGACGACGACGGCGACGGCATGCCGCGGCGCAAGTTCCGGACCAGCGGCGACACGGTCGTGCTCTTGACGGTGCTGAGTCTCTGTGCGTATGCGACGCTGCTGGCGCTTACGTGGAGGCTTCAGGCCATGTGAAGGAAAGGTTGTGATTGCGGTCTTTTTTGTTCTCTCTCTCTTTTTGCTGAGGCTTGCTCTGAGGGTTTTCTTTTGCTGGGACGTGCTTTTGAGTTGACGGGGGATCATGACTGCGGCGAACGTTTGTTGGGAGTCCATCCATCATTGGCGATGGTATAAGCTGCATTCGCCTCTCTGCATTGCGTCTGGAGTTGCTCAAGAACTTGGTACTTTTTTTTTTTTTTACGTTGCGCGTTGAGAGTTACTCTTCATCTTGAACGATCCATACGTCCAGCGCTCTGTGGGACCGTGTTCGATGTACACTTTCAAGTCACATCATTCAGAATCCATGTAATCTTTTACCCCATAGCCCTTCACCGCGACATGCAAGACGTTGTTTCTTCTTTGCAGATATCATCTCCACCATGTAGCTTGTGAGGCTAAACTCACGAGAGATGCCATCCAAAAAAAGAAAAACCCCCCAAGCAGACAACACAAAATACCCTACATCAAGTCGAAACCCCATACTCCATATAACTCCAAATCTAATAGATACGGCATACATTTCTTTCAGTGAATACTTTTCACGCTTCAAGCGCAAAACCCCATTTTGAAGAAGGTGTTAAAACAGCCTTTCCTCATCCATTAAACAAAACATTTTGCGACCCGAGATTTACAGAATTATATATTCTAAACTCCATGCTCGCAACAACAGCTTCCCCTCTTTCTGGTGACGTTGCCTTCCTCTCCTCATTTCTCTCTTCTTGTTTCCTTGGTTCATGGCAAGACGTTATCAACTAGAAATAGCTGTTCTCGATGGCTTTTCGACTTTCATAGTGAAGACATCGACTCTATTGATGTACGCAGCATGAATCGTGTTTCTTCCATGCTTCACCTCTCTCTCACCTAATATCGGGATATCCCTTTCATCTAACGAATGTCTTCTGCCAACATTTCCTCAAAAGAAAGAAACCTCACGTATCCAAAATAGCAGCGTGCAACGGGGGAAATACTAAGAACAGCCTCGAATCAACTTGCAAAGAAGGAAACAATACAACTCCTCTCTACCAAACAACAAGAACAGTCCTGAAAGTTCGAGTCACGACCTAAAACCATGTTTCCCTGCATATTCCTTACCCTACCCTATCCTATCCTACCTTGGTACCTTGCCCAAACCTACTCAAATAAAACCCTTCACTGTTATGCCTGGCAATCTGTAAACATAAGAGAGAAAAATCGAAAATAGAAGCAGCGGCAAAGAGATAACAAAATGCTTGCAACAATCCTCAGCCCATAGCCGATCAAATCACACTCATACCCTCCCCCAAACCCCCCCAAGTCCCCAACTTTTCGACCAAACCCGGAGACACTCCCCTTATTCGAAGAAACAATAAATAAAACAAAACAGCAGTGAAGAAAAGATCTAATCCGCTAATTTTCCGCTGTTGTGTGCGCTGTGCCGGGCACACCATGTAATGAATTCCCCGTTCTAAAAAGACAAGATAGGGTTTTGTATTGTTTCGGCCGTTGACGCAGATTCCACCCGCCAGTCCGGTGATTTATGTACAGTCGTCGAGAACCCTCCCCGTTCCGTGATATATTCGCATCGTAGTTCGTCCGTTGTTGAAATCGTGTGGATGTTATGAGAAGCCGCAACCCGAGTGGTACCGTGTTGAATCCAAGCCCGTAAAGAGGTATACTGCCGAGGTATATAGTATCGAGATTCGCTTGTTGTTCTTCGTAGTATGAGATTAAGTTGTCATCCTCTGCCCCAGCCAGCCAAGTCGGTAGCAGGACAGGTACCGAGTGGTAGCTATTCGGTTCGCCGAACGTTGAATCTCTCGAGTCACCCCTTTCGGCAAAATGGGTCCCTGACCAGATGACCGACGCGTCCTCTGGAGTATAAGCAGCGTGATTTCTCGGATATTGAGTCCGGCACAAGCCACGCTATTCGTCTTCCATTCTCCAGCTCTTTGTTTCAGAACCGCGGATGCCTCCGAATGTTGAACTCCTATTCTGAGTCTTCTACCGAGTGAAAGGGTGGTCAAGTAGCTGCCCTTCATGTTCTAGGCCAGAATGCTTCCTTTGGACGACAACGATGATAGGCGTCCGCCTTAATAAGCCCTAGAAGATCCTCTCAGTCGAGATCAAGTTTAACTCTCCACATCTCTAGATTCAAAGGAAGCAAAGGCCTGGATCGCGTTTCTAACGGCGAAAGGTTATATAACAGGGGTGCCGTTCGGTCTCATAGGAGCTGCACGGATAGACTTCGAGCACTTTGATTTTCGGTGAGGCGACACGATATCTCCGTAGTCAGCAGCATGCCCTGCTTCTTCTCGGAGCAAATTTCAGCCGCTGTTGGCCAGAACTGGGCGAAGGAACCGGTTACACCATCAGCCGGTCTATCACATGTGGTGTGACCTGTCGCCCTCGCCGTACTCTCCCCACGAGCGATAAGTACCTGCTTGTGTATCCGGTATCTGCTGTGACATGAGCTGCGGTTGTGCCTGCTGCGTCCGCGCCTGTGCCTGCTGCTGCTGCTGCTGCCATGCTATCGGTGCCGCAGGAGTAACAGTACTGCCCATTATTGCAGGGTCAATGGCATGCTCTATGCCCTCATCCGCTCCACCAACAGGGACACCTCCGTAGATGGGCGCGAACTGTTGCGACTGTCTCTCATAGATTTGATTTTGGTGTGGCACTGGATAGTAATGCGGCGTGCCTTGACTTCCCAGCATCTCTCCGCTAAAGGACATGGATCGGGGAGGCGGCGGCATGCTGCTACTGTTCCATCCCATGTCGTTTCCAGCGGCGTAATTCGAATTTGTCCAGGTGGCTGAGGAGGCTGTCGGATTCGTATACGGTGAAAGCTGTCCGCCCACGCCAAGCGGAACTTCGGTAGGAAATGGTCGCCAAATTGCATTCGGATCGCGAGATTTCGCCATGGTATCGCTGTCTGTATCCGTGGCCATCCATCCCGTCGAAGGCGGCTCTCCAATACCATACGATGGCCCAGGCGGTACGGCATTAGATGATACTGTATTCACGGGAGCAGTCAGCATGGACAATTCAGAGAGCAGGATCCTACAGATATCTTGAACTACCCACCTTCCATGTCTGGCGGAAAATACTCTCCCTGAGGTGTCTGAATCGTTGGATTGCCCATGCTGGGCACCGACGCGACAGTCATGGAAGGATAATGATGACGCTGCACTCCTTGATCGACAGAGCTACCACGAGATATAGCAGGCGATGAAGATGCCGTTACCGTGCTGGAGCTCCCAGGCGTTTGAGGCGGCTGTTTCTGATCGTACGGCTGTTGCTGGTCCACCGGATGGAAGCTGCACTCCTTCTTCAGTCGTATGCAGTTGACACATCGATTTTGGTCCTCGGTAGATATGATGCAGCGTATCTTGCGTCGACGGCAGTGGCCTGGCGCACGTTAGCAGCTGAGCAGGGGCCGGCAGCACCGGGCCTGAACCTCTCTCTCATGCGGAGAGGAGGGGAAAAGAGGAAGAGGCAAGACTAACCACAGGCGATGGATGTTCTATGGTAACCCAGCTTGTTTCTCTTCTTCTCGCCCATCTGTGGCGCCAGGGATTGGGACTCCAGGAACGACGATGGGGTCGCACCGCCCACCGATGGCGTCGAGAAGGATCGCTTCAAGTAGTGGGTGGGATTTCCTCGCATGCTGGCCGCCATTGCGGAATCCTGTATCCCCCTCAGGCTCCCAGAGGGAGATTTGGGAGGTGGCATCGCAGATTGTCCGTGGTGCATCTACTCCTGTTGTGACGGGATCCGGCATACAACATTTGATGAGGCAGTGGCGGCGTCGACGGCTGGTGAAACGGGGGGACGGGGATCTTAGATGAGGACGAGATCGCGAAGGCCCTTGGTGGGTTTGATTGAGCAGGGAGGAAGCGACAGGCCAGCCACAGCCATGAACAGCAAGGACGGGTGTAGCAGCGCCGGTGGCGTTGGAGGTGCCAATACTCTCGACCGGTGAAGCTGCAGAGGCAGAAGTGAATCACGCTGGAGCCTCAGGTGGCAAAAGAATAGCTGACCTAAGACAGCTGGAGGTGAATATGTGCCAAAGGAGATTCCATGCCAGCTCTTGGCCAGGCCCGATCTGGCAATCTATGAAGTCTCCTGGGCCTTTCTGGTACCCGGACGGGGAGATCGAGATGGGGTGGCTCTGGCGAGGGCCAGATGATGGGGAGGTTTGATGAAAAGAACACAGAGCGGGAAGACGACTTTGTGAGCCGGGTTGCTCTAGTAGCGGCTTTGTGACACCCTACCTGTGCAATGTCTAATGCACACTCGCCCCAGTAACCGTGCTCCGGGGTCTGCCATAGGGCTATTATGCCTGTCGATGGCTATGGATGCCTGCCACACTGGCTGGAGCAGGAGGCAAGGGTATGCAAGGCCGACGACCCAGCCCTTTTCGGGTGTGGGGAGTGATATGGAGTTGTCTAGCAAGGAGGAGCCGTACGGGTACGGAGTACGGAGTCGCTCGTCACCCCTCCCGTCGACACCACTCCTGCTCAGGCTACGAAAACCGTACAGCTTTGTACATGTGAGTATGGGTCCACTTGATGAGACTCAAACGGGCTCGATTCTCGAAAAGGGCTGTGTGGCATGTGCCAAGCGGCGAAGCCATTGTCCAAGGCGGATGCTTGGCTGACAGGTCAGCGATGCGGCCCTCTGATAAATGCAAAGAAACGGAGTCCGACGAGCGAAGCAAGGAAAAGAGACAAAGGGAAGAGTTGTTACTAGTTGCACGTAGTTACCTGGTTTTGGTTGTTCAAACCGTCGTCATCTTACTACAACCGATGTGGAGACGTTGCTCCCACATGAAATATCGTCCTCAGCCATTGAGCATCGTGCCAGGATTTGTCACTCCGAGCGGAATCGGCGTGATGACAAAAAGAATGGGGGTAGGAGACGATGTCTGGCAGCATTCTGTTGCATTCTAGCCAGGCAGGAAGTCGCAGGTCCAGGTAGTATGCGCGCCCTATTTT